TTATGTAAGAACCGAAAGAAACTTCGTTTCGTTTCGGTTCACAGAATTTGAGAAAGGTTCTAACATTTTACAGTTGCTCTCCACTGTTTCCTTAGGCTCTGAAGTGCAAAGACCTGTTTTGTCTATAAGTCAGTATACTGTACCCATCTGTATGGGTACAACCAGGCAGAGTGCGTTACCGGTGGAAATTGGAAACCTAACTATGTGGACGCGTTACAGTTGCTAATACAGACAACCAGACGGACGTTGCCAGAAGTTACTATACTACATTAGTATTAGTATATAAATTCAATCGTAACAATCCAATAAGTTTTTCAAATTTTCTAACACTTGTAGTATACAAAAGTAACAAAACTACACTTGAATTGTCTTATATAATATAATGCTCGCTTAAAACTGTGTAACGCTCCTTAAGGGAAAGCAACTACTGCTATGCGTTACGCGTTACTGCTAGCAACCAAACCACCCCTGCGTTACACGTTACGGTTGTACCCATACAGATGGGTACAGTACTCTTCTTCTAGGACTTTCTCAATGCTTATTACTTTAATAATATCTCTAATTATTTAGTACACGAAATATCTCTGGTTCTTCCAGAGCTCCTTATCTATTTGAGAGAAGAGATTTGAGATGTAACATTGGTAATTGTTACTGTTGTACTCGAATCACAATACTGTGTAGCCACCTCATTTAGGTCTAAGTCACCCTACGAACCCTAATGTTTAACATTATTTGCATGTGTATATCCACTGAGCGTAATGGCATTAGTATTGTTAGCTCTAAGCAAAGTAGTATGCAAGAAGGTTCTAGTTGTTTAACGAAACGTGAGTACTAGAACTTGGATTTGGTGCTTGGTCCTGGTTTGATGTTGGTATTCGATATTGAAAGAGGTGCTATTGTACACAGTGGTTCAATGGTGTCTTCTCTGTTAGTTAATATCGTAAATGTTCGACGTCAACGGAGGTGCATAATTCGAGAGGTATACACTATACAGTGATTTAGAACTCGGGTTTGACGCTTGGTTCTGGTTTGACGTTGGTATTCGACGTCGAAGGGGGAGATGCCTGCTGTTCGGCTGTGTCTTGTTCTTCGAGGTAAGGGGTTATTTCGGGGAAGTGTTCTGAGAGGGCGTTGTTGAGTAGTGAACGGTATGACTGTAACATGTAATAGATATCATTGTCTTGCAGTGAGTAATGTGAATTACAAGAGAGAGAGAGAAAGAAAGAAAGAAAGAAGGAGCACACCTCGATAGCTTTGATTTTGCCATTCATGAATTGATTTTCTGTCGCTGCGCGTTCGATCCTGTCTTTGGTTAAGAACATAGGGTTGCGAGCGTTGTCAATCTCTCTAAACCAAATATCATCTCGACATTACACCTAGTCACAGTTAGAAGAACCAACGGAGTTGACGCACTGAAGGATCTGCATAGGGATCATAGTATCCAACCTCTCCGCCATATTCTCAATACCAGCCAAATGCCCAACCACATCATTAACTCGTTGACCAACGGGTTTCACAGGTGGAGGAGGGGGAGGTTCGCCAGGTTTAGCGTTCTGCTGGAGTCTATCGCGTTCTTTGGTGAGGTCATTGACAACTGTTGTGCCGAGGTTGTATAATGCGTTCGCGAGGCCTATGAGTTCAAGCTCGAGGTCGCCTTGGATGCCTGTTGGGAGGGGAGATTGGGCGGGGTCTGCGCCGCTTGATGAGTCGGGAGTTGCTGCTACTGCTGCGAGCGGGGTGTGCGGGAGGGTCGGCTGGGACATGACTGTAGAAGGTGATAGGATCGGATTCATCGGAAGACGGAAAGAACGGAGCCGGAGAGGAGGGAAGGCCGAAGAGGAGTCACGCGTGCAGATGATAGACGATGGTTGTCATGCCACCGTGACTGCGATCGTACGCGTGGCCCATCTGCCTGGGGAAGGAAATTCATTGGATCATGTCCTAGGGCGCTGGTTTCTCTTTCTGTCTTTGTCATCTCTATCGGCACAAACAACAATACTGCCTTTATTCGTCTTATTCTCCCCTTGCCCTTCTTCTCTCCTCAAGGGCTCTTCCATCCCTTCACGTCCTTCCTTCTCCTCCCCCTTTGGCCCGCTCGACGTGCATGGACCTCCTCAGCAAATATGAAGCTTTATCCGTCACTTCTCAAAGGACAGATGTCGCAACTGTCCTTAGATCAATCATAAATGGTATTTATCTCTTCTCTCCTCCTTTCTTCCGTCCATAACATCGTAAATAATAACAATAATAATATTGTAATTCCGTACCGACACAGGCTCCTTCCTCCTGCCGAACAACGATCGCGATCGTCTCGTCGGCCTCCTTCTCCACGACGTCGAGGCTGCCCTAGACCGTTCTGACAAGAAAGCTCGGCTGTCCAGAAAAGGTCGGTCTCTCACTCAGATCTACAATCGCACTCTATATCCTCCTCCACTAGTATATAGTATCTATATTTATACTACCCCATTATCTAGATGCTGGTCTTGCGCTATTGGCGTTGAAGACACTTGGACGTGCACCTGCTGCGTCGGACATCATTGCTAGGGAATCCGTACGTCTCCCTCTCTTTGTTTACTCTTTGTTTTTCCTTCTCCTTGTCCCTTGGCTGATGCATCGAACCTTACTTATGGAAACGATCCTATCGATATTAACTAGAATCTCCGAATTCTTCTAAGTACGACCAAATCACTTCGTTCGTCTGATACAGAAGCCGCGGATGATGCATTGCGATGTGTTGCTAACGCTTTGTTACTCGTTGAACGAGGGAGGGAAACGTGGGTTGATATACATGGTGGAGCTTATTGTGTTGACCTCCTCGAAGTATGTTCTTCTTATCATCCATTCATTCACTTATATTAAACTTATATTAATCGTTGTTTCATTTGTTTTGTATCGATTGCAGAAAGCCCAAACCCCAACACTCGTCTTCCTATGTAGTCGAATCCTCTTCCTCTCCACCGCCTCCCCTACATCCGCTCTCCTCCCGGCCTTACTCGGACGTCATTCCATTTCTTTTTCCTTCCCTCAACGTATAATGGAGAAAAATGGGAATCAGGATGTTGTGGTGATTGTGTCGAAGCAGCTTGATTTTTTGTTAAATGGAGTGTTGGTGGGGACGCCGATGAGTAAGGAAGCGATGACGGATTTGTTGAAGTTTTCGTTTAATTTATTGTGTCATTGGCCTAAAGTGGGTGTTTGTTGCGTCTTTTTTTTGATTTTCTAGAGTTGTTCATTGACAACTTTCTTTGTGTACTGGACAGATTGCTCCAGACGCAGAAGATGTCCGACCAAGGAATGGGAATGGGAACAACGACCTTCCTCCCAACTCGGTGAACTCGCATATTGATAATCCTGTACTCGGTGAACGTTGGTCAAGACGACTAGACGGGTACGCTCAATAGTCACATTCACCCTCGTCAACCCGTCCGGTTTAACTTCTCTAACTTATTTGCTGCTATAGGTTCTTACCAGCTCTACGCCGAGTATTCCTAAACCTTCCACCAATGTCTCCTTCACCTTTGACAGCTCCTGTGACGCATGTCTTACATGCGCTCTTACCAATCCCGATTGATGAGAAGTTGTATTCGGTTTGGTTCCCGGAGGGTAACGAAGGTACGTCTTCATTACCTTAAATTTCCCGTTTGACTGGTTTCACTGAGTCGGATGGATTTTGAATTGAATATTGATTTTGATTTTGATTTTGAAGGTTCGAGTGGTCGCTCAACTCCACGTTCGACGAACTCCTCGCCGACGACTGGTGAAGCCCACCCTCGTATTTCTTGCTCTTCGGACTCTCCTACAAGCGGACCTTCAACGACAACAACTAGATCCTCAAAAGAAAAAGAAGGTCCACTCGATAGGGCACTGTCGATGCTCACACCTCGTCTTTCCCTTTCGCGGTCTCCTTCGCCCGTCTCTCCTGTTGCACGCGACTCCATCTCCTCCGAACAACATCCTTCCACCTCCCCCTCGACGGCGGGTCCAGTAACACCAAAGTTCATTCAACGCGGTCTGGACCTCCTAGACGTCTCACTCGCACATTACCTCCCTGGGAACGTCGACCCAGACGACGCGTCTGTCAAAAACATCTGTTCAGATGAAGATGTTGTGTTGGATCATATACTTTCTCCACTTGTGTTGTTGTTGAATAAGTTGTGTAAGGGGAGTGGAGAGTGTAGGAGGGCTGTTTGTTCAAGGGTCTTGCCTGTAGACTTGGACCGTACGAAACCACTTGAAGGACGAGCGGATACGTTGGGGAGGTGTTTAAGGTTGATGGCTTGTGTACAGCATCAGCAGTTGAAAGATGGGATTGGGGAGTTGGTTTTCGTTGTTTGTGATTCGGATGGTACGTGCAACCTCCTTACAAAGGACTCATTAACACTGAACTCTGTGAAATTGTCTGTAGCTACGGTGATGTCAACCCAAATTGGGTACGGCAATGCAGCAGGGTACCTCTTCAATCGTGGTATACTCTCCGCTCCTCCTTCGACATCCGTCTCAACCTCATCAACCTCATCCACCAGCTCTGCTTCCGCATCCATCTCTTCCATCTCTTCCACCAACTCCTCTGGCCCGTCTCTAGCCATCTCCACCGCATCAGCAGAAGAAGAAGAAAGAGAAAGAGAAATTAACCCGATAACAGGCATGCTAACCACCCCTCGCCCACCGTCTCCACAAATGACAGAAGAAGAAAAAGAACGTGAAGCAGAGAAGTTGTTCGTACTTTTTGAGAGGTTGGAGAAGGCGGGTGGGATGGAGAACCCGATTAAGAAGGCGCTGAGGGAGGGAAGGTTGGAGAAGTATGAAGAGGAGAGGAGGAGGATGGATGAGAGGGGCGGTGAGGATGATTTGGATTGAACGAACGAATGGGAGTTTGAGTATGTTGGAGACGAGTGAGTGAGTAGTGATGATGATGAACGACGAGCGATGAATGGTAACGAGAAACGAGAAACACGTGTGGTAATGTTAGGAGGAGTGCGTATGACGAAGCAATAACTGCCCTCCCCGATCACCAATTATTTAAGTTTTGTTTAATTCGTAATCTGTACCCTCTTCACCCCCTCTCTCCCTCAGTGTCTCACTACTTCCGTCATCGTCATTATTATTGTTGTTCTTCGGCCAAGTTTACGACCATTAGTTTTTAGCCTTTAGTTTTTTTAAGTCCTAGTTTTACTTATACCCTAATATTAATTAATGTAATGCAAACACAGTTTGAGTGACCTTCGAAGATTGTACTGTCTGTTCTACTGCTTGAGAGGTATTGAATAATAGAGGTATTGAATAATATTGTGTATGTATGTATGTGTAAGCTGAATAGAATTTGATGGTAAACATTTGAATGGCTAAGGAGAAAAACAAATGGTTTCGTCCTGGAACTCTCCCTGGCGGGGAGTCGAACCCCGCTCTCGCGCGTTCCGTCTAGTGACAGGCGCGTGTACTCAGCCGATATACTACCAGGGACTTGTTACTATCGCTTATTGTAGAATACATATACTTTTGCGTTACTGCAAAGCATTTGACACGCTGACGATTGGTATCTTTTGTGGGAAGTTATTGCACATGTTGGACGGTTTTATATAGTGTCGGACAAAGTGTTGCGTCATACTTCTCTATTTTCGGATAATGGACGTTAGATATTTGAAAAGGTGTATTTCTGTATTTTGTAGGCTTTGGTATGCATATTGTGTGGAGTATTAGTGCTTCCTGTCGGAGGTACGGCAATATCGCACTTCTCTACCTCTCCTTCTACCTCTACTCCCAACTTATGTGGCGATTCATAATCTAACTGAGACTGAAGGAGTGTAACTTTGCATCCCTCTGTGCCTGGTGCTCGCCACATACTTACTTATTTTGCAATGGCTTTTGTTACCCCCGAGTGGTGATATATGCGGGGTAGGATGAGGCGTAAGCCGTTTGCTTGCTTGCTTGCTTCCTTCTGTGTACGTAGGTGCACATATACACTTCGTCTTTTCCCTTGGTAGTCGATTCTTGAGTCGATTGTTGTTCTTGTGAAGTATGTCGGAGACGTCGGAAGAAGCGCCGCCTGCTATTGTGAGTGTCTTTTTCCCCTTCGTTTCGTTTCGTTTTGTTTTGGTATTTGGATGGGAATGTTGTATTGATTTCGCTTTTTTCGTGTGAAGATACTTGATAATGGGAGTGGGATGTGTAAGGCTGGGTGTAAGTCGAGTTTCTTCTTTATCCTTACTGTTAGGAGAGAAATGCTGATTTGAATTATCATTTAGTCGCAGGTAACTAATAGTCAACAATCTCGTGAAGGGATGTACATGCTGACATATGGATCTGATTTACGTGAATGTCAGGGGACGATGCCCCTCGAGCCGTCTTTCCGTGAGCCGTTCATACGGGTTTGTAACTTTGCGAAGTCGGCCCTGACGAGGTTGGATGTAGGTCACTTATTGGACGAGCTCGCCACACGGGAGGTGTGATGGTCGGGATGGGAATAAAAGATACTTTCGTTGGGTATGTAGATACGTTCCTCCCATTCCGCGTCGAATCGTGTTTTATCGTGCATCCACTGACTAACCATCCACGTATGTGCGTCTTGCTATTGCAGCGACGAAGCCCAATCAAAGCGTGGCGTCCTCAGTCTCCAATACCCACTCGAACACGGTATCGTCACCAACTGGGACGACATGGAGAAAATCTGGCACCACACATTCTACAACGAACTCCGCGTCGCACCAGAAGAACGACCGATCCTCATGACCGAGGCTCCACTCAACCCCAAAGTTAACCGAGAGAAGATGACGCAGATTATGTTCGAGACGTTTAACTCTCCAGCGTTTTACGTTGCGATCCAGGCAACGCTTTCTTTGTACGCTGCCGGGCGTACGACGGGGATTGTGTTGGATTCGGGTGATGGTGTGACGCATACTGTACCGATATATGAAGGGTTTTCGCTCCCGCATGCGATTTTGAGGATGGACCTTGCTGGGAGGGACTTGACAGATTATATGAGCAAGTCGCTTTTGACTCGTGGACATCATTTTACGACGTCGGCGGAGAGGGAGATTGCGAGGGATATTAAGGAGAAGTTGTGTTATGTTGCGCATGATTTTGATAAGGAGCTTGAGGAGGCGACGAAGAACCCTACTACAGTTGAGAAGAATTATGAGTTGCCGGATGGACGGTTTGTCATTGTTGGGGAAGAACGGTTCCGTGTACCTGAAGCGCTCTTTAACCCGGCTGTCCTTGGAAATGAATTTGGCGGGATCCATATGACGGCGTATAACTCCATAACGAGATGCGATGTCGACGTGCGTCGTGAGCTCTTTGGCAACGTCGTTCTCTCTGGTGGTTCCTCGATGTATCCTGGCCTTCCCGAACGTCTGAACAAGGAACTTACAGCCCTCGTCTCGTCTTCCATGAAAGTCAAGATTGTTGCTCCACCCGAACGTAAATACTCGGTGTGGATTGGTGGATCGATCTTGGCTTCGTTGAGCACGTTCCAGAATTTGTGGATTACGAGGGAGGAGTATGATGAGAATGGGCCGAGTATCGTGCATCGCAAGTGTTTGTGATGGAGATGAACTTGGACCTTTGGGGGTTTGCTAGAACTAGCTTTGGATTAAAAGGACAATTTTTATCATCATTAGAATAACGTACTCACTTTACTGTTTTACGATATCATACCATGCTTTGTATGCAATATTAGTTTCTTATATATTTACGAGTCATGTCGTGCGTCTGGGTGCTGGAGTTAGGACATGACGCTTTTCATTGCTACAAAGCTGGTGACGAGTTCGTCTACAACGGCATTTTGTTGAATCGGATCTTTGTCTAAAGCTGAAACTGCTGGTTCTCCATTCAACTTATAGTACTATGATTGATGTATGCACATCGATAAGATTCATGATGTGAAGGAGTAGCATATACTCACCTTCCTGATTGTCGCCCAATCTGTAATGTCCTTCAACGAATCCAAATGCACAAGATCACCTTGTACCACGTTCTTCATCTGTTTCTCGACATCACTCAGAGCTGCTGACGCTGGTCCGACACGGACGACCAGCAGAGAAGAGGAGTTGTCGGATACGCCAAATCGGCGAAGTGCCTCTGTGATCTAAAGTAACCGTCAGAATTCCTTGGTTAAAGCGAAGAGTAAGATGGCGATGAACTTTCTTACGTTATTAGTAGGATTTAGGCACCAGATGATCTCCGAGTGGACAGTTTTCGTCTTTAGGGCGTCTTGTGCATCTGCAAGCATCGATTGATAGACGGCCGTTTGTAAAGCCAATCTGCTCGTCACCTAATATTATATCAACGTAGTCAATGAGCACCTTTCCATTTTACATGTAAAAATGGCCGATAAGGCCGGACGACATACAAGCTTAGCCTCGATGAAAGCAAAGCTGACAGCGTCGCGTTCTTGTTCGCCTTCTGAACCTTGCATAGTCGAGGCATTGACGATGCGTGCTCGTAGCTCAGCTGCGTTTTGTACGTTCGTGAAGAGTGCGACGTGGACTGTAGTTAGTTGATCTGGGAAGTGCTTGTACGTGTAGCTCTCCATTTTTGCAGTCGAATGATAATGGCACGGAAACAAAAGCCAAGTTGATGAAGAGACGCGCTGACACGACATCTTCGTCACTGCCTCCAACGTTGATCATCACGCCTTGCTCGCTGGCCGTCGCAGCACCTCCTCCTCTCTTTCTCTAACTACTTCCACTACAAAACATGTTAATACTCGATTTACTCTCAAAACTGCCTACGGGTTTATTATTATCGTCGCTCGCGCTGGCTGCGAACGCTTTGCCTGTGGGGTCCGTCGAGTTGAAGGTTCTAACGCCGGATGACTTTGAGTCTACTGTTGCCCAGGGAGCGTGGTACGTGTCCTCCCCCCTCTTAGGTATTTGAATTGTTCTTGACTCAGAAATTGTTGGATGTGGTAGGTTCATTGAGCATTTCTCGCCTTATTGTCATCATTGTCGAGCGTTCGCCCCGACATGGGAGAAACTTGTAGAGCATTACGAAGCTATGGGTGATCCTGGTGTACACTTGGCTCAGGTTGACTGTGCAGTTAACGGAGGTGTGCAGAACGATGATATCTATTCAACTATTTATGCTAACTCTTTGTTCGTTGCGTTGCAGACTTATGCAACCAGCATGGCGTCAAAGGCTATCCTCAGATGAACATGTACGTCAACGGAGAGATGGTCGACAAATTCAAAGGTGTCCGCGACTGGGACTCGCTCACATCATTCATCGAAAACCACGCTGTCCATACTTCTACTCCCGCTGAAGAGGTAGAGCTCTCAGGCAAACCCATATCGGAACAGCAAAAACAACAAACCCCCACCATCCACACCGACAAGCTCAAGCCCAATCCAGAGGGTATGGTCAAAGCCCTCGGCCCCACAAACTTCGACGCAACACTCAACTCCGGACCCGTATTCATCAAGTTCTTCGCACCCTGGTGTGGTCACTGCAAGAAACTCGCACCCACCTGGACCGAGCTCGCAGCGCACATGCGGAATCAGCTAACTATAGCTGAGGTGAATTGCGAGATTTTTAAGGATTTGTGTAAGACGCAGGGTATACAGGGATTTCCTTCTTTGTTTTATTATTCTGGTGGGAGTGGGCCTGGGATGCATAAGGCGGAGTATACGGGTGGGAGGAAGTTTGATCAGTTGAAGAGGTTTGCTGAGACGGCTGTTGCTTCGTGAGTTATTTCTGTTTTACAGGAGTATGTCTCTTGACGCTGACTTTGATGTTATGTATGTCCTTAAGGTCCGTGGTGGAAGTGAAAACGGAAGCAGACTACGAGCACTACGTGGAAGAGTCTCCGGTGTTATACTTATTCCTTCATGCACCTGGTGACACACAAGCCTTGGTACGTTCGTTCATCACATAAAAAAACCATCTCAATCTTTCTTATTTCATTTTCAGAGCCGTCTAGCACAAACCTCCCATATCCTCCTCGGCTCACCCAAAATCCTCACCTCCTCATCCCCCGAACTCCGACACAAATTCTCCATCCCACCAGCGTACACCTCCACACCCGTCCTTCTCTCCATAAAAGATAATATCCCACACGCATACACCTCACTCTTCTCATTCTCCCCTGCCCCTCCCTCACCATCCACAGCGAAAGTCCATCGAGAGTCGTTACAAGAGTGGTTATTGCTTCATCGCTTGCCGAGTGCGTTGGAGTTGAACCAGGAGACGTTCCAGGATGTGATGAGTGCGGCTAGTAAGCCGTTGGTTGTTATTGCTGCTTTCTCGCCTGGGGGAGGTGAGGGTCATGCGGAGGAGAAGATGAAGAGTGCTGCAAGGGAGTGGAGGAACTTGATTGATCGTGAGAAAAGTGGTGGAGGGAGTGGAGGAATGGGATTGTGGAGAAAGGAGAGGGAGAGAGAGGTGGTGTTTACGTGGATGGATGGAGAGAAGTGGGCTAGTTGGATGAAGAGTATGTATGGGATTAAGGATGTTAGTGTTACGGATCCGAGGGTGGTTGTTGCTGATCATCAGGTGCGTACTGTCTCTTTTTTTTTCTTTCTTTCACTATTACTTTCACTCTTGGACTTGGGAGGTTGAGATGGAGATGCTGATTCGAATCTTTTGATAGAAATTGGTATACTACGATACGAACGCGAAGGGAAGCAAGATTGTGCTCGACGCACAAAGCGTAACGGAAGCTGTACGGGACGTCCTCTCTGGACACGTATCGTACAAACACTCGGAGAACATCCTTGAACGAACTGCACGGGTCAGTACTCTTCCTCTTCCCCTTCTCGCTCCTGGCCTCCCCCTCCGTCCTGCATCCCTTTTCTTCTTACCCCTTCAGCTCATACTCACAATTTTTCTTGTATTTCGCAGGGCCTAAACGACCTCCTGACATCCCTCGAAACAACAATCTACACACACCCATACCGCGCCGCACTCGCCTTCCTAGGTTTCATAGTGGGACTCGTGTGGTTGATTAAGCGACTTGTGACGGAAGATATCCCGAGTTCGTATGTGGATTATACGAGGTTGCAGAAAGATGGGAATCGGATTGATTAATTGAATTTTTGGAGAGTGGAAGGCATGGAGTCGTAATGGGATATGGTGTATGGATTTCTCATTATTGTAATAGGTGTTTGGTCCTGACTTGGTGTGTTCGGTAAAGTGGTTAGGCTGAATCAAGGAGAGGGATTGGTCTCTTTTGTTAATTATGTTATGTTATTTTACTTTGGATCGCTCTGTCATCGTATCACTAGTGCATAATTTTATGACCGCTATTACTATTTCCCATCTCCTGTTTTTCCTAAGGGCATCTGATATTTAACATTTTTTCTGGTATTGCTACTAATACAAATACAACTCTTGGACACTAGTCGAAAAGAACATGGCCACTATATGTAAGAAATCAAAAGAAGTCAAAAGTCGTATGCCATCAGTGAAGAAGGTATCCTGCCTATGCGATTAATGTAAGAGATTGGTTGCTGTAGATATGTAGATGGTGTAGATGGATGCGAGGAAAAAAGCAAGGACGAAGGAAGGAAAGTGAGTCCATTCGAGAAGTCGTCTAAGTTAGTTAGTTAGTTATGTGGACTCTCTTTTCTATACTACAATTGGATGGATAGATGGATAGGATAGCGTGGTACACGCCCAAAAGTCGCTCGGGCACAGAGAGAGAGGCAGGATAGGATAGGGCAGGATGGCATCCTTGGGCGGAAAAATTATATATAGTTGCCATGGGTCGGGAGAGCAAGAGGCGAGAAAACAAGAAGGCGAAGGCGAATAGAAATCAAATAAAAGCAATGCGAATAAGAGGAAACGGTGTTAGAAGATCTTTTCGAAATTCATTTTGCGTAATAGTAAGCCGATGCGAGAGCCGAAGGACGAAAGACGGGTGATGAGGGACAATGCAGAAGGCAACGAAGCCAACGTCATGAGGTAGGGTGTCAACTCAGTCTCATTGCGGAGAATGTGATCCAGACGAAGACTCCATATTGCCATTATGCGTCGGAGACCACGACACCCACGGTGAGACCGAGTCATCAAGCATGATCCCGCTTATACGTGCATAGACCGCTGGAGGGAAGTGTCGTTCTTGTACTCGCTGAAGTAAAGCGGTTGCACGATCGCGGTTCCCGCTGCCAAGTTCTGCGCGGACCATTGCTTCCCAAGTCGAAGGCTACAAACACAGACAAATATGCATTAGTATGTTATTTCCACTGGCTGCAGATGCAATAAAGACAGTGACTTACCTCTCTGTACACAGGCGCACTCGACGGGACGTTCATCTGTCCAGCGGGCGAATGTGGCACATGATTATTCGGCGCAGCATGTCCCGTAGGCGGGTCCAACAACCCCTCAAACACCTCCCTCGCACGTTCCAAATCTCCCGCAATCGCATACCCTTTAATCAACAAATTCGCAATATACGCCGTCATATGTATACCCGACGCCGACAGTCTCTCAAGGTACGATGGAATCAAATCAGTACGACGAAGAGTAACGAGGACGTTAATCATTGATTCGTAGACGATTGCATCGGGGAGGACGAGACCGGAGCGTTGAGTTGTTGGGTGGGAAGCGATGGAGTCGAAAATGCTTATTGCGCGGTTGAGGTCTTTTTGTATGCATCCCCAGGCGTTGATGAGTGCTGCCCAGTGAACACCTTGGACTTGGACGCGTTTGTCCTTTGTGAGTTGGAGGAAGACGTCTTCCATTGAGACGAGGTCTGTTGGCTCGATCGTACCGTAACTATCAATAAGAAGCTGTTGAAAAAGAGGACGAAAAATTAGTTGTGAGAAGAGTAGCGCTGAAATGAAGTGCTTTCGACGTACCTTGTAGGTATGTGCAGTAGGCTTGATACCGGAGGCCAAGAGGAGACCGAAGTAATGAAGCGCACGTTCACGGTCCCGTACAATGTGCGTATAAAACTGGATCATCGTGTTATACGGCGGGATCCTCGGCTTGAAGTTCTTCTGAGACGTCATTTCCTCAAACAAAACTTCCGCAGACTGTGCATCGCCGACACGACAGCACGCAGCAATTACCGCACCATATGTAACCGACGACGGACGTACAAAGTTCGCTTTCATCTGCTGGAACAGCTCGAGTGCAAAGTCCGCCTTACGCGCACGAGAAAGCTTCGAGATGACAGTGTTGTAGAGGTACAAGTTCGCTACGACGCCGCGCATTTGCGATTCATGCCAGAGTGCGAGAGCGTTAGCACTATCGTCCGTCGTCTCGCGTACACATTGTATGAGCGCGCCGTAAGCGTCTGGAGATGGGTTCCCACCTTGGTCGATGATACGTTGTCTGTGTATGTGTGCTTTCTCGATATGCCCTGCGTGTGCCAGTCCGATGATCATTTGGTCTTCGATTGCGTACCACCCGACGGATTGGAGTTCTTTGTCGTTTTCGTATGCTGCAAGTACGCGTTGACCGTCTGCATAGAGTCTATGTACTTTCTCCATATCGTTGAGTCTGCCGAACGTAGCGATCAGACGTCCTACAACGTCCGGAGTCGGGTACACGTTCTTTGCGACACCTTCCTCGTATCGTGCCCATGCCTGTTGCGGTGTGCAGACAGGGCTGGCGGGGAAGTACTCGTCGACTCTACGACTGTGCTCCCGATCAATCCGAATAGGGGTGGGTAGGTCCCTGTTACCATACGACGCAGGAGATGCTCCCCTGCTCGTAACAAAGCGTGTCCATTTATGACCGAGTATACTGAAAATATTGTACGCTTCCGTCTCGCCGTAAGCCTCCATGATCAAGTTTGCCACCTCAGGTGAGGGAGTGTGCCATGTTGTCCGCCTGTCGTAGTCCGAGTATACTGCATCCTTCATGTACACCTTGAGCTCGTCAAGTCCGAAGCCCTGGGAATGGGAACGCTTCAAGAACTGCTCATCTGAAAGGAGACGTACGGCTGCTTTTGAGAGCATCATCCAGTGACGAGGACCGAGCTGTTGGAGTTCTCCTTGAGACTTCAGCGAGAGATACTTCTTCATCAGGAAGAAGTTGTATTGAGAACCCGGGAAGCAGAGCGTATCGTCAAGCAACTTGTCCACCTTGGCCATGAGATCTAGCGAAACGCTCTTATTATCGTAGAGCATGGCAGGTAAGACTTGTCTAATGAGATCGTGCAAGCCCCTGCGCTTCAATACGATTGCACCATTGTCCACGTCCATGTCGGTTTCGAACCTGTTCAAGAGGGCGCTGCATTGTTTCCCGTGTCGCTCAAGTATTTCAAGGGCCTGTTTTGCCTTAGAATGCTCGCAAAGGATGGTAAGGAAATCGGCGAAAGTCCCGTTTTGATATTCCAAGGGACCGAGAGGATGCGTGCTGTCCATATATGACGGATCGATAATGTGTTCCTTGATAAACTTGACGCGAGCCTCAAATTCTGAAGAGCTTATCCCTTCCGTGCGCAAGTTCTCGACGTTCAGCGTAAATACATTAACACGGTCGAACATCCTGACGGTCAACCCTTCGACGTCGGCTACCTCGGTGAGCTGCTTAAACTTCTTGTTCGCCTCGGCGAGCATCCCGCGTTCGATCAGTGCCTCCATAATTGCGTTCCACGCGTTCTGGTCCGGCCTCGGAGTCTTTGCGCTCGGGATCAATGGGTGTCGACTAACAGAGTCCTGTTCGAGCATGCGGTTGAACCAAGCAAGTGCACTCTGAATATCATCGTTCTCCACAAACCCACGGATGAAAGCCGAGTAGACCGATGCGCAAGGGAGCGGAACGTCTGTAGGACCGAACGCGACGGGTGCAGAGGAGTCCATCATCTGTTCGAGTAGATTGAGCGCCTTGACGGGTTGTTTTGCGCGGAAGTAGGCTTCGATCATCTTTACCCAGATGAGCATCTGCGATGCGCGTGCTTTGCCTGAACGTAAATCGTCTGAGAGAATATGGTTCTGTAGGTCGTCTCTGTCTGGTGCTGGCCAGCTGACACGATTTTCCTTTGCTGCCAGAAGGAACTCTTCGAAGACGTCTTGTGCGGAGTCGAGATCGCCTGCCGAGGTGTAAGTGCCGAGTAAGTGTAGGTAGCTTGTCGCATCGGGTATGTATCCCCGAATACTCTCGATTGCACCCCAGATACGGACCGCAGAGTCGGTGTTCGCATGAATCATACATGAACGGAGAAGAGTACTGTATACTTCCGGGCCAAGGGACAAACGCCGACCGTCCCTGTCGCGGAACAGCGTCTGTGCCGCCTGGAAAACGAGCATCGCCGATGTGAAGTTATCCTCCTCGCGCAATAACTCGAGGTTCTTCTGATCCATGGTGTATGCATTTCCGTGTGTACGACCGGAGAGCTCACGACGTTTCTGACGCCACTCATACTGTGAACAAACACGCTCAACTTCCCTATCGCGTTCGCACAGTGCGAGGATCATCATCTTGTACGTGCGTACATTCGGAGCGACTTGGCGCGTAAGCATATCATTGTAAGTCTCAAGGATGACCGTGATGGGTTGACCGCCTTTACGAGTTACGACGAGAGAGTATAATGCCTCGTTGTAATCGCGTACCGTAGCGCGTGTACCAGATGACCGGAATTGCAAGACCTCAGAAACGACCCGGGCGTCGTCATTCGCTATGCGAGCAGCCTGAAGACGCCTCGCGAACTCGGAGTTGCCCTTCTCGCCCACATTATCACGAGCATCCTCCGGCGCTGGTTCACTGGGCGGTAAGACGGTTTGCGGGGCGCTAGGGTCGACGGAAAGAGCCTCTTCAGCACTGATGGGAGCCTGTTCGAGTGAAGCGGTCTGGGGCGAAACCTCATCTGCCAGTTTGAGAGGTTCCAGTGGTTCCAGAGATTCGATATCGGACGCATTAGATGCAGCCGTAGAGTTTCGACGGACCAAGACACGTGGAGAGGCAACACTGTCAGTGCGCTCCTCCTTCGTCTCAATGCTATCTGCCCCGGTAGCTGTGGCAAGGGCATGTGAGCTACGGGCCTGGTGGAGTTGTACCGTTCGTAGAACACCAAAAGTCTCTGCACGTTTTTGGCGACCTGTACCTGTCAAGTGAAGACTGTTGCTCCGAGGACGGTGACGGGAATTGATAACCAATGAACGACGTGTGAGTGGGAGGTCGTCGTCGTCGTCCGCACGGCCATTCGAGTTGTCATGAGCCGAGGTTGAATTTGCCTGAGTGACAGCACGCCCGGCACCCTAAACAAAAATACACCGTTCAAAATCAAATGAAGAAAAAAAAACGCAAAGAAAAAAATCGTACAGTATATCCCTGATAAAACCGACTACCAGTATTATACTTCGCACCTCCCGCACTGCCCCAGCTACTTCCACTGCTAGCAGCATTCGTCCAATTGCTCAACGGACCAGAGGACGAAGCGGACGTAGCACCTTGGTTTTGCAAACCAAGGACATTACGGAGAGCATGGTTCTGCGCAGCGGCCTGCGCGGCGCGCTGCGTATGGTGGAAGACGTGACTCGCGAACTTGGGCAGCATATGTACACTGCGCGAGTCTTAACTGTGTGCGCGCAGCACGTCTACGTAGAAAAATCCTTCTCTTCTTCGAGTCAGAAGTTGTATGAGTGATGTTTCGCTGCACAGCGCGGACGCACAGCGACTCGCTACTTATTTGATCACTGTGTTTGAGTGTGTTGTGGAGGAAGACGAGGCTTGCTCGCTGGGAGGAATTGTGAGAGCGAGAGAGCCTGACTGAGTGGGGGTGATGGTGGGTAATAGTACAGCGCTGGAGGGGGACGATTTGACTATGGTACAGTCGAGTGCCGATCTTACGCGTTCTTAAAAACACAGCCGTCGTTCCGGGTGCTCCCGCCGACTACATCCGCCACGAATGACGTCCTTTCTTACTGCTCCTCTCATTTTCTGCCAGTATTTCAGCCTATATACGTGTCATCTTATGCTGTTTGCAATTAAACACAACGTTTATAGCCAACCATTTGAAATGGCGAGAGAAAGGACGTGAGAAAGGTCGGCGAAAGTGACTCGATTAGAAAATTCCAGTGAAAATTACACTAAAGTCACATGATGTCACGTGCCACGCTCAAGGGTCAACGGACTTTGTGCTGGCGAATGAGGATACTTGGACGGTGAAGTCTCCGCTATTCGAGGAGATTCGCAAACGTCAAGAATCGAAAAAAAAAGGTCTTCATTTGCCAGTCGAAAATATAGCGTAACGTTAGAAGCGAGACATAAGGGAAAAGCCATGCGTCATCAACGAACAAAACAGACTACTACCTGGCTCTAATACATTGTAATTTGTATCGACATCCAAAACGTAAACAGTAACCTCTCCTTCCCATTTTTACCTTCCCCTGCCTTCCTTCTCCGCATCCCCCCGCAACCGTAAATTACGCCACTTAGAAGCACTTGCGGTGCACAATACCCGGACCGGACTCGTCGTACTCCTGCTTCGAGCACCACAAGTTCTGGAAAGTTGACAGAGACGCGAGAATCGATCCACCAATCCAGACAGAGTATTTACGCTCGGGAGGTGCGACAATCTTCACCTTCATCGATGACGGCGACAGTGAGGTGAGCTCCTTCTGCATACGGTCAGCAATACCCGGGTACATAGTTGTACCACCCGACAGGACAACATTGCCATACAAATCGCGTCGAATATCGAGGTCGCACTTGTAGATAGAGTTATAGGTCGTCTCATGGATACCTGCAGCTTCAAGACCGAGGAATGATGGCTGGAAGAGAGCCTCAGGGGCACGGAAGCTAAAGAAGCCGATTGTTTAGTTATGTTATGGGATAAGTATTTAGAAGCCCACTAACCGTTCATTGCCGATAGTGATGACCTGACCATCCGGAAGTTCGTAGCTCTTCTCGAGCGCTGAACTTTGAGCAGCAGTTTGCATCTCCTGCTCAAAGTCCAGAGCGACGTAGCAGAGCTTCTCCTTGATATCACGGACGATTTCACGCTCAGCAGTAGTCGTGAAGGGGTAACCACGTTCCATCAAAATCTTGATGAGGAAGTCCGTCAAGTCACGGCCGGCAAGGTCGAGACGCAAAATAGCATGTGGGAGCGAGAAACCCTCATAGATAGGGACGGTGTGGGTAACACCGTCACCAGAGTCCAAAACGATACCAGTAGTACGACCGGACGCATATAGTGAGAGGACAGCCTGGATAGCGACGTAGAAGGCGGGAGCATTGAAGGTCTCGAACATAATTTGCGTCATCTTTTCCCTGTTTGCTTTAGGGTTAAGCGGTGCCTCAGTGAGCAAGACGGGGTGTTCTTCCGGAGCAACACGAAGCTCATTGTAGAAGGTGTGATGCCAGATCTTCTCCATGTCATCCCAGTTTGTCACAATACCATGTTCAATCGGGTATTTGAGGGTCAAGATACCACGTTTCGACTGTGCTTCATCACTACATAATCCATCAATCGGTGGATCAGCAGGAAGTGCATGGAAGTATCGGCGTACCCAACATAGGAGTCCTTCTGACCCATACCCACCATCACACCCTGGTGACGGGGACGACCGACAATCGACCTGAAAGTGCTCAATGAACGCGTGCATCTCGTAATACAATGCTAATGAAACCTACGGGAACACGGCACGAGGTGCATCATCACCTATCACGGATGATCAGGAAAATATCAGGTACCATGGACATTGTTTATTTACCAGCAACTGTGCACAAACAAAGTCAGTTCTAATCTCAAATATGTCCAAGGAGCAACACCTACAGCCAGCTTTGCACATGCCGGAACCATTGTCGATGACCTGCGATGCGATGGGAGCAACATCACATCAATACACGATAACAGCGCATGTAAGCACATCAAGTAATAGACATACGAGCGCTGCGACTTCTTCCTCCATTTTAGTTAGATTGTCGTAAGAAGAGAAAAGAAAAGTTCGTTAGAGAGAAGTGGTGGAGACTGTCGATGCAGCGCGCAGTTGATAGAGGGTTTAAGTAGTCCAGTGCGCAGCACCAGGCGGTGCAGAACGAAACCAACAGGAGCAGTGAGCGCAGTAGACGAGCGCGTGGAGCATTGATTGGATGAAGCAAGATTAGCAGAGAAAGGAAACGAATTGTCAGATTGGATAGCTTTGTATCATAGTCCGCGGGGGATCACGTACCTCTGCTCGACGACGACGACGAAAGCGCAGACGTTGACGATAGATGGACGAGGAAATGGAACGAGGGCACAGGGCGCGTGAAGTTATCTGATCGCTTTAGTCACAAAGTCCCACGCTGTCACATCCATTCGTGTCACGACCGCGACGCGTCACCTGCGGTGGAAAGCCAAAGCACTTGAGCTTGTCTTCAGCAGCATTTCCCTGTTCTCCTCAATACCTCTACCACCCTTTGACCTTGTTGCTGCCGCGGCAGATACAACTCGTCAACCATGCCGCTCGAAGCAACGATGATGATACTTGACAACTCCGAATACATGCGCAACGGAGACTATCCAGCTACGCGTTTCGACGCCATGGCAGACGCCGCACACATAATCTTCACGACCAAGACGGACAGTAACCCAGAGAACAGCGTCGGTGTCATGACAGCAGCTGGAAAAGGCCCAGAAGTACTCGTAACACATACTCGTGAGCTCGGACAAATTATCCAAGGCGCGCACGATGCAAAGACGAAGATCGGTGGAGCTGTGGACATACCTACCTCGATTAATGTTGCTCAGCTTGCACTTAAGCATAGGCAGAACAAGAATCTACGGCAGCGGATTATTTTGTTCCTTGGGTCGCCACCAGAGGGGCCTGGAGTTGATGACAAGAACTTAACTCGACTCGCGAAGAAGCTTAAGAAGAATAACATTGCTCTTGACGTTGTGGCCTTTGGCGATGGTATTGAAGAGGGAGAGACTTCATTAATGAAAATGCTTGTTGATGGTGCGAATAGTGGAGACAACTCGTGAGCCGTGCCCGTGCCTCTCAGCCCTTTATTATAAATCTGATATATACCTATTCAGACACTACTTAGCTGTACCTCCAGATCCACGTCGATTATTATCCGACGTCATCATTTCTTCTCCCGTATTATCACAAGACCGAGGGGACCGCGATGCTACTATGGCTGATATCACTAATACAGCCGGGGCTTCAGGTGACAGCGCGTTCGAAGAATATGGTGGAATTGACCCGAGTTTGGATCCGGAACTTGCAATGGTGAGAATGACCAACTCGTCGTATCTATGTTTACTTTCTTCTAACTTGATGTTTGTAGGTTATGCGTATGTCCATGGAGGAAGAACGAGCACGCCAACGAGCTCTACAACAAGCCGCAGAATCCAATACAGCACCACAACCTGACGCGTCAGCCCCTGCCGCGCCTGCACCCGCACCCGCAACCCGGAGTGCTGCACCTGGTCCTTCCACTTCAACCCCTCAACCCACAGCACCTATACCTGCGTCTACCGCAGAGGACGATGACGAAGAAGCGGCATTACAAGAAGCACTCAAACTCTCACAACAGCAAGAGGACGTCGAGATGCACGATGCTTCAGCTACAGCTTCAAAACCTGCAGCTGCTGCTGGTGGAGAAGAGGAAGAGGAGGACGAGGATGCTGCTATCGCCAGGGCTATTGAGATGAGTATGATGCCTGATAATGAGCAGGGAAAAAAGTAGTTGTTGCTTGTGTATGAATTCAGTACTCGTAGGATAACTTCATACATCATTACATTCACTCCATTTGGAATTTCACTTCATTCACTGATTGAGTAATATAAATTACGTAATAATTTGAAGAATAACCCGTGCGGCGAAAGTGAAGGGTTGTTAGACTCAAGAAACGATGGCGAGCGCGACTACGGCGTCGCAATCGGAACTCAAGGCGAACAAAGTGCCTCTTGGCTGGCGAGACCAGTGTTCATCGTGCGTCTTTTCCACTTACATTTGAAAGATGCTAGTAACACGGCGTGCTCATGATGGGGACGTTTTGTTGGATTGGACAGGCTGCTCATCCCGCTTAACGTATGTCGACGGAATAACTCGTACGTACCGTGGAAGTGTGAGAATGAGAGACATTCGTATGAGGCGTACGTTCTTATTTAAGCTGGTGGGATATTTAAACTGATGGCCATTGACTTTGTGTAGGTGCCAGTATCAAGAGTGCGTTGCGTTGTCCTCGTTCTTCCGTCCTTCCCTTTCGAGAAGATTGACTACTGACTGACGATGTTTCAAATAGCTACATGCGTCGTATGAAGGTGCTTTCGAAGCAGAAGCTTGCAGCTGCGGAGGAAGCAGAGTAAAGAGTAATTGCCTAGAGGCTAGAGTCCCAGAACGCAATAATGATATTATTATTGAATTTTGACGACAGACAGAGTGGTGTGTGTATGAATGAACTAGGTCCTAATGCAATGCAATTTCTTCACTCCACCAAGGGAGTCATATTAATCAAGCTTTATGTTCTGCTCCCTCCATGTTCCTTCTCCCACCTCCCAACCTCTTCCTGCACCTTCCTCACAACATCCTCAACTGTATTAACCTTCCCAAACGCCTCCACAAACTCGCCTTCAGGATCCATAAGGTAAAAGTAGATGGAATGGTCAACGAGGTAGTCCCCGTCGGGCTGAGCGTCTTTGGGTGTACTAAAGTAGACGCGGTAGGCTTTGCAGACAGCGCGAGTTTGTTCGTAGGTTCCTGAGAGACCGATGAGTCGGGGGTGGAAGTCGCGTAGGTAGAGTGCGATTTGGGAGGGAGGGTCTCGTGCGGGGTCGACGGAGATGAAGATTGGTTGGGAGATGGGTCCGTATTGCTTGTCTATTATTTCACGTAGGCGGATGTCATTAGTATGTCGTTCGTAGATGTTGGATGTGGGGATAGGAAAGAGCTGAGACGTACCAAGGACGTTTACGACTTCTGTCATCTTGTCGAGCTCTTCGGGACAGATGTCCGGACAGTTCGTGAAGCCAAAGTACACCAGAGACCATTTCCCAAGTAGGTTCTTCTCGGTGAACGGTTCGCCCTTGTGTGTGGTGAGCTCGAATGGACCTCCGACGGCTGCTTTGCCCCATTTTCGGGATTCAAGTTCTTTCTCTACACAAATTCCAATTTGACTTGGTTACTTATATTTTGGAGAGAAAGTAAAGCGTAGGACGCACTCTTCTGCTCCTGTAACTTCTTCTTTTCGTGATTGAAGTAGAAGTAGAGACCGACGCCTGTAAGCACGAAGACTATGGCTGCCTTTGGAGTGAATACCCCGACGGCAGACTTGTCGTTTCCTCTTGGCAGAGATTGCTGAGTTGAGTTATGCCGTCTGTAGACACGATTAGCTGCAAGACTTCGACAGGGCTGAAGAGGACGCCATGAGCGAGCAGAACGGATAGTGAGAGCCCTTGCGTGTATGTTCATGACGAACGTTCGGAACCATCGGATTTGCCCTAAACTGAATATAATTTACATTTGTAGACTTTTCGTAATGTAACTACAAAGTGATTGCACATTTTTGTATATAGATTACAATTAGTCATGGATAACTGAATTGAATTGTGATAAATGACCCTGGTATCATTTTTTAAAGTTTTATATAGATGCATGACACCGACAAGAGCGCGGACTAAATTTACTTCTCTCCTACCCTTCCCCACCTCATCTGATCCCCTCTTATTTTATCCCTGCTGCTGTTTCTCTGCCTCTCTAGAGCTCGTTTTCTTTAAACTGTACGCTCATTGTCTACCCATGCCCGCCGCAGTACCGACACGTCGTCGCAGACACTCAGGCTCAGATAGCCTCGAAGCAGCGCGCGCCTTGCGCAAGAAGGCGCAGTCCATCGAGCATTTAGAAGTCTTCTTGCGTCCTAACTCTGCTCGTCCTCTTGGTGGGGACGACGACGCCCCGGAGGACTTTGCTCACGAGTCCGAAGACTCAGACACCGCTAGCTCCGTCGATAATACCGAAAACTTACCCCCTCCTGTTCCTGTGTCTGAACGACGAACGAAACCGCTCCCTCCTAACAAGAAACAGAAAAACGAAAATACTACTACTGAAGAGAGTACGACAATCGTATCGCCTAAGCCTAGGGCTGCACGACCTGTCCCAATTCTCTCGAATCCTTCGCTCGTCCCGCAGCAAGCACGTCCGCCTGCAGCCAACTCGCAGTCGAGGCGGCTGATTGTTGTGCTTGAGCAGGCATGCCTAGAGGCATACCGTGCTAGTTCTGGTGGCAGCGGTTCAGGGAAGAAGGGAAAGTCGGGCGGTGAGGCGAAATATGCCTTGCTGAACTGTGACGACCACCAGGGCATCCTCGCAAAAACTGGTAGGGACATCGCAGACGCACGACCAGACATCACGCATCAGGTCAGTAATGCACCCCATTTTACCCTCGCATTGAGGAAGTCCGCTTAAGGCTAGCTCCACTTCCTGTCAACAGTGTCTTCTTACGCTCCTCGACTCGCCTCTGAACAAGGCTGGACTGCTGCAAGTGTACATACACACAACCAAGGGTGTTCTGATCGAGATCAACCCACACGTGCGCATTCCGCGTACCTTCAAGCGATTTAGCGGGCTCATGGGTACGGCGTGCTCTCCTCCCCTATCCTATCATTGAGACTCAGCAATCTGGCATCGCCTCTCTCACCTCTGCAGTCCAATTACTTCACAGGCTCTTCATCCGCGGGGTAAATGGGCCCGAGAAGCTGCTCAAAGTCATCAAGGCATGTCCTGCCGCGCATATTTTTACTCATTCGATGTTCTTCTAATATATGCGTATGGATGCTTCATTGCCTCACTACAGAACCCCGTGACAGACCATTTCCCAGTCAACACGTACAAGCTCACCCTGTCGGGCGACGCGCCGACAATACGTCTATCGCGGTACCTGCCGACACTACCGGAGACGCACTCGATTGCTGTCTTCGTGGGTGCTATGGCACGCGGGAGAGATAACTTTGCGGATGGTATTGTAGATGAGAAGATTTCGATCAGTGATTACCCGCTTAGTGCGAGCGTTGCGTGCGGGAAGGTGCGTTTTTCTTTTCTTGCTTACTTGTCCTTGGCTTCTGAATTCAATTCACTTGCCTTTTACCTCGTTTTACTAACTTTGTTTACGTATTGTTATTTTTATCTGACCTATATTTATTCTTTTGCTTTCTAGTTCTGTTGCGCTGTTGAAGAGATGTGGGATATCGTGTGAACCCTCTCTGCCGTCTGTCTAGACTCTTAGGACGGGAAACAACGGAGTCGTCTCTCATTTTCACGTCATCCACTTGTATTTTCGGCCCTCGTCCGATGCTTCTCGTTTCCACGCATATACTTCATGGCTTCTGTTGCCTCTTTCCTATCTCATCTTACCTCACCTACTATCCTACCGTTTCCCGTCCCATCTTATCACATCCGCCTGTACCTGCATATCGTCATCATCATCTCTCATCTCATCTCTCATCTCATCTACCTCGCTGTCGATATCTTCCTCTTTCCGTTACACCCCCTCTCTCTTCATGTCTTCTCTTCATTTCATTTTCTTTGCTCGCTTTTTTTTTTGTTTCTCCTGACTGCCTGACTGTCCGACGCATTCAACGCACGCATACATCAACTTGCATTTCAACCTGCATCAAAAAGAAGATTATTCTCAGATTCTTTTGGATAATAGGTTTCGCTCTTTTCCTTCCTTCCTTTTTTTTGTAATTTTATTAAAAGTATTCTTGCCGGTGGTGGAGGTGGTGTAGGTTGCGGGAGTCGTGGATGGAGGAGGAGAGTTTGGTTCGGGTTTACGCTCGAGAGCGAGATTCGGATCCAGCTCGGCGGAGGGTGTGGAGAAGCAGATTGAAGAGGACTAATAGTTACTGTGCATTAGGTGTACAACCATTCCAAACGCATACAAAGGAGGACGAGGCAGAGGGAGAGACAGGCAGGAGAGTTAGGCATTACTTTCATTCAGATCGAAAGGATGATGAAAGGACCTGAACACGTTACGGTGTTCAACCCGCTGTTTTTTGTGTGGCGACTCAACTCGTCAGAGGTTCTTTTACTCGTCTGAAGATCTTGGACAATGATATGTTTGCTGTTTGCTGCCTGTCTTTGAGCCTTTTTTGTCGAGTCCTTTGTCCTTTGAGATGTGATATGATATTGATGTGTGAAACATATCTTGGGTGATGTTTGTGATGATGTTTGATACAGATAAGGCGAGCATATAGAGAGACGATGTTATATGGTAACAACAGGTCATCAAGAATAAAAGGAGATGAAGAACGACTCGGTGAATTGTAAGTAGTAAGAACTAACAAGAGAGGATGTACAGTCCAACAGGATTGCGTACATATCTGTGTAAAGTAGCAACAACTACTAGCTAAACAAAATAAGAATAGAAACTTCACTGAACACTATCTCGAAACGAAAATCAAAATGATAATAAGGACAAAGTAAGATTGAAAAACATTGCAGACAGAGCTAACTGTGCAACGGAATTCACAATAGGAGAATGGACAGTCAAAGTATTACATCTGAAGAAAAGCATTACTGTCAAGGGCAGATATAGGTATTTTCTATTGAGTAAAGAATTAAAGAAAACATTGTCAAAAGTTAGAATTATGAGGAAAGCATTGATCGATAACTATCCAGACATCAATAGAGGTCATGTAGCTAGTGACCAGCTTTTTCAAGACAACTTAGCCATACAATTGGTATCTTTTTGTATGAGCAATGAATTCAAGGCAGTTCTTTACTTGCGTGAGGCAGAGCTTCGCTAAATGACGCGGTCAATGTTCATTGTTCATGATTGGTCGGCTTGATTGTCGTCACATGTGGGCGGTGCAGACCGAACCACGTGCCGCAGTGCGGCAGTGGCCTCTGCCATTTCACCTGATATAAATTTGATTTCTTTCAGTCTCAGTATTGATCACCTCCAGTGACGACGAGAGCCACGCCAAGGAACATCTATTTTCATGTACGTAGTGGTGGGAAACAACTTGAAAGTTTTCCAGCTTTGACGTCATTTGCCAGTCAGTCAGACCGAAGGCGAAAACCTCGCGAGTGCGCCGAGGCACCAACGCAATCACGAGTTGTCGAGTCGAAGCCCGCGTCGTCCTTTCACGTCTTTGCAAAGACACACATAAACTTTCCTCAGAACCACCACCTCAAACTACACGGAATACCCTATCGATAGACGAACTCAATCATGGCAGAGCCAACTGCTGCTACGAACTCAACGGGTGTTACTGACTCAAACTACGTTCCTCCTCCGGGTCGACTGGGGAATCTCACCCAAGAACAGCAGCAGACGCTTGAGAAATTCAAGCAGGAGATCAAGGATGCAGGATATTTCGTAGAGGAACGGATGGATGATGCGACGCTTCTAAGGTGGGTTTAGCCTTCTTTGGCGCTGTGTCTGTGACCTCACATTTGATATAGGTTTTTACGAGCACGGAAATGGGATGTGGCACTGGCTAAGAAAATGCTCATTGATGCGGAGGATTGGAGGAAGAGGAAGAACGTGGATGATATCGTGAAGTAAGCGCCCATAATTCATCCTTGATCGGCAGTCGATAATCGTGATTCCGTTATTCGCAGAAACTTCAAGTTTGACGAGAAGAAGTTGGTTGACAAGTATTATCCCCAATATTACCACAAGCAAGACAAGGCAAGTGTGCTCAATGCTTATCAAACTAAATCCTATCTCACTCTCAATTTCTTATCGTAGGATGGACGTCCCTTATACATAGAACGTCTTGGCAACGTTAACGTCACCGAACTACGGAAAATCACTTCACAAGAACGGCAGATCCAAGCTCTCATCCTCGAATACGAAAAGTTCTTGACCGAGCGTCTCCCGGCATGCTCCAAAGCCACGGGTCACCCAATTGAGACTTGTACGACGATCCTCGACCTCAAGAATGTTGGGATCAAAGCATTCTGGGATGTCAAGGGCTACGTAAAGGATGCCAGCGAGATCGGACAGAATTACTACCCAGAGACGATGGGCAAGTTCTATATTATCAACGCACCATGGATGTTCACTACGGTCTGGAGTGTCATCAAGGGATGGCTCGATCCCGTCACTCAAGCGAAGATTAACATCCCTTCCGGCGATGGTAGTAAGGAGCTCCTTGAGCAGATCCCGGCGGAGAACTTGCCTGCGGAGTTTGGTGGATTGTGCCGTTGCCCTGGTGGTTGTTCGCTTAGTGATGCTGGTCCTTGGAACCCTCCACGAGAGACAGAAGTCGCAGAACAGAATGTGGCAGATGGGAATGCACAGTGATACACGGATATATGTGGTGTAGATAACATTGGCTCTTTCGATTCTTTTTTTCGCATTCTGAACAGTGTAATAGTGCGCAGAGCTTTAGGTAGACGTAAACAGAGGATTTAATTTTGAAACTCAGAATGCAGCGAGTTACGTCAACTGAACATTGTGGAATTTTTGCTACTTGGTCCACTTTCTAGGACATCTTGACGGAGAAAGTCGAAGTTGGGCATTACATACTCTTCACGAAGTATCCTAATTATTATTGTTAATGAGTCTGCGATCTTTTCAAACTTTGGCCCATGAACGAGTGAAACATTCCGAGCGATAAGGTTTAGACATTTGGGTAGTCCACATTTGGAAAGAGACAAAAATCTTGCATCGTCTCTACTTGAACACTGGGATACAACTTCTACCGTAAACATTACACAAAAGTACAAGAAATCCGTATAGAAATCACCCACAACTGTCAAGGGCTAGTATAAATATTACAATCTGTCCATCGTCGTCTTGCCTCCCCACCTCGTTTCTTTCATTTCACACTCGAAATGAAAACAGGGCCCGAACACGCTTTTGTGGTACGCCAGGCTAGCTTGTACAAGGACTATCAAGCGGACTAGGAATTATTATGCGGACTCTCGCTAAATTTCTTGACGACTTTGATTACTTTGACTTTTTACGTCCTTTCTCTCTTGGCAAATACGCGCTGCTTTTGATGGTACCCTTAACTTGGTCTTGCGTCGTGTTTAGGAGTCATCTGGATCCTCTTCCTCTTTTAGCGAATTCGTTACCACTACTACTGCGTAGGTTTCTGAGACCTGCGAAGACGATTACGTGGACGTGGAATGGATCGATCTGGAGTTCGGTTTGGGAGTTTGTACGGTCGTTCTTTCGGAAGGAGAGCCCGTGTAAGACGTATGATACCCCTGAACAGGAGGATGCTTATTGGAGGAATGCTGAGCTTGGACAGAAGGAACTGTCCTTCTCCGATGCTCGATTTGGGAAGGGGAAATCTAATGGACCTTGGAATTCTCGAGGAGAGAAGCCGATTGTGTACTATGTACCTCGACTTCTACCGGAATATAGAGAGAAACGGGGAAAGCGTGACGATCAAGTAGAATTTAACGTTCCGGCGAAGTCCGTTGTTAGATGGCATTGGCTTGTCTTTCCTGGTGATGTGAGTGGTTTTCTTCGCACCAATGTGAAACGAATATTGACGTTATGAATCATGAACTAGCCTCACCCTACGTTTGTGCAGGCTTCTCGTTTAGTGCGGTATCTCAGTACCCGAGATCTTCGACAGATGTATCACATCTCAAAATTTGGACGGAAGTTGCAAATGCGTTCGATCAACCGTGATGCACCCTGCTGTCCGGCTAAGCGGACTAGAGGAGTCAGAAGGATACCTTCTACAGGCCAGGTTTCCAATGCCATGTATAAGGAACTCTGGCGAGAGTGGCTCCAAAATAAACCATCAGATCCAATCATTTGTTTCGAGGATGAAGACTAAGACTGGGTGAGAACCTCTTCTTGAATATTGTTGCTTTGTGTATTGTTGACAGAACTGTGCAAAAGTAGGATCCGGTTTACAATCAGCTTTTCTTTATTTCATATAATAAAATGTGTAATAACATGTATTGCTTGAGCAACCAGTGAATTCCTGTTATCTTGTGTCTCATAGTATAACATTTTGTGCCAGGCGACCATTCTATTATTTTACCGGGAGAGACACAATTCAAAGAACTCCAGAATATTCCAAAAGCATCCTGTATCGTCTATTAGTTTGCAAAGGAGAATGCATATATTCAAAACATCAGGACATGGTGGAGGAAGAGTACCATGGTATATCCATTTTAACCAGAATGCTTCATTTAAACCTAGGATAGTATTGCGTCAAATAGTAAATCGAAGAAACCAATAGTACATAGATTTTTGTTTTGTTCATGCAGCCTAACGCCGAAATCAGAATGCGAATAACTAGGTAGATTGTCACTCACAATTACTATTAGCTATGGCTTTTCCTTTTACTCGTCACCCTAGTAAAGCCTTCGTCGTCTACTTCAGGCTCTTCTCGAGATTTCTGCGTTCGTGGTTGTAATAGCGGCGGAACCTCATCGCCATCACTTTCCGCTTCATCGTCGTCTTCCCATTCGCTACCGCTGCCGTCTACTTCAGCATTTGAGTCTACGACCTCTTGATGTGGAACCTTCTTCCCCCTCGCTTTATTCACTTGCTCTTCCCAGAGCTCAACAGCTGCTTTCATTCGTGGTTCGGCTTCCCTCATCTCCCACAAGCTCACTATGTCACGAGCAACCGCCTCTGAACTTCCGTCCTCTAATATTACGTCGAACTCGTCGTCCATGATTTGTAGCAGCATTTCTTCGACGTAAGGTGCATCTGGTGTTTCTAGAGATTGGCTAGGATCGAACTCGTCGACGATTACGGACGCCATCCAGGTTTGTTTCTGTGTAGATTCTGGACCACCCCAGGATTGGTCGATAGCGAGACGGAGTGCGTGCCAGGTACCGAGACGAGCGATTACACCTCGTGCAAATAGAACAAGTAACGGGTCAGGAGCAGATGCTGCTGTCTCGTTAGTTAATGTTGACGCCATAGATGTACAACTGTTTTGTATGCAGAGTAGACTGTTTAGCGATAGTGGTAGTAGCGGATGAAGTAAGAGCTTCCCGATTCGTCTGTACAAATTTTTAAAACGCTGCTCATGCTCAGCGCCATTGCCGCACGGAAGGCGGCTCAAGCTGCAACGCTCGCCTCGGTCTCTCAATCTACCCCTTCTACGTCAAAGACTGTCGATGTACCTGATAATGACTCGAACTCGGATTCTGAGCACCTCGAGACCGCGGTGCTTCGGTCACTACAAGCTAAACGCAAGGCAACGGAAACTCGGAGCGCAGAGACGCCTGTAGCACGCAAAAAACGACGGAAGAAATCTGTGAACGTTGACGCATCACATGCTCGTTACTACCAGCTAGAAAATGAGGCTGTCCGAGACGATGAAAAGCCTGACAGCTCGTCAAGTTCCTCGAGTGACGAAACTGAAGGCGGATACAGTAATCCAGATTTCAACAATGTCATTCAATCTCATCCACCTCGGAGACCAGCGCGGGCTTGGTCACCTAGTCGTCCGCCAGCCAGCTCTTCTGATGATGAGGTCGACTATCCTATTCCAGGTGCCTTACCTCCAGAAATCCAACCAGAAACTGCCTTTCGTTTAGGACCGCCTCAGATCACCCAACATCATGCTCCGCAATACCTATCGTTCGTTCCTCAGCTAGACAAGAATGTATTCTACCTTGACGGGTGTGACCATGATTTCTTATCAGGTCGCAAGGGCACCGTAGTTTCGTTAGCGGAGAACGAGACTATGGCGTTGCTTGGTGTATATTCACTGACTGTCCTCAGAGGTTCCATATCTCTCATGGGTGCCGAGGTATATGCCTACCCATCAAGGTCACATATAATCTATGCTCCGAGATGTTCCCCAGTTCCTGTTATTCGAGCCATTGCTTCTGGCGACCTTAATACTCCGAATTTACCATATGAAATCAATCGCAAGGTCGATCAGAAAAGTATACTTATTTTACTGGAGGATGTGTCTACCGGAATTGGAAACATCGGGCGAGTGTGCAAGACATTCGAAAGTGCATTCGAGCTTTCTTCGTTCGGTGAAAGTGTTTTGAACTTGGCCAGTGCAAAACTTGTAAGAGCAATTGTTTCTTTTTTGAAACGTCATATATTTATTTGCGTTGCAGCTTTCTTCTATACCACGTTCGTTGCAACCCTTCCAGGTTCCGGACTCTTGGAAGGCGGCTTTCTCATCTCTCCCTATTTGCTTCTCGGAAGAGCACGATGAGGATGTGCAAAGTTTAGATCCCGTCACCGTCTTGGTACGAGGACGGAAGCGAACCGGGAAAAGCACATTGGCGCGAACGCTTGGCAATCGTCTTCTGAATAGATATCGACGTGTTGCATTCCTGGAATGTGATGTGGGACAAACAGAATTCACTCCTCCTGGATTGGTCTCGCTGCACGTTATCGACGGTCCTGTTTTTGGTACGTGAATTCTACTAAGGATGTTGTGTCAGAAAGTTGATACAGATTTTCTCTAAGGTCCCCCATTTACTCATCCTGCTCTTCCATACGCCTCGCATTACATAGGCGCAACTACGCCGCGTAATAATCCTGAACATTATCTTTCAGCTGTGTCTGCGCTTGTGGAAACGTACAAGCTCGAGGTACAGTATCCAGCTCCGGAGGACGAACTGTACGAGACCGATGAGGATGATCGCAAGAATGCCGACGTCATTCCTTTGGTTGTTAATACTATGGGATGGACGAAGGGTCTTGGAACGGACCTCGCGAGACGTGTTGAAGAGCTGGTAGCACCCACGCATATGGTTTTTGTCGGGTCTCTGACTTCAAACATGAATGAGTTATCCATGAGGTCTACGATCTCAACTGGGAGCGAATATGATAGGAGCGGATCTGGACCGCGAACGTTTGAAGTAGAGGCGATTTCACTTGATGCGCAATCTGCACGTTACTCTGCTGCGGACTGGCGCACACTCTCGTTGATGTCTTATTTTCACTCTATTCCTTCGCCATCCCAGTTTGATCTTCTTCCTGTCCCCGTTCGGAACCGTACCTCTGCATCTCACGACTCTTGCGCACTGCCCTGCACGTGGGACTTCCGCCTTCCTCTCATTGCTCAAGTGCCGTACGCGGTTTCAGTTGGAGAAGCGATAGACAATGTCTTCCTGGTAGGTGCGGGTATGGAGGACGTGGTACCCTTGGAGATCTCACGAGTATTGAACGGCGCGATAGTCGCACTTGTCTCATGTCAACCAGATGTTCAAGATGATCACACACACGACGCTCGCGAGTCGAGATTGCCTTACACGCAAGGTGCTCCTCCATCAGACCCTTCAAGGTCAAATTGCATTGGCCTCGCACTCATCCGAGGTGTCTCGCCTTCGCTATTTGACTCGACATCTCAACCGGAGAATGAAAGCTCGAGCTCGATGAATGACGTCTTGCATATACTCACTCCAGTGCCTCCGACTTTAATCGCCGCTGCCGAAGCACGCTGTCTTGTCAAAGGCGAGGTTGAACTGCCAGTGTGGGGAATGCTGGATTATCGAGAGTTGGAGCGCGATGGTTCGCTATCAAGAGGAATGGATGGAATCCCGTACTTGCAGTGGAGTAAAAGTGATGCGATTGGTGCAGAAAGGAGGAGGGTGAGGAGGAATATTATGCGGAGGGGACAAATGTAATTGAGTGCTGCGTTTCACAATGGATGAAGCTTGTATCTTGAATATGAGCGTAGCGCGAAGTACTTTTGATACGAATGCTTGAAGAAAATGCATACACGATAGCACGTCTTTTAACGCAATTTTACTGGACGAGGACACTGATTTGTACTTGCAGCAAGATTAACTCCCAATGAAGAAAAGCAGCCCAATTTGAGTTAGACTCTATTTGATTTTGATTAACTGTATGCATGATCGCCATGATCTTCCTACTAGTACTTATCTTATCCTGTAACTACCATGTCTTCAAACAAGGTTGTTTTCACTTCAAATAATGTTCTCCTTCCTGGGAACGAATCTTGCAAGCCTGCAACAGTAATTGCTGACAAGACAACAGGAAAAATCGTCGAAGTCCGCGAGAGTCGTTCCTCTCGTTCTGACTTTCCTGAAGCTAATGATAATGAATGGATCGATGCGGGGGATAAATCAATACTGCCTGGGCTTGTAGAGTATGCTATGACATCTTATCCTCAGCAGCATAGCAATGGAACTTATTTGAACTCAGCTCTCACGTCCATTTGAATGAACCTGGCCGAACAGACTGGGAGGGATTCTGGACGGGCACTCAAGCGGCTGTGGCGGGTGGCGTCACTACAGTAGTGGATATGCCGCTCAACTCGATCCCACCGACGACGACAAAGGAGAATCTAGCGATTAAGCGAAAGGCTGCAAAAGGTCAGTGTTGGAGTGACGTTGCGTTTTGGGGAGGATTGATACCGGGAAATGAGGCATGTTGTCTTAATGGTTGAATTATTAGAGGTTATCTGAGCTTAATGGTGCTTGAGTAGCATGAACTTAGGGCTATGAGTGAAGATGGAGTAAAAGGGTTTAAGTGTTTTATGATTGAGAGTGGAGTCGAGGTAGGATTCATTTATTTTATTCAACCTGAGGTAGGAGACTGAACATTGACCCATGTAGGAATTCCCATGTGTCAAAGCCGAGAACATCGAAAAGGCAATGCAGGAATTGCAGGTAAACGATTTCTTGCTAGCCATAGTTTCGTAATACTGACCCGTAACTAAAGAACACCGATACCGTTCTACTCTTTCATGCTGAGCTTGAATCAGAGAAAGTTCATGCCGAGGCAAGGCCAGGAACAGATCCTCATTTATACGAAACGTACCTCGATTCCAGACCAGAGGAGTTAGAATGCGACGCAATCAATCTAATTATCAGCCTGCAAAAGAAGTACCCGTCAGTGCGTTGTCACATTGTGCATCTCTCCGCCGCCTCTGCGCTCCCGTCAATTCGCGCCGCACGTAAAGCAGGAGCACGTCTAACCGTTGAGACGTGTTTCCATTATCTCGTACTCGCGTCATCGTCAATCCCAGACGCAGCACCGCAGTACAAATGTTGTCCGCCAATTCGTGATGAAGCTAATCGCAATGCACTTTGGGAAGCGTTAGTCGATGGTACGATTGATTGCGTTGTATCAGACCATAGTCCATGTGTTGCAGAGCTCAAACGGCTGCAAGATGGAGACCTTATGAAAGCGTGGGGTGGAATTAGTACTCTTGGACTTGGGCTTAGCTTGCTTTGGACTGAGGGTAAGAAGCGCGGAGTCAGCATTGGGCAAATTATGAAGTGGACAAGTGAGGCGACTTCGAAGCAAGCCTCTTTACAGGACAAGAAAGGAGCGATTCGAGTTGGTTGGGATGCTGACTTGATTATTTGGGACCCAGAAGCCCAATTTAAGGTAAGATTGATTCCTTACTCATAGTTCACAGAAAGCAAAGTATTTCCTAGATCACCAAGGAGAATTTACACTTTAAGAATAAGCTTTCGGCTTATGTTGGTATCACCGTGCAGGGCAAGGTGGAGAAGACGTTCGTCGGAGGCCAACTCGCTTGGAATGCGAGTGTCAATGGAGGAGGCCCGCAACCAATAGGCCATCTTATTTGAGTGAATTATGGAAGATAAATATATTGGGATCTACTGAGCTTCTTGAATAAATGTATACTTTGCCTATGTTCGACGTCATCACAGCAAGAGACGTTGTGTAACCTTACCTCGACGTCGTTACTTATCAATCATTCGGAGCGGTGTTCGGATCGGATAGTTCTATAACTTGCGTGACTGGTCAAAGTATTTCGAAAAGACATTAAGAACCAATATTAAGGCCATAGATTTTGATTGCTTCAGCACGATCTGTCTAGAGGTCTAGCGCCGTCTACCGAAAGCTACGCATTTTGTGCAGATCGAATGCCAGCACTGTAGACGCCCTTACTGAGCTGCGAAAGCCTTGCCCTTCTCGATGTTCTTCTTGAGCTCGGGAATTGCAGCGTCAAGGAGCTTCTGTTCCACAGCAGTGACAGGGCCAACTGGATAAATCTTCTCCACCCCGTTTTTCTACATAAGGCAGGAGATTAGAAGAGGGCAGAGACACTAGAGAAACGTAACATACGCCAAGCTCAACGTTGGAAGCGAAGAAGTCGACGCCCTTGTCTGCGTAGAGATCGTTCTTGACGAACGTTGGAGTAATTACGCCCTTCTCGCCATTGAGACCGCGGAGGAGCGCATTGGTGAATTTAGCCCCGGCATATGCCATCGAGAGAGTTGCGGAGCCAGCACCATCCTTCGCCTTCACAACCTCGTCACCACCGAACTGGATACGGTGGACAAGCTTTTCGTACGTCTCGCCAGTAATCGACTTGCCATAGTTGTTCTGGCTCAGGAGAGGGACGATGGTAACGCCAGAGTGACCACCAACAACCGTAATCGGCGCTTCAGCGGGCGCGACGTTCACGGAACCGGAGACAAAACGAGCGGCACGAACGACATCGAGCGTGGTAACACCGAAAAGGCGGCGCGGGTCAAAGACACCAGCCTTCTCAAAAACGGACGCGACGATGGGGACAGTAGAGTTGACAGGGTTGGAGATGACAAGAACGTGTGCCTCGGGCGATACACGGGCGACAGCAGAAGCCAAATCCCGGACAATAGAAGCGTTGGTCTGAAAATTCCGGCAAGCGCGTGCAGAACATTAAACTATCAGAACTCTATTAGTACACTTGTTCGCCAATAGTACTCACATTGAAAAGGTCATCCCGAGTCATCTACAACGCGTCATCTGTTCGGTAAATGTGTTCTAACAACTTAAATGTGGAAAAAATTGCTTACGCCCGGCTGTATTCAAATTAGTAAATTATACATTAATTCCGAGAAGTCTTAAATGACGAACCTTCCTCGGAACACCAGCTGGGATAACGACTACTTTTACACCGTCAAGAGCATCATCAAGCTTGTCAGCGGGGTATCCCTTGACCTGAATAGTACAACCAAGATTAATAAATTGTTATGATGTTTTTTTTACATGAGAACACGTACCTCTCCAGGAGTGTCAACATGGCTGACATCAGCAGCAACACCGGGTGCCAAACGAATATCGTACAGGCTAAGGGACGACACGAGCGGGTCGAGCTTCAGCAGCAGGGACAATGGTTGGCCAATACCTCCGCTGGCACCGAGTACGGCCACCTTCGTGTGGCGTGACGCCGACGATGAGAAGAGGCGAGCGTTACTCGTTAATACGCGTGCTGCTTGTCTGACAAACATGATGAGAAAGAGAGGGCGTGGACGTTGTCGAAACTGAAGAAACGTTGGGGAGCGTGCTCACGGACATGTCCTGCGGCTTTAAAGGGATTTCGCGATTTCCGGCTTCCTCCGATCACGCTCCGCTTATGTCATACAATGGGGGTTTGCACTTTGAGAGTGAACGCGACTTTACCCTATCCCATATTCTACGAATTTGACGTTAAGGACGTACCCAACTCTTCATTGACACCTCGCCTGCGAGCTCATTAGCAAGGATGTCGCTGTTAGCTTCTATGCTTTCAGCATGCCGCGCTGGTTGTCATTCGAACTGATGGAATCCTGTTATTCAGTCTGCGATAATCTGTCTCGAGTACTGCACAGTCAATATGCCGCATAGTGTGTCTAGCAGCTCCTTTGACCCGTGGAATTTATCCCGTACAAGCTTACCGCAGCTAAAGGTCTAAGCAGTGTCGACTTCAGAATGATGGCGTGCTCTTCACACCATTGCTGATTTGCGACATTTTCCCCCTCCATCTTTCCAGAACCAATCTTAAGGAGGTATCCAGAGGAGCAATCACCTACCTACGGGAGACTGTCGTTTCGGCATGCTCCGACTGCTTGTGCCTTAACATTGCTCGTCGCTGTTCGTATGTACCAAGCACGTGATCAACTTTTTACCTTTTCGTCCGCCTGAGGGTACATTTTCCTATCAAATCTATCACATACGGCTTGCATAATGGAAAGGGTGTTCAGGAGCTTTCATGATGTCCCTGAGCCCCCTACCATTGTCATAAGGCAAATGCTCTACTTGTCTGTGTATTAATGGGCCAAGCACAACTTTGCTGCAAACATTGCAATACAGCAGCTGGATGAAGCACAAATAGTTACCTAGCAATCGAATCCCACAGGTGCCCACAACGCCTTCCGCTCTCTTTCGACACCTCGATGTGTCAGGAAGCGCAGAACTTTCCCGTATACTCGTAGTATGGCACTGCGGATTCTCAGAGGCACCGAAGTGCCCATCGATATCTGGTGGCAGGTCATGGTGAGATGCGGACCTAGCGAAGTAGTATCTCTCGAAATGGTCAGTTCTTCCTCTCTTTATTACCTATTGGTCGACGTCTCAATGTTTCTGTGCTTAGTGCTGCAAATTGTTCCATAGTCTCGCGAAAAGTCGAACCATTTGGATGCATTGCCTTCAAAATCTTGGTCCATTAGAGCCCCCTAACCTACCCATTCATATTTCCCCTGATACTCTAAGCATATCAGACCTGCGCAGTGTTGCTGTGGGTGCCCGTAGACAAGCATTACTGGGTGCAAGCGATTCTTCACCCAGGATAGTTCGAGAGATAGCCATTTCATTAGAAGGAGCCAACCCTGATGAAGTGCTTGGCGAACCGGTTGAATTTGGCATGCACCTGTGTCTCGTCCCTGGTGGTGAGTTTCTTTTGATATATTGGCCAGCGGGATATCTTCAGTGTTGGTCTGTGCAAAACAAGAATTGTCTGTGGGTATATCCCGACCTCCCTGAAGGTGCATCGGAAGACCGGCCGAAGTTGTTGTGCTATTACGATTTTGAGATGCAGCCCAACGGAGATATGAATTTACTTCTGACGGATGAATATCTACAAGGTGACCAAATGGGTGATATGTACGTCCCTGTTGCCTCGTTACATTGTTGTTCTTAGCCTTTTGGACTCCATTCATGTTTAGGTATGCAAGTATCTTGAGATTTTCGCGCGAGACTTCCACTTTCGAAACAGTCTACACTGGTAGACTACTGAATAGGGGATATGGGCGACCCCTTGTCACCAAGTTATGGCGCAATATTACTGTCGTGTACCAACAAGTCTGGGGAGTATCAACTGGAGTGCTGACGGTATTCTTCTATACAGAGGCCAGATCATTGGTAATAACACACGTAGGTGATTATCTTTCCATTTTTTAATTATACTAATTATCTGCGACAAGTTATCCGTTGAGTGTCTAGAAATCGTGGAAGATTTCATAATTTGCGTACTCAATTTGACGGGCGGAGACAAATCCTTGTGCATATTCTCACTAGCCGATCTTTCAAGTGCGGCAAGTGAGGCCCAGAAGATTGTACCTGCAGCTGACATTTTTTCCGCCGCTATCTTCCTTCAACCGAAATCGTTTAGCCTACGACAAGCGGAACTATCTGTGAATACTCTTCATTGGAAAGCAAAGGCGGATCAGCGGAAGATATACATTACTATTCTGTACAAGGACAGAGTAACCAAGGGCTCTCCATTTGCTCGGTTTGTCTTGACGAGACCGAGTGAGGCTTCGAAAAGCTCATTGCCACGCTTGGAGGAGTTATTCGATGGTGATGACGATGATGATGAGACGCCCCTGGAACTGTCGGGATGGACATTTGCCTCATACTCTGCTCTGACACCGCCAACGCTGTCTGGTCAGTCTCTAGTTCTCATGCATCATAGCAATGATCCATATGGAAGAAACGGCATGCTTGCACTTGGATCGATTACACAAGAAGGTAAAATGAAGTTCAAGCGGCTGGATCCTGGAATTCGACATAGCGAGATGCGGGCTGTTACAACGGAGTTCTTTAGTGGCGCTGTGGCTTATGCAACTGAGAACTACGATTCTATTGTGATCAATTATTTCGAGTGACCTGCTTTGTGATATTGTATCTATATATTCTGTAGTTAGTTATACATTTCATTCATTCAATAGCTACGATAGATCCCACGAACTGCTTCTGTCCATTGTATCATTCTTCCATAGGATCGCCTGCAAATTCTAGCTAATTCTACGGCAATGCATCTTCATCGCATCGTTCTAGCGACCTCAGTGCTTTCTTATGGCACTCTAACTAATATATTATATTTACCATTCACGAAGACTATGCTAAAGATATTGATTGATTACGTCAGCAGTCTACGTGTCTGGCCGGTTTGCGCGCATCATCCAGCTTGTATCCTTCTTATATTCAACGATAACGTACTCCGCGTTAGGCGAGGGTAGTGTCAGTTCTCTGCACTGCACTTTCTTGCTTGTTGACAAGCGGTACTCCATTCGAGATGGAGAAAAGCAACTTTCGGGCGCGAAGGCCACCATCGCCGCCGCCCATGCAACCTCAAGTACACACGCAGCGTTTTCCGTATGCGGCGAAGGAACATATGGATGCCGATGAACGGAGAGCGGCAGCTTCCAAAGGTGCTGCACCAAAGCCAAGGAATTATCATCCACCAGGAGGACTGAAGCTAACAATGGGCGAGTGGAAGTTGCTTGCATTTATCATGGTTATTGCGGCCGGTGTCCGACTTTTCAGGTTATCCAGACCCAATAGCGTGGTGTGAGTGAACGTTATGCTTTCCGGAGGTACTTTGTCTGATTTACGTCCAGCTTTGATGAGGTGCACTTTGGCAAGTTCGCCTCAAAATACATCAAAACGCAGTACTATGTAGACGTTCATCCACCCCTCGCCAAGTTGCTCATTACGCTCGCTGCATTTATATTTGGATACGATGGTCATTTCGATTTTAAGGACATTGGGAAGGTCTATGAGGCCGGTGTGCCTTACGTCGCAATGCGAATGGTACCCGCCACATTAGGCTTATTCCTGGTTCCGTTAACATACCTTACCCTTCGTGCACTGGATTGTCGTGCAACGACTGCTCTGCTTGGTGCCTTCTTCGTCACATTTGAGAATGGTCTCATAACTCAATCAAGGCATATCCTTCTCGATTCCCCTCTCATTTTCTTCACGGCTCTTGCGACATTCTTTTGGATCGGCTTCTGCAATGAGGATAAGCATAAGCCATTTACACAGAATTGGTGGACATGGCTCACGCTTTCGGGTCTCGGTCTGGGTGCCGTGGTCAGTTGTAAATGGGTCGGACTGTTTACAATAGCTACCATTGGATTTTCGACGATTCTACAGCTGTGGCGTCTTTTAGGTGATCTTCGCGTGTCTCCTCGTCTGTTCATAAAGCATTTCCTCGCAAGAGCTCTTTGCCTCATTGCTGTCCCAATCATCTTCTACATGATAATGTTTGCGATACATTTCCAATTACTCCAGAGCTCTGGTGATGGCGACGGGTTCATGAGTTCTGCATTCCAGCACACTCTCAGTGGGCGCGGTATGCAGGACACTTACGCAGATGTCGGATTTGGCTCGGAGGTATCCATTCGGCATTTGAATACTCAGGGTGGTTATTTGCACTCGCATGCGCACGACTTCCCGACTGGTAGCAAGCAGCAGCAGATTACTCTCTATCCGCATCGCGACTCCAACAACAACTGGCGTATCGAGAACGGCACCGCTGATGTGTTTGCAGAGGGGGAATCTTGGGAAACTGCTCCACTCAAGTACCTAACAACCGGTTCTGTCATTAAATTGCAGCATCTTTCGACAGGCAAGCGTCTTCACTCCCACGACGTACGCCCACCTATCTCCGAGGTCGACTTCCAGAACGAAGTCTCCGGTTATGGTTCTTGGACATTCCCAGGCGATGCAAATGACAACTGGGTAGTCGAGATTGAGCACGGCGCGAGAGAGGATTCAGAAAGCTCAAAGCGCCTGCGTACGCTGAGGACCGTATTCCGGCTTAGACACCAGCTCCAGAATTGTTATTTGTTCTCGCATAAAGTCAAGCTACCGGACTGGGGATATGAACAACAGGAAGTAACGTGTAACAAGAACGCGAAGAAGGCTAATAGCTTGTGGTATGTAGAGACTGCTATGCATCATCAATGTGAGTGATACTGGTACTGTCTTATCGATGTACTGAGCTAGCAATCTAGTAAACCCTGATGCAGAAAAAGTCAACTACAAGCTACCAGGTTTCTTTGGGAAATTCTTCGAACTACAGAGGGTGATGTGGATTACGAACGCAGGGCTTACGGATCGCCACACCTACGATTCGAGACCGAGTGCATGGCCAAGACTGCGTCGTGGCATTGTCAGTTGTTCTTTGTCCTGATCTCGTCGTCAGTGCTAACCTTCATCTCAGAACTTCTGGGTCAAGGATCATAGACAAATCTATCTTCTGGGTAATCCTACAGTTTGGTGGCTTAGCACGTTAGCCGTATTGGCATATGCAGGAGTGCGAGGTATTCTCATCCTTCGTCAACAGCGCGGTTTCCGTGACTTTGAGAACAGTACGTTTTACACTGACTATCAAAGATTGTTATTGAATGTTATTTCCTTTAGCACGAGTAACAAAGTACGACAACATGTGTGGATTCCTCTTTATGGGCTGGGCATTGCATTACTTCCCCTTCTACTTGATGGCTCGGCAGCTCTTCCTGCACCACTATTTCCCAGCGCTTTGGTTTTCGATTTTGCTGTGCTGCACTGTCTTCGATCTCGTGACGTCTTCACTGCGTCCACGAGTGCGCCTGTATATCGCCGCAGGAATGTTGCTTGTCGCCATCTGGAGCTTTAGCTACTTCAGTCCGCTTGCATATGGCGGGCCATGGACACGTGGTGCGTGCGAGAAGGCGCGCTGGCTCAAGACGTGGGACTTTGCATGCAATGATTTCCCTATCGACTATTCTGCCTATGAGGGCCTGGGTGTTGGTGGCACGGCGAACCCAATGACAAGTGCTGCGATTCCCGCTGCGAGCGTCGTTGGCGGAGAGGAAGCCGGACGCGCTGCGGTTGTCGTTGAAGGAGATGCGATGGGCAAGGTACCTCCAGCTGCGAACGACGCGGAAACGACGACGGGTCGGGGAGCGGTTGCAGAGCCGGGTTGGAATGCGTTCGGCGAAGAGGCGAAAGACATCAAGAGTCATGGGCGGCCCGATGAAGGACAGGGGCGAAGACCAGATGTTGAGAAGGAGATCAGCACTGTGATGGTTAATCCAAGCGAGGGGACGACGACGGAGACTACGGCCACGGTAGAGCCAGGCAAGGAATCCATGGATAATGACGCCTTGTCTGGTGTTGACCCAGTAAAATCAGAAAATGGTGACGTTAAGGAAAATACGGGCGATACTGGTCCGGATCCGTTAGAACATGACGCGCAAGAGGCAGAGCTTGCGCGTAATGACCTCTTCGCAGATGAGGCGTCTTAGTCAGATGCGTTATATGTGGAAAATTTAGCGTAAACACCGGACTGCTAAAGCTATCTTATGTATTGCATCCGTTCATCGTAATTATTTATACCTTTCTTTCCTGTTGCAATTGTAGGTTTGGTTAAATATACAGCTATTTCAATCCGGAACGAGGAATACAACTCGATCCTCATTGATACTATATTACATATTGCAGAGTTGGTGTTGTCTGCTTGTCCTTGTCAACACTTATAAAATGAATTGCAGTGAGAATTGTTCAAGTGCAATATCTACTTGACGGTCAGCAACAAAATCATGTCTAAAACATAAATAATTACCTTCTCTCGCCGAAATCACCTAGGCCAGGGATAATGTAAGCTTTATCATCAAGACCCTTGTCAATCCAGCCGGTTATGACACGTAGTTGGGGAAATCTCGAGCAGAAATTCTTGAGACCTTCCGGAGCAGATATCTGAAACCAAGGAATCATAAGTGAGTAGAATTTAGGCCCAAAGACTTTATTCGTCGTTCCGTACGAGATTGACGAAGATTATTCGGTTTTCTGGGACGCCGTGACTGAGCAAAACCTCAACAGCCTTTATGGCAGAACCTCCGGTCGCTGAACAAAATAGATATTAAAGAATGTACCGCAAATGGCTTGGAAATGGTGATTAACCGAGCATTGGATCAAGCAGGAGGACATATCGGTTTGCGATATCTTGGGGAAGCTTATCTGCTATTAGCTACGGGAGGTATTGTAATAGGAAATTGAACAGACTTTGGCGTAAAAAAGCTTTGCTTGTGCTGTTTCTTCATCCTAGATCCGAAATTAAGAGATTTAGTACATTTATGATTGACAGCACTGCAGAACCAGTTGTACCCGTTGGATAAGGATTTTGCCTATTCGTACACTGCGGCAGACCTCTCGTAAACCGGCTTCCATGGCCTAACAGATGCTGAGCGCTCGGAAATAAAGTGGAATTTGGGGACAGGAGCTACGATACCTCGCCTGCTCGCAATATCGAAACGCCGCATATCTTGCCTTCAAAACCGACACCATCATATGTTGCACCCTTCAGTAGATTTAGCATCAGAACTGGTCTCGTGACTTCACGATTTTGACATTTGTATGGGCTCTGAGAACCAAAAGCGTACCGTAGGCGTTTCAACAGTCTTGGAAATAACAGGAAGATGGTTGAGTCCTTCTTCGACAAGCAATCGTATTATTCGATCCGAGTAGAAAAGAAAGTCACCCCGAGTTGTATTCTTATCACGGATGATAGTATATAAAGCCTCGAGCTGTGCTGTGTGTGGGAGCGTGAAGACAGAGGGCGGTATTGACGCGGGTGCTGTCTGCGTGGTTGGCGAAGCTGTTGAAGCCATCCAAGTGAGCCGCTGGTGCGGTTGAGATGGGAGGAGTACAACAGGTTGTAGCACACCTATCCTTGGAAATCGGCGTTCTATGATCGGCGTTTTCACACGCAGAAGCATCCAGTTTCCAGCATTTCATCAAGGATTTGACATTGTTGTACTGCGAAGAATAACTTGTGCATGAGTATATTGTCGTCCATACTGATGTACCTGAACAGAAAAACAAATTCCCTCGTTTCAGACGTCGTGCCTTACCACTGCTCTGGTCAATCTACTTCTCTGTTCAATGGCGGAACTTCAGCAGCTGTGTTCCGGAAATATCCATCAATAAGAGCATATGCATCGTTTCACTTGTTGACAGTGTGAGCAATCTAGTCGTATTTCATCATCGAATCAATGTACAAGACGCAGAGCATTTTAATGTGATTACTCTTATGCATGTGTAATGTCAGACCCCCCCTCCGCCTTGCAGTAGTAAAGCGCCTGGCTATACACTCCACCTGGAACTCAATGACTACGTTGACAAATGTATCAATAGCACGCCAGGAAATAGATCGTGTATGTCTTTTAAATATTGGTGTCAGCAAAACATTGGCTCATATGCATTTTCAAGTATGTTACAGGTATACAAATCAGTGTTTCTACCTTTTCTTAGCCAAAGTACTGATCACCTGAACAGTGTCAAGCTCAGCTCTTCTGGAAAGTTAAATTATAGCCTTCAAGACTGTGTATAATAAGACTTTTCTTTGTTTCAGGTCTATGATTGGCTTGTGTCACTGTCTGATGAAGTAAGTAACTTATATATTGTTCACAGCTCTTTTTGACAAAATACATTAGTATGATCTAATCTGGTGCACAAAGTGGAATTTGGGAAAAGCACTCTACCTCTTGACAAGATATCTAGCATTCGTGGATATGTCGTTTGTACTTGGTTGTGAGTATAGTATATCTTCCATTGTTTAAGTGTATATTTAATGAAATACACAGTTCTATTTCACAGTGGGTTAAGCATCAAAGTATGTCTTTTGTATAGTCTATGATAACCATCTTCAAAGGAGACTGACAACCTCTTACTTAAGGCGTGTAGAGCTACTCTCACAGTGACTGTTAGTAAGTGGATTATTAAATAATATGTATTTATTTCCAACTAATAGTATAATAGCCTCTATTGCAATTGGGAACCTTGTTGCTAATGGTTACGGACTTAGCATTTGCTTTCATCCTCTCTGCTCATTTGACTGCCTTTCTAGCCATTGTGCTACTCCGGGTTTATGCACTATACGGGGGTGCACGTTACATGTCTATTATAATATTATTTATTCTTATTGTGAGCAGAATAGGTGGTTAATACTGCTATACACGTTCTGAACAGTCATTTGTCTTAGCTTGGCTTTGGTGTAATATGTACAACACAGACCTTGCTGTATAAGGACATTATCTGTAAGTCCTATATATACTAGTAGTGAAGACTCTTACATTAGGCTTCTGTTAACAATCTGTTATTTCTAGGGCAGTACAGGCTCCAGGCTACAGATATTGTTCCATGCCCAGTTACAGAGAAACTCCATGATTTTTGCTTCCTAGAGTATGTGTGGCAACTTATTGTAGAAGTCGGTAAGCTATTACATTAGTAGTCTCTGCTATTTCAGTTGTTTATTCAGTACTCCAAGGCGCTGCATTCCTTGTACTTTACAAAGGAATAGGGCAATGTAAGCATGTCCCAATTAATCATTGTCACTGAAATCACTAACAATCCAAGCAAATAGGGCAAGAGGGAATCCGAGGAAGAAAACTACTTTCCATTTTTTACAGGGATGGTATGTAATTACTCTTGACCTAGCTAATTTTTGTATAGTACCCTAACTTGAACATAACAGGCATGTTGGCATTCATATGCATGTCAAGTGAGTCTATGCTTTGTTATTATCTATGAAATTTGCTGACTGAAGGAATCAGCTCTGGCGTTCGCAAACGCTGTACTTGTAGCACAATCTGTAAGTGCTGTCTTGTTCTTGCTCCGACCTGAATTCAAAGAGAACTAACTATGATGTCAATGTAGGGCGATTTCCGTACCCTCTTATTAGAGTAAGTGATACGCTGCTTCCATACAATGTGATAAGAGTGACAGACATTTACCGAATGCTTGCGTAGGTTACATCGGGTGGTTCATACTGTCATCACTTCCCGTATGATTCTTAACATGCGGGAGGTATCGAGAATGCTAGAACATCAGGATGACGACGTGTTACCTCCGAGTCAGCTAGTATTTGCAAGCAGTCCTGCAGAAGAATGATGTATTTTATTGCTAGAGTGGACGTAAACTCATCATCGAAGGGACGATTGGAAGTTATTGTAATGAACGAACCGTGAATTAATGAGTAATAAATTAATATCGTGGTTTTGTACTCGTCGATGCAAACGTGCTGCACGAAAGTTGAAAAGGAGCCTAATTTATTTGTTTGAGTTATCATGCGAATTATTAACATTAGTTGTGTGCCACTCTATAATTTAAATTTATGTGCGAGCGAGTGATTAGAGAAAATGTAACAAATATCCCAGGTTTAGAATACGTGTGAATTATCTTCTACATTTGGGGATCATTCGCGGTCATTCTTGTTTTTACGCGTACTGACACTTGCCTACGTCCTTGCTATAGACTGTTCTGAGTACTGCATACCACAATGTCTGTCAACATTTTCGGCCAAGAGGTAAGTCTTGATATTCTCTACTGATATATATCGATAATTTAAAAGCATACATGCAGGCAACAGAGGAGAAAGCAGAGACTGCGCGTCTCTCTTCGTTCGTCGGTGCTCTAGCTGTCGGCGACCTCGTGAAATCAACACTTGGGCCAAAGGGCATGAACAAAATTTTACAATCAGGCTCGACAGGAGATATCAACGTCACAAATGATGGAGCTACGATCCTCAAATCAATTCAACTGGATAACGCGGCCGCAAAAATTCTTGTGAATATCTCAAAAGTGCAGGACGATGAGGTTGGGGATGGCACGACGAGTGTGTGTGTCCTTGCGAGTGAACTGTTGCGTGAGGCGGAGAAGTTGGTGATGGCGAAGATTCATCCGCAGACGATTGTGGAAGGTTATAGGATAGCGAGTGCTGCTGCGTTGGAGGCGCTTGAGGAGGCTGCGGTTGATCATTCGTAAGTCTGTTCCTGCTTGCCTGTTGATTTGATGCAACTTAAATTTTCGGATTAAAGTTCAGATCCTACTACGTTCCGTGAAGACCTTTTCAACATTGCGCGGACAACCTTGTCTTCAAAAGTTTTATCTCAGGATAAAGATTATTTCGCAAACCTTGCTGTTGATGCTGTGCTTCGATTACAGGTAAGGAAAGCAGTTCTTGTCGTGAAGATCTCCGCTGAATGTTATGCAGGGTTCGACGGATCTAGAACATATTCAGGTCATAAAGAGAGTCGGAGGAAAGCTGACTGACTCATATCTTGATGAGGGATTCATTCTGGACAAGCAGATCGGTGTTAATTGCCCGAAGCGACTCGAAAATGCGAAGATCCTCATTGCTAACACCTGTAAGTAACCCTCACACGTAGTTCGTTAACTGGTTTTGATCGATCAATCGTCTAGCAATGGACACGGATAAAATCAAAATATTCGGCGCACGAGTGAAGGTCGACAGCACTGGGAAGCTTGCCGAGTTAGAACGTGCTGAACGTGAAAAAATGAAGGACAAAGTAAAAGCAATCGCTGCACATGGTATCAACTGTTTCATCAACCGACAGTTGATCTATAACTATCCTGAATCTCTTTTGGCTGAGCATGGCATTTTGACGATTGAACATGCGGACTTTGAAGGTGTTGAGAGGCTTTCGCTCGTAACTGGTGGAGAAATTGCAAGTACATTTGAACAGCCGGATAAGGTGAAGCTTGGTCGATGCGAACTCATCGAGGAAATTATGATTGGCGAGGACAAGGTTTGTTATGTCTCTCGGTCAAGTGGATGTGAAAGCTCACTGTGTTACAGTTGGTCAAGTTTTCTGGTGTCGCAGCCGGCCAGGCATGTACTGTCGTATTGCGTGGGTCGACCACGCAGATGGTTGACGAGGCGGAGCGATCGCTTCATGATGCTCTCTCTGTGCTCAGCCAGACTGTCAAGGAGACCCGCGTAACTCTGGGAGGTGGATGCGCTGAAATGCTGATGAGTTGCGCGGTAGAGGCAGCTGCTCGCCGTGTTGCGGGTAAAAAAGCGATTGCTGTCGAGTCTTTCGCTCGAGCTTTGCGTCAGATCCCAATCATCCTGGCAGACAACGCTGGCTTCGATTCAAGCGATCTTGTCAGTCGTCTGCGCGCGGCACACTATAATGGACAACGAGATGCGGGCCTTGATATGAACGAAGGGTCAATTGCTTCTATGCGAAGACTTGGAGTAACAGAGAGTTACAAGCTCAAACGGCAGGTTGTGATCAGCGCTAGTGAAGCAACGGAGATGATTCTAAGGTTCGGAATATTCTTTTTCGTGATTGGTGAATTACTTTTGACCACTGGCTACGTTAATAGGGTTGATACCATCCTGCGCTCTACTCCAAGAAGACGTGAGGCTATGTGATTGTAGTGTAGTGGTAGATAATTGATAGAATCGCAAAATAAAAGTCTGTGCCAGATAATGGATTATGCAAGAGGATCGACGCTCCAGAATAGGCAGGAGCGACGCGCGTCAAGACGCGTAAGTACTCAGAACTCAACGCGCAACCTTCCCATTCTACACCATCCTTTCTCTTACGTTGTACCATCATGGAGTGCTCATTCGCCCTCGTTGGGAAAGGATACGTCCTTGTCGCTGCCGACATGAAGGTGGCGCGTTCAATCGTGAAGATGAAATCCGACGAGGACAAGACGAAGACTCTTGGTCCTCATCTTGTCATGACCTACTCTGGTGAACCAGGTGTGTTCACAAGAGACTCTTGTATTGCAGCAGTCATATAACCTCCTGATTTTACTCAAGGTGATACCGTACATTTTGCGGAATACATAGAGCGCAACTTGCGTCTTCACCAAATACGACACCATCACGAGCTGCGCCCTTCCTCAGCTGCAGCGTGGATCCGAAGAGCCCTTGCTGACTCCCTTCGTTCGCGTTCCCCATACGCTGTGAATCTCCTGGTTGGAGGCTTTGATACGAGTGCTGCTGCTATTGAGGAAGGCAAGGAGGAACTTGGTGGAACTCCAAATTTGTATTGGATAGACTATCTTGGAACTCTTGCGGAAGTTCCGTTCGCGGCACATGGTTATGGAAGTTACTTTGTGCTCAGTTTGCTGGATAGGTATGTGTATCGTGCACGATTCTTCGAGCTCTGGTGTTTATACTTTGTCTCTTCGTAGATACCATAATCCCGACGCTACTCTTGAAGAAGGCTTGGCGACGCTGAAACGTTGCATTGATGAGGTTGCAAAGCGACTAATTGACGGTGTATCTAACTATAAGGTGAAGGTAGTTGATAAGGATGGTGTTCGTGAAGTGTCGCTTTAGGTGTTGCATATCTTTTGTGATCCCTTTGCGCATTTATAAAATGTATGACTAAATCCTCGCTACGTTTCGACTCAACTACTTTCAACGCAGAACAAGGTTCAAATCAAGGAACACCTTTGGACAACGACGTTTTATGCTGCAGCAGATTTTAGATGAGTTTGCTACTCTTGTTGCACTTCTGGTTAAAGGGGAAACCATCCTCCAAATCGTATGGACGTGCCGATGCAACTGCTTAAAACGACCTTTCACAACCACTCGAACTTCTTCACTTGACTTGTGTGCCAGTATTGCCTCGACCGGCCCTTCAGCCTTGTACGAACCGTCAACCTAATTGAAGATACGACTTGGCTGAAATATTTTGCCTCCCACATTCTAGAGCTATGGGAGTGAATCAGTACCTGCTTCTAGTAGCAAAATGACTTTGTACCTTGGCTGCATTCTAATATTACTATGCCAAGCTGTTTAGATGGGCAAGGTTAGTACAATGCTTACTTAGTAAGTCGCTGTTGTTCAAATCGTCAAATTAGACATAACATTTATACAGATGAAAAAAGAGCACTAAGTTTAAGTAGATCAACGTTTCCTCCACTGAACACCAATCCTACATTTAACGGGTCCGCGTCACCTTTACCTCTGTTCTTGGCTAGCTCTTTGAGCATTGCTTGGAATTCCTGTGAGTACAGAGCGACGGCCAAGGTAACCGCGGAGCTTGGTTCGATAACGAGTTTCACGCGCTCGTATACTAGCCTCATGGCTCGACTATGTAGTTGAGAGGACAGAGATCATTCAGTAGGATCAGCAACGGTATTACAGATAAAGTAACGGTATGGATAGTCTTACATGATTTGTTCCTCAGTTACAGTGTAGATTGCGTCGACGTATTTCAGGATGTGATGGAGATTGATCTGGCCTAGTGATGTGCGTAGACCATCGGCAACGGTGTTGGGATTTACGGCTGGAACGAAGGTTTTTGAGTAAAATGATTTGTGGGCGTCGTCAGCTGCGGCGGGCTCTGCACCAATGACGAAGATTCCTGGATCGATGCTCTTTGCTGCTACGGCGCAGCCAGAGAGCATACCGCCTCCACCGACTGGGGTAATCAGTACATCTAATGGGTGTTCGAGTTCTTTAGCTTGCTCGAGGAATTCCAAAGCGAGTGTTCCCTGCCCCGCGATAATCCGAACATCGTCGTATGGCGGGATAAACTCAACGGCTTGGCTAGCACTTCGAAGGCTGTCGATTATCTCCTTTGTGGTATCTTCACGGGCTTGGAGAGTTGGGATGCATTCTGTTATTATAGCTCCGTAGCCGCGTACAGCGTCCTTTTTGACGGAGGCGGAGTTGGAGGGCATGACGACTTGACAGGAGACTCCGAGCGCTCGAGCGGCGTATGCGAGTGCTTGTGCATGGTTTCCTGAGGAGTGTGTGATGACAGTCAAGTTTGAATATTTCTGGTTCGTCTCTACTAGGTTTTGCAGGAGGGTGGTGATTGCATTGGTTGCTCCTCTGATTTTGAAAGCTGGAATAACACATCGTAGTGAAAGTGCTTATTAATCATATCTAGTTATCAAGAGAAAACTACCTACCACCGACTTTCTGGAGGTTCTCGCATTTCATGAGAAGGTTTATTTGCGTGCCATTAGATGAGGATGCCATCTCATCTAGAGAAGTACAGGTTGCGACCGGAGTACGGTGAATATACGGTCTTGAGCTTCATAAAACCGTGATACATTAGGATAGTCTATAACTCAGACTCGCCTTATTCGTTTGGCAGCCGCTTGTACAATCGTCAAGTGTGACCTCCTGGACCATAGCTAAGTTTTGAAGTACTGTAGTTATAGATCTGGCTGTTGGGATCGGGACTGAGTTTGATCATAATAATGCATCGCAAAACCAGGGACAAGCGAATCGGCGTTCCAATTCTCACGGTCTCATAAGCCTACAATCTCTAGGTAGTAAAGGTGTTTATACATAATGCGTATCTATGCAGAATGCGTAGCCGAAGACAAACAATCTACACTCTGCCTTCTTGCCCATTCACCCACTGGCGTCTCCCTCTCACCAGCTATCGCCCTCCACAACAGAATGCGACTACTTAGCTGATCCCAAACAGGGCCTCGAATATCATGTCGTAACGACATACTCCACAGGCTTTCAACCGTCTTTCCCCAAGTTTCTATGTCGCTCTGGAAAATTGGCTGATGTAACCCGAAACTACGGTGTGGTAGAAGACCGACTTGTCTGCTACTACCGCGATATCCGGAGCCGGTGGGCAGAGAGACATCATCTGAATCCTCAAACTTCTGGAGGCTCGTTAGAGCAGATTCCAAAGCATAAGAAGTTCCAGGATAGTGAGAGAGCCCTTCAGTCGTGACTCTGGCCATGGCACGAGTAATTAAGCGTAGCAATACAACGTCTAGACGAATAAAAGTTTTAACATTGCGATATTTACCAACATTCATTAAGGACGAACCTGCATCATTGACTAGATGGGCTAGACATCTGAATAGACTAAGTTGCCATTCCCCCATTGTGACTTGTTCTATATGCGTGGAGTCTGCAACGACGAGGATGTTCTCGATTATCTTTACCCATGCAGTGCTTTCGTCGGGTCTTGACGTTATAACGTGCATCTCGATCCATTGTACCAGAGACGAACGAAGTATGAGTGAGCTTGTCGCTTGCATGTAGCAAGTCAAGTTTGCCAGGACCTAGACGTAGGCATATTAATACCACAGAGCGCAAGATTAATAAATGCCTCACATCCAGGATTGAATGTCGTAGCGATCTGTCATCATGTGCGCCTTGAAACATGCTTGCAAGTAGGTCCCATGTATGTCTACGCTTTAGCAGTCGCCAATCTTCGCCACTCAGCATTCCGTCCGAGATGAAGCGCACCATCCAGGTACGTTCTTTCTTCCAATCGTCCCCACTGCTGTACAGCATACTATATAGCATCGGGACGTCCTTGACATCCAATTCAGGTCGTTGTAGTAAGAAGCGTGCTGTGATTGGGTAAATGAAATTTGACGGATAGAAGATGCCCCGAATTGAGTGTGCAAGGACCAGGGTTATGTAGGAGGGAAGATAGAAGACATTCTCGTCAGACTGATCCGATGGACTTCGCAGTTGATCTCGTAAAATGTCAAGCACATGGAGAATGTGCTCCCTCTCTTGCATATCCGCGGTCTAGTGGCAAAAATTCAGCCTTGATACGCAAGAAAATGCGGCACAGTACTAACTTGCATAAGCTCATACAAGATCCCTAGCTGTGCCATGGCTATCCTGCGAACTGCGTGATCTACTGACGACAGACACCGTACTACCAGGCACGCGATATTTGTCCGGAACAGAGATACCCAGGAAAGTGCGGATTGTGGCGGACGCTCAGCCATCACTTGAGCAAAGAGTAGCAGTAGAAAGATGGGGTCGTAAACCAGCCTGTCTTCCGCCGAGGACATGACCACCTCGTCGCCATTGGTCCGGGATAGAGATCGTCTGTTAGGGAACGATAAACACGTTCGGAAGACGCGTACAGCTTCCAATCCCAACACTGCATCCAAGCTTGTCTGTTGATCAGTAGATCCTGTTTGAGCCCACCGGCACATGATAGACGCAGCAGAAGTCTTTCTCTGTTCCTCGAATAGTTGGAATATGGAAACGAGGCGACGGTCTTCAGGTGACAATGACCCTGTATACAAGCGTATCAATGGTTCGACATGAGAAGGCTGGCATGTGTTGACTGGATGTTTAAAGAATAGAGTCGACAGAAGCCTTGTGAGTGCATCTCTTTCTTCGCACCCTATGTCTGATGCCGCCACGTTATCGAATTGTGGATTCTGGAGAATGCTTTGTAGGTGGCGATTAACATTCACGGGCTGCATAAATGATGAGACAATTAGCGTCTCGAAGAAACACGTGTGCCTACTTTTATACTGATATTCGCGCAGAGGGCTTCTGCCAAAAACATGCATTGAGCATGGCAAAGATGGTGGCGAATGGCGGCTGCAATGACGGGTTCAGCATAGTGTTGAGCAACGCCCTTTCCAAGTCGTACTAGGTCAGCTGAAATGTTCCTGTGAGTAAATCGTAGAATTATAGGCTTAGATGACCCACTGATTGCCTCGAGGGACGGTATATTGATGCTAGGAGTATCCGTGCTTTCGGACAGATGCCGTACTGCCAATTGTAATGCGTGTTCAAGTACCGCTTCTACGAGAGTAATCCCATCTTCGTCATAAGTATGAATAAGATGTACCAAGCGAAGCGATTCGAGATGTAATACGGTGGATGGCATATTTGACAACTGTTTTGATAATATCCGAACTAGATCATCCCTTGGCAAAGAGCATCTTATCATCCTTGCCAGGCAAGAGGTGAACAAGTATACAACACGGTTACTTGCAGGATTTCTGCAGAACTCCTTAGCCAATGCTTTGAATAATAGAGTAAAGAAGGGATCTTTGGCCGCATCGGAGAGGTCGGCATCGGAACTGGAATCGAGAAAGGCATGAATGGCAGGGGCAAGTTGTATAAGGAGCGGCTTTTGAGATGGATCACCGGAAGATAGCCACGACCAGAATGACCGGCGGGCATACGATGTGCGATAAATCAACGATGCAACAATACTAGACACGTCTGCGCTCCATTCAGTCCCGCGAAGTAATTTATCAACTGAAACAGCTTCAGACGGGGTCAGGAGACGAGCCGCCCAGTGTGCATTTGCTGTATTAACGGCGCTTTTCAGCATCGTGCCTTCCGTCGCAACATCAAGGCTGTCACATCCGAGCGGAATGCTGTGGTTAACGGATCGTGAAATAATTCGCCCGAGCACCTTGTTTGATGGTAAGGCATCCCAAAAAGCAATAAATGCTGCTAAGTGGTCGTTCAACCACACTGACAAGTTGCTGTCGTCATTGTCCACAAGAGAGGATAGTAGAGCATCCACAGAGGATAGGCGATTGTCATTACCAATAACACGTTGAGGGCCGGAAGGCAGCAGCTGTTCGATAAGGGCGAGCCGGTCGTCGAGAGACATGAACGGTATCCAGATGAGCGACACGGTCAGCTACAAGTAATGGTTAGATACATAGAGCAACTATTTCGCATTGGTCAGTAAACCAACCTGCTGCAACGAATCTTGCCTCAAAGCATCCAGGATCCTTGCAGTCCAATGCTTGCATATATGAGAAACAAGAGATCGATCTGATTCTGAGGTTGCGTTTAATGTGACATCCGCAACTTGCTGAATGGCTAGGGAAACTAGTTAACTATGCCACCCTGTCTACGCCGCGAAACTCACCTGTTATCACCGAGTCAGATAAGTTTTCATGACACGCAAGTAGCTTCAATTCTGGTTTTGCCACCCAGACAAACTCTTTCAAAGCATTGAACTCGGTCAAGGTGACATCCCTTTTTGCATGTAGCAGTAGAACCTTGAATGCATGCAATGCAGGGACTAGGTTGGCTTGAGCGTGTTGCACGCGAAGACGATGCATGAGAAGTCCAATAAGACATATATAATCATAGCGTGTCCTCCGCTCCCTATCCAAAGTTACTCGAAGTAAATTCAGGATACGAGGAGTTGATAGCAGCTCTTCGGTAGTATGCATAAGTAACCAATCTGTCGGAACCCTAAACAGGAAAAATATGAATCAACGATGAAAGCTGAGAGAAAAAGAAAGTTACCATCGTGAAACGTCGTCGTCCGGAAGTGACCACAATAAGCCAGATCCAGGTGATAGGTGAAGGGGAAAAATATATAACGCTGGGGGATGTAGACGCCTGACCACAGAAGCAACACGCTCCACGATGGCCGGAGAGACAGTCTGATCAACTAAGCGTATCCAGTCAACCAGCTCATAGGCCTGAGACTCGGCTGACTCTGTCCGTGCTGCTCCAAGATCAAAATTATATTATTATATGAACGGAAGAGATACCGTGATAACGCTCACAGTCTTGGAGCTTCTCGATCTGTGATACGAAATCGTTCACCGCCTGCGAAGCTGTCGGTTCCGACACGAGACTTTTCGCTTGCAAAGTTGAGTTGCACCATGCAAAACAATTGTCCAAGATAACGCATTCTTTCTGGAGTGCAGAAGACACCACCGGAAACTCCACGAGCACATCGCCACCGTTCACAGACTCCATGAAGCCCTTAGCAATATTTTGCAGTGGTGCTAAATCAAACTGTTTCCCGAGTAATCCCACGATTACCTTCCTTAGGAAGGTCGTTAGCGCAAGTGCGTCCGATGGCTCGAAGGTTTTGCTCCGTATCCGCGAATTGAATTGCTCAATAACTGTGATCAGAAGAGGGCTGGCGTTCAATGGCTGAGCTGCGTCTGGTGTTGCGAATGTGCTCATTTCGTCAATGTATCGATGCGGTGTCTTCGCGCAGCGTTGCATACATGAGTCTAAAAAGGACACAACGCAGTCGCGTTCATCCTTTAAAGGTGCACCATCAGGAGTTTCCACACCCGCGGGCCGAACGTTTGTTGGTAAAGCGTTGAGCCAGGTGTGTAATTCCTCCAGGTCGTGCTGGAACAATAAACTATCTCCCAGTGACCGCGTGAGGAGTGTCAGAACGGCCTCGCGAATGGTCGAATGCTTCGATTTGAGGTACAGATCAAGAAGAATAAAGAGATTTGATGACGCTGAGGGAACTGTTGGAAGATGAATGCCTGGCAGGAGTGATATATAACAGAAGGCTTACCTGATTTGGCATGCCAGACAAACAGGTCGCTTTCCGTCAACATACGAAGGACATGGAGCTGGCGCAATCGGTTCAATCCGCCAATTTCCGAAGAAATCTGCGCGTCTGGCGTCTCGACGTCAAGTAAACTTTGGAGTGATTTGGCAATATCATATCTGGCTTCGGTCACAAGGGATGGCATGCAGAGATGGTATAGCCATAATAGCCTCTCTGACAGCTCAGAGAGCATTGCAGACTTTATTGTCTGCTGTTCCACCCCTTTCCATGCATTGGAGAAAGCAATCACCACACTTATCTCGGGTATACGCTTTCGGACCTCCCGCTCGACTTCCTTCCGCCGACGACACCATTGACCGTCTATTTCGTCCTCTTCGAGAGCTTTCTCAACCAAACGAAAAGCCCTTCGCACGGAATCGAGCTTAGTGAGAGACTGTACAAGTGCAAGTCCAGCAGAATGCTGCACTAATGGATGTGATGATTGAAGACCTCTTGAGAGATATGCTTTCAAGCTCGTTGATGGGATTACATTATCAACCACGGTAGAGAGAGGAGGTGGTGTGGGCCTATAGGCGCATTGAGCGGGAGTGGACGATGAGCCAGCTATACCATTCGGTAGATAGAAACTCTCTAAGGGCACCGGCAAAGAGACGATAGCACCAAAGAAGGCCATGTTAGCCAGCCACTTGGATGAAAGCCGAGGCTCGAGCGAAATTGAAATGGAAGGCAAATATCCAGAAACAAGTTCCGGACACGCTCGACATATCTTTAGGGCTAATTCCTGCTGACGAGCGTCCTCCGAGATCTTCAGCATTTTCAAGACATTTGCTAAAATCTTGTTGTATATTTTCTCTTTCTTCTGCAAAGTGTCACCTTCATTCTCTTTTCGAGGATACCACCCGTTATCATTGAAGCAGACTCCTATCCCTCTATGAGTGCAAATTGCCAATAGGAAGTGATGTACAACATCAGCTGGAACTTGGCCGGCGTTCGATCCCTCTTGCTCAGAACGCTCGTAAAGTTTAATAAGCTGGACAAGCCGTTAGTCAGAAAGCTCGGAGAAAGTGTTTAGATACCTACTTGCTGGATAGTCTTTTCTCCAAACAGACCAACTTTCAGCGTTCTTTTTATCTTCTGGTCTTGCCATAGTTTCGTCCATAAAAGCTCGAGGGTAAACTGTATCACTGGATAAGGGTCTGCGTCGAGACCCTTAAATAATGAAAGAAATATATCGCGGTGCTGTTCTAAGAACGCAGCTTTTATCGGGGAGGCGGACGAGATGAACGAAAGGATGAACTGTAGGGTCAGAGTACGGATATCCGGCTTAGCAAGAATATCATAGCCGGGGTCCTTCTCCTTTCTGCGCCGCATGTAAAGGAGCTTATGGAAATTCTACCGGGAGTTAGAGGATATATAAAACATAGCGTCAAAGCATACCTTTATATCCCAATTGAAAGCTTCTAACAGACCCTTCTGATCTCTCCCTCCCGCAAAACTCGACATAGCATTCAATAGTTTCAGTGACGTGAGACATAGTTCCGTTTGAGAGCCAGAGAGATAGCTGTTGATTTTCCGAAGCCATTGAGATGAAAGCAATATTTTGACAATGGGCTGGCCAAGCGGTTGATAGATGAAGTGCTGCGACGTTAACGTTAAGACAGATGCCAGCAAGGATAAGCAAACCGCCATCACTGCTGGCTTCAAAAACTCAAATGAGCAAATATATTCGTACAGAATTTCCTAGCCGGCATACCTGCGTTCCCTTCTCAAGCACCGCGAAAACATCTTGCGCTCCAGACGAGAGTTCCAGCCATTCTTTCAGCAGTGTAAGGCGAGCATCTTGAGTGGATATCACGGACTCGCTAGGTTTTATGGTTAGCTGATTCCTAAGAGCTTTTAACGCTACGAATACTTGTCAGCGGAACGCTCATAAGGTTGGGATTTATATTCACCGTCAATCGGAATGGCATGTCTGTTCGAACGGAAGAAACTGTGTACATCACGACCAGTCTCGAACGACGGAGGCTTGTTCTGCGCCGTGGTAAGTCTTCTTGGTTCTACTCGCCTCCTGTCTTCATGGGTGACCATCTGCTTTCATCCAGCAACTCAGACGAAGGTTTGGCGTACTTAAGAGGCTTCAGTAGCAAATTTTTAATTAATTCAAAGTAGAAGTCAAGCACGTGATCTAGGCGCGTCAGTTGGTTCGCGGGCGCGTATCCATTCCATTCAACTTCTCATTTAGTACACAACCATTGGTGTTCCGTACGTCCATCTTGTTGAATATTAATTTAACTTATGCTAATTACCATACATATTCCGTATGTAAAACATGACTGTGCCGCGCTTGTAGGTAAACTGCCTCCTGGATTCTCTCAACGAGACGCGGTGCGGCATTTAACCTCTTCGGCGACACAACCCTTGTTCCGCGAGTTTCCTCCTATCATCCATCATGCAAGAGCTCGAAGGTGGGCTCGTTCCTGATGTTTCATTGATAAAGGAATTGACTGGCAGCTATTATAGCGGAGGAACGTGCCATTCGACGCGGCTTCATCTCAAACAAGAATCCCGAAGATCCCCCTGCTCGGTATTCAGATCCACGACACTTAATCTGGCTTCCTTTTCCGCACACCACGTCTGGACAACCGGGTCGGTTTAATCTTCAGCGTCAGTCCAAGACTCTTGTCTTCGCATTTATGGGCCGGCATGTCTTCCGACGCGTCTATGACTGTACCGCTGAATTCGAGAAGGACCCGTTTCGCGCCTACTCGAAAGTCTGCGTGCACGGTTGTGCTGGAACTGGGAAGTCGCATGTACTGGCAGCATTAGCGTGCTTGCTTTTGCACGAAGGCAAGCGCGTCGTATATATTCCGGACTGCGTGTATCTTCTCGAAAGCTTCTTCATGGAGATGCGCGCTGCGTTGCAATTCGCATTTCCAGAATATGCAAGCACAATGGATGCGTGGACCGGGACTGAGCAAGTGCGCGACTTCTGCCGTGCTTGGCGTAAGGAAGGATTAATTTTCTTCGTGCTCGATCAACGCGAGGCTCTTGACACTGTACCGAATGATCCAGACAGGGAGAGGAAGGGCCAGGTGCGAGGATGGCTCGATGAATTGCTTGCTCGCAACTTTGTCGCCTTCAGTGCCTCGGCTGAATCTAAGTCGTATCGTGTACGACCAGGAGTGCGTACGAATGTCAAAGAATTCTCCATGCACGCTGGTTATGATGAGGTTTGTTCGGCACTAGTCCTGCTACTCAATACTGACACTCAATATATGCAGGAAGAAATGAACTGGTGGTGGAAACACAATGTCAAGACTCTCCCGTCTATTCGCCCCGATGAACGGAAGTTTGTCGAGGAGCTCACTGGCTGCAACCCTCTCCTCCTTCGACCACTGATTAGAGCAAAGGAACGCCTGTTCATTGATTGTAAAGAACAATTCCTTGCCTCGGAGGAGCTCGTTCATGTCCGTACTTCCGTCCTTTCCTTCCTGGCGAAGAAACAAGAGGCCTGGCTTCCTAATACCGAGAAATCGTAAGTTTATCTTTTTTTGGAACAAGATTATTTAATTCTAATACAATCCAGGTTCTATAAACATATGGATGCGTGCGTGCGAGAGGTGTTCCTATCCGCACCGGACGACGACATTTATGACCCACGCTATTTTTACTTTACTATGGTTAACGGCGCTTGGCAAGGCCATTGCATGTGTGGTATTGTTCGCGATGTCATGGAGCAGAAGATTACGGACTACAAAGCGATGACTGCACGAATGCCTCACTAATATCTTCCAGGGAAACTTCACTATCTTTTTTTTTTTTGCTTATTGCTTCTCTCTTGTGGCTTTATTCATTTTTTTGTACGAACACCCTGTTGTAAACGGTCCACGAACTGTTTAAGTAAGGTCTGTACAGATTGTACAGCAGCACTATATTTTTACCCTTCATATCCTGGGCAGCGATACACAGTTTTACTTTTTATTGCCTAGCTTTTCCCGTATTTCTCCCAGCCGACTTCTTCGATCTTAGTGACCTTGGTGTAGACTTCCTCTTCTTGTTTCTTTATGAACGAATTCATGGCTTCGAGTAGACTTGGAACGCTCGCAGAGATAATGCGAACTGCAAGAAGAGCGGCGTTTGTACTGTTGTTTATAGCAACTGTTGCGACTGGGATGCCCCTCGGCATTTGCACGATGCTGTGTAAGGAGTCTACACCGTCGAGTGTGCTTCCTTTCACTGGGACACCAATCACTGGGAGTGGTGTCATTGCCGCGACCATACCTGGGAGATGTGCGGCTCCACCAGCCCCGGCGATAATGACACGCAATCCCCGACCCGCCGCACTACCAGCATACTGAGTCATACGTTTTGGCGTCCGGTGCGCAGAGACAATCGTTAGTTCGTATGGTACACGGAAAGAGTCGAGTACGCGTGCAGCCGCGATCATCACGGGTAAGTCACTGTCTGAGCCCATTATTATCCCCACAAGCGGCTGGGATGCAGATTTTCCAGAATTAGGTTCTGGAAGGAGTGGTGCATACATTTCTACGGATTCGGGGGTTGCATCCGGAAGAGCTTGAAGGAGCGGACGCAAATTCTCGCGAACTGCAGCGTCAGAATCGCCAACGAGAGTTATGTGGCCCATCTTTCTACCCTTTCGGCACTCGCGTTTGCCGTAAAGATGCACTGATGCACCGGGGATAGTAAGAGCGGCGTGCGCAACGCGAGTTATTTCGCTCATCGAATTCGAATATCCAAGAAGATTGAGCATGATTGCACTCTGTACTTTGAGCTCCGTTGATCCGAGAGGAAGGGAAAGAATTGCACGTAAATGATTCTCGTATTGCGAAGTATAGCATGCCTCTATGGTGTAGTGTCCTGAGTTGTGAGGTCGTGGAGCAATCTCATTGACGAGAATAGTATCTATGCCAGTATGATTAAACAGTGAGGCTACGGTAAATACTCCGTACGCACCATCGTCTAACAGGAACATCTCGACGCCGAAAACTCCGGCACCTGTAAAAGTCCTAACCGTCTCTTCTGCTAATGCTCGTGCCTTGATCGCAACGTCCGGATTTGAATGCCGGAAAGGTGCATAGACAATATGGCAAATATTATCCTTGTGCACTGTTTCAACTACGGGATATGACCGAATGTCACCCGAAGTCGTGCGAACAACCATGACGGCGAGTTCTTTGGCCAGAGACACCAATCGTTCGGCGTATAGCGGCCTCCCACCCAAAGCTGCGACAGCTTCGTTCGTTTTAGTCAGATCCTGTAGAACATAGTTTCCTCGGCCATCGTACGCCAATGTCCGACTCTTCAGCATGAGTGGTAAACCGAGATGCGCGGCTGCACTTTCAATTGATTCTGCCGTCGATTCCACACGCATATAGTCTGCGACGGATAGCCCATGGTCAGATAAGTGCTGTTTTTGTTGAAGTTTGTCTTGAATTATGCGGATTGTCGCAGGACTCGGATGTATTTCTATTATTCTTGAAGATTGCGTTATCTCTTCTAGTACGGTGACATCGACATGCTCGATCTCGACGGTCAGGACGTCAACCTTTGCTGCGAGCTGCTTTATCTTCTCCGGGTCGGAGAAGGACCCATCGACATGACCTAAGTGAGGAGGTGAAGAGACTATTTGCTTGGCTGGTGCGTGATCTCCAACATCGAGAATTGCTACGTCTATGTTGAACAAGGACGCCGAGGCGGCGAGCATACGCCCAAGTTGACCACCGCCTGAGCATGAGTTGTTAGAGGTTGTCTCAATTATCTGGCTTCATGGCTGCGCATGGTGCTTCAGTCTGGCATAAACTAATTTTCTGGAGAGGTACAAGACGCACTCTCACCTAGAATCCCTACCTTTCGAGACTCCATGATGAAGGTTAGCCGTAAGAAATAAAAAAAATTGATTCTGCCCAAAGATGGAAACTGGCGGATCCTCGTAAATTTCGCAAATCCCCTGTTTAGTAGAGTGGTTAAATAAATAATAAAAGAAGGTACCACTAGTAGACACAAGAATCAATCCCATACTTGCAAAATTATGCTTCAAATACTGATCAATCCTTAGGTACGGCCTCAATAAAAATTCTCAATGAAAAACCACAGCACCCAGGATTCCCGCGTGGTCCCCCACCGTGGTACTAACTGGGCGGCACTCTGATTAACTTTGCAGATCGGACGGGCAACACATCCATGCACGCAAGATGTCGCGTTGGATGCAGTGCTTTCAGAGTCCTATGGCCGTGGATAATCAATGGCATGGAGTACAGAGTATATCCAGTTTGCATTTGACCCAGAGACACGGATTTATAAAGTGCTTCCTTAGTTCTAGTTCAATTTCTCGTCCGAGAAGATCTTAGGTTATTACGCCTGATGTGCAGTAACTGTATTACTTGTCTTAGCATTATCGGATGAGCCGCTTCTCGATTCTGGCAACATAACTTCTATCATCACGCACTCCAAACTAGATCAAACCATTTGATAATTCAATGCAACGATGATATACCCATGTCTCACAACGAACCCAGTAAATAACAAGCTTCACGAGACCCATAAACCAAGGCAGAAAATATTAATTCAAGAAGGCAAGGAACTCTGGTAGTCGTGTTTAAGACGGGCAGTCGGCAAGGTTGAGGTCACCGTCAGGGCACTCCGGGATCTGAGTTGCCTGGCCTCCAGTAATAGCGAGGGACGGGAATGGCTCTTGGCAGACTTGCTCAACGTCGTCTGGGCTAGTGCCAGCAGGGAACCTGGAAATGAAATGTAAGTCAGTGAACCTATTTCCATAGAAGAAACGGAGTACTCACGTAGCAGCAGAGCTAACTGGAGCAATCGGTGTTGGGATGAGCTCGGAGCAGTCGACGAGTTGGTTCCGATTGTGCCCAACAATGGCGAGCCTCGACATAGCAGCCTGGAAGTTGCTCATCATCAATTGCTGGTCCGCTGGTGGTGAATCAGTAAATTGGCTCTAAAATTGATAACCAGCCGATACTCACCAACCATGGACTGCCATTCACAAGCAGTGCGGTCGGAGCGAGCAAGAGCGAAGTCAGACTGGAGACGCATCTCGCCAGATGAAGGGAGCGGTGAGTCGACTTCTGCACCGTCGGTGTTGTTGACATCGAAGGGGAGACCGGTACCCTTGAGCAGGACTTCAAGGAAAATTTGAGGGTCGAACGTGAATGGTGTCGAGTCGAATGGAACAGCCTCATGACCAGGAACCAACGTGTCGGAGCGTGCAATTGTGTGGCTCACGAGCAAATGAATTGTCTCTGCATCGCTGAATCCAGCGTCCTCCATACGTTCAAGGATAACATCAGGCGGACTCTGTGGCAGAGGAACCGTTCCTTGTTGAGCCGGGAAGGTTGCATTCGGTCGGCCCGCAAGGAACTCCAAGCGAGGTGCACCAGCACAGTTCGTGATACCGAGAGCACCAGCAAACTGGATAAGGTCACCAGCAGACACATCATGACGCGTCAAGAATGGTGAAAGGGCATCGACAGGGTCATCAACTCCAGCGTTGGCGGGGTCGGCTAGTTCAGTGTCTCTGAACAAGATGATTGAACCGTCTGCTCCATCTCCCTTGAATGTTTTCGAACCAGACCAACCAATGGCATCATGGAAGGTCAGTCGAAGACTTTCGTGTACATCCTCCCCACATTGACCCTCGAAGAGGTTGTTCTGCAAATCATCCCTGAGGGCAAAGAACGCACAACACTGAAACCAAATTATTGTCAGTTCCAATAAGTCAATAGTCAACAAGCCTAACGTACAGCCTCGTTGGTCGCAGTGTTAATACCGTCGGGACACGTAACGCGCTTATAGTTGGCTGCAGCAGCAGTAGTAGCGAGAGCAACGGTAGCAACAGCGAGCTTGAACATCTTGGCTATGCGGCCGATGAGAGGAGAGATGATTCGACTGACAAGAGACACTCGAGAGTCTGCAGAATAACTAAGCGATCTGAAGGGGTTTTATAGGCCTCCAATCCAGTCAAAATCGCGTTTCAAAAATGCCTACTCGCAGTGAATAATAGCGTCCGGTGTGCATGCCCCTAGCAGCGAGAGAGTTCTCATCCATGGGACCGACGGACAGCATTTTTTGAGCCAGTCAGAGTGCTCCGAGTCCGTAAAGAATAACACCATCCAAGAAGGAGCCTAGGCCCGCTGCACCGAGAGAACGGGAGGCGGTGGAAGGTGAGACGATGATCTGTGTCATCGTGGGTGTTCCAGTCTTGTTTTGATCCAACAATGTGCATCAACGGGAGAGAACGTTCTGGATAGCCAATGAAGCACGTTAGAAACAGTAATGGTACGGGCAGCACGATGCGCCTCCGTGACGGCGGGCGAGAACATTGAACCGAAGACAAGGATTTGGCGGGTGCATAAACCGGAAGCGCATGCCAAGTTGTTCATTTCTTTATTCACAGGAAACAGCACGCCGATACTGTCGATCTAACATATCGAAGACACGGATGATCGACAAAGGTATTCCCAAGGTCTTGGTATGTTTTGAGTTCAGTAGTTCATGAGCCAAGCAAGCCAAGAATTTCTTATCCTTCAAATGTTGTTTTCAATACTTTTGTTCCTCGCTTGTTGGAGTGGATCTGTTATAGTTGAGTCGTGTTCGTCAGGTACCAGTGTGAGAGAAATGCGGTGTCGGTCCTCAGAAATGCCTTAACATCGTGATGTCGAAGCGTCCTGCGTGAGAGGAATGCCTTGTTCCAGGACTTTCGTCCATAGCAAGGGTGATAGATACCTTTCGGAACCCTACTTTAAGCATTAAGATCTCAGCGTGAAGAGGCGTTATGATCGCGCATGCACAAGTGAATTCTCATGAAGTTCTAGAGAAAGTGTTGACATTACGCGAGAAAACATAAGTGATGGACTCCCACTCCAAAGTACTCGGTCGATTCATACTCTAGAATCGCAAAGTCCACGTGGAGCAAAGTCGAGGCAACAAGCATTTGTCCAAGTTGGCTATCGTCTTCCAAAAACTTGTCGACAGATGCCTTAGTTATCCAGTTTCATGGCTGCACATCACGCTCCAGTAAGCCATGATCAGCACCTGTGAAGATGGTGGAAGACAACGCTCACCTCTCGTGTAGAATCTGCACTTTTCCTTTCTCCATGATGAAAGATGTGTTGTGTAAGGAATTAGAAATGAGCAAGAGTTTGTTTCCGACCAAAGATGGAAACAGTGTCGCGTAATCATCATCTGATTCATCATTTCATTTTCAATCTACTAAAAAAAGTAAAGTAAAGAAAAATTCTGCGAGTATTTGAAGAAGGAACATCAGATTATTTTGCCCTCTCATCATCATAGTTTGCCATGCATGCCAGTCACGAGCATTGCACTTTTATTTTAAGATTTACAACCAGATATAAGCGCCTTACTATGTTCACTACAATCTACTTCTTACTAGGAGTATCTTAAAAAGATAATTTTAATACAATTTCCATGCATCTTATGACAGACCAAAATACTGGTCTTAGGCGGACCTGAAGTACAGCCTTGGTAAGAGAAAGTGAACCACAACACCCAGGATTCTTGTATGCTCCTGCTAGTACTAGTGCCTTTGCAGCAGTCCAGTCCGAATGTAATGCTTTCCAGGTCCAAGGTCTATAGTTACGCCTTTTGTGTTGAAATAGAATATGCACTGTTGCTTCTTACATGAAGAAAAGTAGGCTAGAAAGTGAGTGCATGCTGTTGCCAGTCCAACTCCATGTCTTGATATTCATTTGATTACACTTAATGTAGCGCAGCATTAGGACTTGTCCAAAAACTAGACCATATGTCTTTTCTTTTTTTTTAATCGGCAGCAGCAGCAGAACTATTCAAGCGTCATTGCACACTCCATATTACGTTAATACCATCAACCAATTCAACGTAATAATTATATACATACATCTCACTACAAAACACGCCCGAATAATTACATCCTATGAAGATTAATAAACCGAAGTTGGCAAGACATTTCATAAATACATGTCGCCAGAGAGTGATTGTTAAACGATTGTTTAAGATGGGCAGTCGGCAAGGTTGAGGTCACCGTCAGGGCACTCCGGGATCTGAGTCGCCAGTCCTCCAGTAACAACGAGGGACGGGAATGGCTCTTGGCAGACCTGCTCAACGTCGTCTGGGCTAGTACCAGCAGGGAATCTAGAAAGCAGACGTTAGTCAAACGAGCCTATTTCATACACGAAAAAGAATACTCACGTAGCAGCAGAGCTGACTGGAGCAATCGGTGTTGGGATGAGTTCGGAGCAGTCGACAAGCTGGTTACGGTTGTGTCCATTGATAGCGAGCTTCGCCATCGCAGACTGGAAGTTGCTCATCATCAATTGCTGGTCCGCTGGTGGCGAATCAGTAAATTGGCTCTAAAATTGATAACCAGTCGATACTCACCAACCATGGACTGCCACTCGCAAGCAGTACGCGTGGAGCGAGCAAGAGCGAAGTCAGACTGGAGACGCATCTCGCCAGATGCAGGGAGGGGAGAGTCGACTTCTGCCCCGTCAGAGTTGTTGACCCCGAAGGGAACACCGACACCCTTGAGCAGGACTTCAAGGAAAATCTGAGGGTCGAATGTGAACGGCGTCGAGTCGAATGGAACAGCCTCATGACCAGGAACCAACGTGTCGGAACGTGCAATTGTGTGGCTCACGAGCAGGTGAATTGTCTCTGCGTCGCTAAATCCAGCGTCTTCCATACGCTCAAGAATGGTGTCAACCGGGCTCTGTGGCAAGGGAACCGTTCCTTGTTGAGCCGGGAAGGTTGCATTCGGTCGGCCCGCAAGGAACTCCAGTTGAGGTGCACCAGGGCAGTTCGTGATGCCCAACGCGCCGGCAAACTGAATCAGGTCACCAGCAGTCACATCATGGCGCATCAAGAACGGTGCAAGAGCATCGACGGAGTCATCGATACCAGCATTGGCAGGATCTTGCAGTTCAGTGTCGTTGAACAGGATGATCGATCCATCGGCTCCTGTACCCTTGAACTGGCCCGAGCCGGAGAAACCGACGGCATCATGGAAGGTCAGTCGAAGACTTTCGTGTACATCCTCCCCACATTGACCCTCGAAGAGGTTGTTCTGCAAATCATCCCTGAGGGCAAAGAACACACAGCACTGAAGAATATTTGTTAAGTCAAATAACTTTTGACGACAGCAGAGAACGGACGTACAGCCTCGTTGGTAGCGGTGTTGACCCCATCCGGGCAAGTAACACGCTTGTAGTTGGCTGCAGTAACCGCAGTCGCGAGTGCAACAGTAGCAACAGCGCACTTAAACATTTTTGGCTGTGCGGCTGGTGAGAGGCGAGACGATTCAACTGACAAGAGAAACTCGAAAGGATCTGAAGAATAAACCAGAAAGCTGAGCAAGATTTTATAGGCCTCCTCGACATAGGCAGTGTGCCAAAAATAACACTTAATCTCTAAAAATAACAGCTTCCGACAGACATATCACCAACATATTATGTTGCGGGAGTGTTCTCATCGATGGGACCTATGCATAATATCCTTCAGCCAGTCAGAGTGCTGCATGGCTATGAAGAATAGCAATGTCCACAGGGAAACGGAAGTCCGCCACACCGATAGAGCGGGAAACAGCAGTAGGTGAGACGATAATCTGTGTTGCCGTGGGTGCTCCGGAGTTGCCCTGACCCAACGACACGCATCAACTGAAGTAAATGTTCTGGATAGCCAATAGAGGACTAAAGAAATAGTAATAGTCCGGAAAGTACAGCTCGCTTCTGTGGATCTGGGCGGGAGTGTCGACCCGAAGGCAAGAATTATGGGAGTGTGAACCAGAAACGCACCTTGAGCGTTTCATGGCCTTGGTTCACAGGAAAAGTCATGATAATACCTGTCGATCATAACATTCCGGAAACATATGCTAATCGAAAACATACTCCATAGGTCTGGGACACATTGATTGTGGCTGCTTAAGAGCTAAGACGGCCAAGGCATCCTTACCCCCACAGATACTGTTGTAAAGGCCTTCGCTTCCGACTGTCAGGTACAAGTCTGCTGCGGTGGAGCACTTGTCAATAGCCCATCGCAACTTCATTTCACTAGGGATCACTGTGGGAGAATCACCCGTCGCGACTTAGAGATACCTCATCATCGTGTCGCCGAATCGCTGGTGAGAAAGGATGTTGATGAGAGAAGCGGTGTTCTGAAAAGAGGACTAGCTATAGTAAACCTCATGAACATCTCGACAGTTCAGCGCGATTGAAGGGTGTTAGAATTAAACGATTACACGGACAAGTAGACTCTCATGAAGGACACGGCGTTTCGGGAAACATGCAAGGGGGACTGACTGATAGGCACCCGTTCTATTGAGTCAATCGCTCTGGCCACTGATCCAGATAGAATGGCCCCGAAGCTATCAAAAGGAGGCTTTAAATGCATGAGAGAAACGATGCAGTAGACTGCGAGACTACCATCATCGTGAGAGTTATTTTATCAAGGAGGACACCGATACGCTTAAAATAAACAGACGAGAATAGACGCGATTCTCGAGTCCCACGGTCAGTGGCAATCCCTGCACTACGATAGGGGACTACAAACACGAACGTGACGTCAGAGAGAAATAGAAGGCAATCTGGTACAATCGAGAGGAATGACTCACGAATAGGCACTCAGAGTTTAGCAAGCGTGGTAATCTGTCCGCCTATTTTTGTCGGAGGATCAGCTCCCTTAACCAAAATCCTGTGGATAATTTCAGCAAGTGCTGCCGGAGCACATTGCGGCACCTAAAACAGACATTTTAAAATAAGCGCGGAACAAATGTCCAGAAAAAGACGAACTAGATGCCCAACGTTCTCGACGCGTGAGATTGAAGCGAACTGACGGGGAGACAAGGGATCAATAATTGCATTGTGTACTTCCTGAGGGCTAAATATTTTATTCCTTCAGTTTAGCACGGACGACATCGTCGCTGAAATTACACGTACATATGGTCGTTCTCAGCCCCGAGGATGATATGCACCGGAAGACGAGAGCAAGCTTCATTAAGACAAGCAACAGACTCGGTGGCACCATCAACATCTCTATACATGGCCTGAGCGAATACTCAGGACAAACACACGAATACAGGATTATCAGGAACGTACAGCCTCCTCTTCTCTAGTGCAACAAAGGGTCATACCCCAATACGGCGCATTTACAAACTTCGCTCCGGGGTGTGTTCGCAGTCCATATTCCTACAGCGATCCGAATGTGTCAATGACTCGAAGATGTAGTTGTCTAATTCAAGAGATGTACTTACAACAAAGACGTTCAAAATGCGCGGATCCCACTTTCTAGTGACGACACCATCTTTTAATGCTCGACGGGCTTTCTCTTTGTTCGGCCAGACATCACGCCTCTCGTATGCTCCTCTCACGAGCTTAAAGCACAGTTGTTCCAAATACTTCCAACCTCCAGGACTAAGCAGTGGCTCTACAATTATAATGGATCTAAATGGAAGGCGGGGTTCTAGGTGCTGCAATATCGTTCTTGTATAGCCCTGAGTCAGTCATTTCAGAGACTTTGGAGTATGACTTACATTGCAACTGCACCCAGTGAGTGGCCGATTCCCACTAAATTTCGGCGTTTGAAATCAACCTTAGCGCCCTTCGAAGGTGCGGCAAGCAAAAACCGCTTGACAGCTAGGGCATAATTCTTGCACGAAACTAATTTTCAAATAAAAAGGAAGAAAGTGAGGAAGGTGAATGTGACGATTGGTTAGGATCGGCTAATATTAGTAAACAAAAAACGTACACCTGTTTTGATTTTCCGGCAGCTGCAAAGTTGCCTCGTTTAGGACAGCAGACTGGCCGTGGTTAGGACATTCAATCGCCCATACTTCTCGAATTATTGCGGGTCGTTGGGATGCAACACATTTAAGCAGTTCTTCAAGGGTTGGTTCCCAGATCTCCTTGAAAAAGCCGGTCGAATGCAAGAAGATAAGCGTAAGTGCTTCTTCGCGATCCTCAAACACAGGCAAAGTGTAACGCTTAGCCGTGATACAGAACGGATACGTGTCATCGGGTGCGAGGATCACAGATTCTGCACGAGCCACTGAGTTTGAAGACATGCCAGTGCTAGTGAGTCGATGGTAGGCGGTAACGTTGAGCGAGGGTTGTAGGGCAACTTTGTTACTGAATCGTTGGATGCGGAGTAAACCCTGTTTTAAATACTTCTAGCGTCCAGACGAGCCGATAGATTGATCCGGATGAGCATTAACTTCGTTATGAAAGTGGTAGCACCGGGAATGTGCAATTGGCACATTCCTCAACGCGAAATGTGTAACGCTTTACCAGATGCTCCCGTGTTTCAGAGTATGTCCGAATAGATCATATTGTGATTAGCCAAAGTCAGCGTGGCTGCCTGTGGAAAGCTGACACCGCGGGCGGTCAAGAGGCGAAGGACAAAAAAAAGCGAGCTGTTTCGAATTTCGACGTGGGTGACACGTGATTCTCGGTAACTCAAGATATTCTCCTTATGCGGAATTCTATCTCCGTTACGGAAACTTTAATTCTCATATTTTTACCAAATGCTTTCTACGACGATAAGTATTTCGTACAAGGTATCAGCTTGCTCATGATAATCACTGGGGTTTCTTTTAGCAACAATAGTGTAGATAGGCCACATAGGGTTGCCAAAAAATGAGGGTGCGGTACCCGTTGCCGAGTCTATTGTCCTTTTGTCCTCCCTTTTGTTAGTGTTTGTCCGCCGTCTCCACGAAGTTGCTACAGGCGCAGTATATAAATCTTCGGATATGTGAGGGGTGTGTCTTTCGTTCTCTTCCAGTTCGACCCTTGCATACGACTTTCTTTCTTTACCTACCAGATTTCTTAGGGCCGGGCCCTCCCCATTGAGTTGAACATTCATTTAAAAAAGTCAAAATCTACAACAGACATGCTATCCACACGCAACTCCTTACTCGCACTTGCCTCTTTCAAAGTCCTGCCTCTTGTTCTAGGTATCCCTCTTGGAAATACCTTCCTCGCTTCGTCTGACCTCCTAGCAAACGGACGAGACGCGCAAGCACTTAATGCCAAGTTCGCTACCCTTACAGCAGGTGACTCGTGTTCAGGTAAGCCACTTAGTTTTCTTGTTGTAGCTGAAGGGGCAAATTTAAACTATAATTAGATGGCGAAAACGCGTGTGTTGGCACCAAATTCGCTCAATGTACGGGCGGAACGTGGTCAGTGAATGATTGTGCGGGTGGAACGCAATGCTTTGCGCTGCCGCTTGTCAACTCGCGCGGAACTTCTGTCACTTGCGACACAGAGAATGACGCCCTTGCGCGTATTCAAGCGACAGGTGCAACAGGAGGTCTCACTGGGGATGGATCAGCAAACAATAATTCTACCTCGTCTGCTTCGAACGGTGTAGCGAGTCCTTCGATTGGTGAATCTGTTACAGATGGAATTGCCACAAATACTGCCGCATCCAACTCTGCAAGCTCCACGGCCGCACAGTCCGAGTCGACCGTGGCCGCTTCCGGTACCGATAAAGATGCTCTATCGCCTGCTGCGTCTGCATTGGGTGGTTCCGGTGGTGACTCGGACGGTGAAGACGGAAGCGATGGATGCACACCCGGAAACGATTCCCTTACGTCCGACTCGACGTCCGCTGTCGAGACGAACGGTTCATTATCTATATCTGGCAGCGGCGCAACCGCAACCGCAACGGCCAAAGCCCAAGATGGACCGGTATCTACCGTTTCCAATGATCCCGCGAAGGAGTCTTCTTTAGCAGATCTCCGTAAGCGCCAAGGTGCCATTGGGAACATACAAACGACTTCGATTCCAGCGTCATTGGTCGGTTCTGTGCAACCGAGCGGTACCGCGAGTGAGACCGGCTCTTCTGCTACGGACCCGCTCGCAATCGGCTCAACCACCTCTGCGTCTGGCAGCTCTGCAGGATCTGCTGCACCAGGGGCTTCTGGAGCGACCACAGTAACCGTAACAGTCACGGTTACCACCAACACTGCGGCAGCGGGCTCGAGCGTGGCCGGAGCACAGGACCCCCCTTCCACGAACACAGCTCTAACATCTCAGACTGGGGCCACTGGAAGTGCCCCTCTCGGAACTGAAACACCACCTAGCTCCGCTGTCACCGGCTCGGTTCCGAACCCTGCTGCGAATGCTACTGTGCCCGGTTCTCCAGCGATCAACTCGCCAACAGACACTGCTGTTTCTGGTAGCGCTGTAACTTCTGCAAATGCGACGCTTTCGACAAGCAGCGTGAATGACCCTCTGCTTACTCCTACCGCGAATGATCCACTCCTTACTACCACTGCGAACGATCCCCTTCTTACTACTACTGCAAACGACCCCCTCCTCACTACTACCGCGAACGATCCCCTTCTTACGGCCACCACGGCCGGTGCTGGAGCGAGTTCTCTGACATCGACATCTGGATCGGCAGTGCCAACCTCTGCTGCGACGGGTGTCGTGAATCAAGTTGGCACTTCGTCCTCCCCCCTTGTAGGCACCTCTCCCATTTCGAGTGGGGTCTCGACGTCAATTACTTCACTAACGGCGGCTCCGGCGCCAACGACAACCGGGACTGTTTCACCTCTCTTTGCATCCTCTGACATTGCATCCATGCTGACTGCGACGATTTAATATCTCCCATCCCTTCCAGGAGCTGTGATGTACGATGATGTATGCATGGACTTTTTATAAGACATTCTTGGACAGTTGTGCTGTGCTTGTCTGTGACATACTGTTATTGTAGCAAATAGAATTAAATACATACAATATATACAGTAACAATGATATGGCGAATAGTCGGCGAATATGAAATGGTCTGAGACATGACGCACACGACATATAATTGAGCTGGGTGATTTGAGGTTGCACTTCGCATCCAAACTGCGGTGAATACTCGCCCAAACACAATCATGATAGTTACATCTCCAGAAAACATTTCCAGCTGACCTATGAGCATGTTATCCACCCTGTGTCAGGACTTCTCACATCAATACAGGAAGTTATGACTACGGATAGTTATACAAATATGTGATGCCTAAAAGCTTTCGCATATACAGATCGTAGGGTACCGACTCGGATGAACAGGCAACAAATCAGTAAATAGCGACTGCTGTAGTAAATTCCTTCAATTATAACGCGTATCGGAAATCCGGGTGCTTATCCCCAAGCTCTGTCCATGCACGATCTCCACCATCCTGCGGTGCACCTTTATCATTCTTGTTGACATACGGGGCAAGTAGCTCGTCGCGCCTGCGGTGTTTCTCGCGCGTCGCCCACGTAAGGTACAGAACGTTAAAGACGGAAAATACGAGAATGAGGATCGAGCTACGGGTGTAGAATGAATCATTAGCAGTGTAATGAAGTGGGGTGGAGGCATAATGACTGAGAGCAGGAAAAGGAACGTACAAGACGATATTCATGATAGTAGTATCCGTAAAGCGTGGTGCACTTTTTGTTGGATATCTCCATGTACTCAAAATACCTCCCTGTCAATTATAATGATTTAATACATGCGCTTGTCGGTACAATTCCGACACGTACCGCATTAGTCGCGACAAAACCCATGGCAACACTTGTTGCTCTCCTGTAATGTGGCTCCGAGTTGTTCGCCATCCATGCAGAGAGAAGAGGAGGTAATGAATATGTCCCAGATACAGAAAGGAATAATGAACCATATGACATGCTCTTTGATGTCGAACCTGTACATGAAAGTGTCAGCTGATCCAACACAGAAAATGCATTCCAAAACATACGGAGGAAAACAATAAATCCAACCATAGCAATGATAGCATTTATCGATGCGAATAGAGCACGTTTTCTTAGTCGGTCGGAAAGATACGAGCTAATGAGCGTCACTTATTACGGAAAGAGTTAAACTTCATGTTGAAATGTGGGCGAAGATATATTTACCGGCAAATCCGGCGGCAAATGGTCCGACACTAATCAACTGCGTGTGCGTAGTGCTGAATCCGAGCTGGTTTACGATGGACGGTAAGAACAGAGCAAGCCCTATTTCAGAGACATCAACTTCTGTTATTCACCCCGTCAAGAAATCTACTCGCCATAGAGTGTTGTGCCGTTCATGAAAAGCGCAATGAACACTAGGATGACTTGAGGCGACGACCAGGATCGCCAAACTTGCCAGAAAGAGAACGTATCAAGCGGCGATGTCGTCGGACGATCCAATATAAGGCGCTTCGTTACAATACTGAAAGTACGTGTCAATTTCCTTTATTTCAAAAGCTTCTCTTTTTAAGTTGGAAAACGTACTCTCGCTCCCTTTGCGTCAGGAAACGCACGTCCTGGGGTGTTGATGGAGTGAAGAAAAAGGCACATAGGCCAACAAGGCAGGTAAATGTTCCCTCCTGTGCATTTTTGGTTTATTAATTATATCACGACCAATTATAGTGAGAACCAACCAAAATAAAAATCCATGCCCATCCTGGTCGTCCTCTCATACCGTCCATGTTTATGATAGCAGCTGCAAGCAGACCTGAGAATGCACCAGAAAGGGATGCAGCGGAGAAGAACAGGGCGATGCTTCGTGGAAATTATTAGCATATTTTAATACTCATTGAAGAGGTCGCTTTACCGGACGGAGAGTTCCTTCCGAGTGTAGAATCCAGAGAGATACAGCACAATCCCGGGAAACATTGGGCCCTCGATCAGACCGAGAAAGGCTCGAATCGTGACCAGGCCGGCATAAGATTTGACAGCGCCTAGGTTATATATATCATTCAAGTATTCAACGATGCGCTTGGTCTGGATGGGGCCGCACCTTGAAGGGCACAGACCATTCCCCAAAGTGTCAGGATTGTGGGCATCACAAGGTTAGGCCCAAGCCGCCTTAGTAGAAGGTTGGAAGGGAGCTCTGCAGCGATATACGGGCTAAATACGGATAGTGCATTGTCAGGTTTCCGTCCATAATGGGGAAGAAGTCAAAGCACCGCACACGTAGAGAACCGTGACACAAATCTGGTATTGATGGTCTGTGAGCTTGAGGTCTTTTTGCAAGCCTGCTACGCGAGCATTGCCTAGAACGATGTAGTTTAGCAAATGATGCACTCTTACTAAAATGTGAGAAAAGCACAGTACCAATGTTTGCTCGATCCTAATGAGCGCTTGTCAGTAGAGTAGATTTTACAAGATAGAAGAAAGAACTAACCAAGAAAGACAAGAGGTAGAACATTGTCATTAGCGGGATCAAGCAGAAATCCAGCTTCCGCACAATTCTGCGTTCCTCTGCAGGATCAATTTTGAGCAATTCATGATCACGACTGGCTTCTGTCATTGAAGGCGTCGGAGAAACTTCTTTCATCGACTCTGCCGCAACTGACTTTTCCATCGTGGACCGACGAGAAGCACGAGATGGCCAGAAAGAAGGAACGCAAGTAGAAGGGCGTTAAAGCGAACATCACTCTGGGGCTGACCGAGGTTATAAAGGGGTGGCGTGCCGGACCCGATGACATATGACTATGAAACCGCGTTGAAATTTGATATCGCCAATGACCAGAAAGCGTTTCTTTCGGCGGCACTTGACCCTGAGTCTCCATTTAGTTGGATTCTGTCTATCGACAGATGGTCCAGGCTCGCAAAACTTCGCCAGCGAAGTTACCGAGGCCATCATCTTCGACTTGGTCTTTGTACGGCTAGAGGCAGAGTACGAGCGAAGACGCGGAAGACAAACTCTATTTCCCTATCTGTGAACTGGTCAATCAACACAAATGAGGTAAACTAGCACAGCATCCCAATTAAATCGGAAGCAATTCAATTAGCAATACAGTCGATACTCGGAGACAAACAGAACAGACGAATGGGCACAAATTAGTACAACGACGACGGCGACTACACAGTCAATAATGTACAAAGAAGAGGCATCTACGAATTAAAAAAACTAACAGAACCGTAATAAATTATTGCGCTTGTGCCTCCTACAATCGTCGGAACGTGAGTTGAGCAAATCCGGAGTCACTTGGCGTCCAAACGTACCTGATCAACGAATTCTTGTGCCTCCTCTCTCCGAATGCTCCGAATGGAGCTAACCTTTTGATTATTAAACGTCACACCGTAGAATTTGTCCGCGGTGACAAGCATTTCTGGGCGGAACGTGGTCGTAATGAATTGCGCGGAAGCAGATAGCTCATGGATCATAGCTATTATTAAACGTGAGAACTTCATCAATGTTCAAAATTAAAAATGTGCCCACATGCCACTGCCGTTCGGTACTGAGCATCCAGGTTCGCATCAATCTACCAAAGTCGTAAGCGCCAATGCTGATAGTTCGGTCAACCAAGCTCACTTCGTCGAATAAATAGAACGGGGCTGGGTCACACTTCTGGATTGCAAAGACTGGAGATAATTTAGCATCGACACTGAAGACCTGACCTCAAACTCACCAGTGGCAAGTGCTACCAGCGACTTCTGACCACCAGATAATTGCTGTATGCGCAAACCCTCATCGACCTTCGAGTTAAACGACACCTTTATCGAAACTCCCGTATAGTTGTCAACCGAAGATCGCTGAGTATCCTCATCCTCCTCCATGTCGTCCTCGTCCTGTAAATACGTAATATGTCAAAAGAATAGGTGAGGGCCAACAGCACATCGTCCTTACCTGATCAATGCGTCGCTGTATGATAAGCCGCCCCTTACCAGCAGGTACAAGCTTCTCGAAAACTTCCTCGAAGTTTTTGGCAACCTGCTTGAATGTCCGCTCAATTGCTTCATCTTTGCGCATATCGAGCACCTGAATGAGCTCTTCGATGGACTTCGCTGATTTGTCGAGCTCTTCGCGCCGAGATAGGAGCTGATCGCGCTGCTTCGTGAAGTTATTATACTGCTCAAATGCTTTCTTGTTCACATGTGCAAACTTCTTCAGGCCTTCATTCACTGTATGCAGCTTCTTGACGAGCTTTAAGTGGAAAAGTTATCTTTATCAGAAAGCTAGAATATTGGTCTAGTTAAACAAACTCACCCGATCAAGCTTGTCGTTCGTATATTTCTCAAACGCTTCTTCAGGTAATACACCAAGATCGCGAATGTTGCGATTACAATCATCCTTACGATTTATCAGCATCTGCTTCTTTGCGATATATCGTTCCGTGTTTTTCTGTTGCCTTGAGATGCCTTTGCTGTCCTCTGATTGTTGGTTTTGCATCTCCTCAAGCTTCGTCCGGAGTTCTTGCAACTTCACAGAGAGTTTATCACTCTCTTTGTCCATATCTTTGCATTTATCAGACAATGTTGGCTTGTAAAAAGGAAATATACGCACCAGCTGACTTCTTTTGCAGATCCGCAATGGACTTGTTCAATGCCTTGAGCTCTCGGACACGTGCGTCATAGTCATCTGCGCTAAATGCTGCCCCAGAGTCCGCTTCTCCAAGAGATTCTAGTTTTGCCTGCAATTCTTCCCTTCGACGGCGGAGACTCTCATTAAGCTCAATCTCAAGGAGATTCTTCTGGCTGCCCAGCTGGAAATAGATAACAAATCTGAATAAACAGTGGGTATTCGATAGGAACTAGTAGTTAGACATACCTCGCTTTTAGCTTTGCCTAGTTGGACAAGAGTTGCCTGTCGTGCTTCAACTTGCTTTGTCAATCGAGCAATCGTCATTTCCTCCTCGGGACTGAGACCCCTAGCCATGGGCGTTTTCATTTCTTGCTCTTGGTCGTTAATCTTCACCTGCAATCCAGCAAGTTCTGCTTGAAGTTCGTCAACATCCTGTTCTCCTTTGGAAATCCTATCCCTCAGGCGCTCATGCTCTCTTGTTAACGAGGTAGCCTCTTCCACAAGTGGGTCACGAGAGTTTTGCAATTTCTCCCTCTGCGTGGTGAGGACTTGGATACGACCGACAAGTTGCGTGATCTCCTGTTCAATTACTACAATCCCGCGTTTGACCTCCGCAAGCGTTGCTTTGTCCGAATCGTACTTCTCACGCCACGACTGCACACTGCGAATCGTATCAATACGTGACCGCCGCACATCATGATAACCACCAGTTAGTGATCCCTTGCGGTCGACTTTGTCTCCATCAAGCGTGATGGTGTTGAGATTGTGGCTGCGGACATATGCTGCGGCGATGAAAAGGTCACGACAAACGCACGTCTTGCCGAAAACTTGTTTGAACGCCTTTTCATGTATGGGATCAAACCGTAATTTGTTGATGAGTGGGATGGCATCTGGTGCATTGGGATATGCGACGTCCTTCGGCTTCAGGCGGTTCAAGGGCATGAACGTGACACGACCCGTCTTCTCCTTTAACATGATGTCGAGTACACGCGACGCTGTCTCATCTGTGTCCACAACTACGTGGAATAGACTATACGGCGAGTAAGTATTTAACTATATTTAAGCTTCGGTAGGAATGCTCACCTGCTGCCAGCGGTGAGTTCGACGGCCGTGTTAAATTTCTTATCTGTTACCTCGAATAGTTTGTAAAGAGGACCATAAACACCACGAAGGCCGTGTCGCTCCGCAATCCTTTCTACAGATCGTAGGCCGGCTCCCGTATCCTGGCGGCAATCAGCATTCAAGTAAACGGCGATAATTTGATGGAACAAACCTTGTCCATCATACTCGCCAAGTCACGCTCATGCTGGCGCAGTTCATTCTCAGCGTGCCCAGTTGTACTTGTGAGCCTGGCATCCTCACGCCAAAGCTCCTTCCTTTTTTCCAACAGCTCTGCATGCTTGTCTTTTACTTTAGAAAGCTCTTCAGACAACTCGCGTCCCTTATCGCGACGGTCTTCCAAACGTCCTTGTACGTCTTCCGACTTTTTGGAAAGCGCAGCCAATGCATCGCGTGAAGCAAGGAGATCGCGCTCTGCGGCCCTCAAGTTGACCGATTGCTTGTCCTTGTAAGCACGAAGAGAAGCGATCTCAGCCGAGAGGAACTGGTCGCGTTCTGCGCGACTACGGAAGCGACTTAGTCGACCCTGTTTTTCGTAGAGCATTTCGAGGTGGGCACGAGCCTCGTCGAGGCGAAGACGTTCCTCTGCTTCTCGAGCTCGATGCTCATCCCATCGCGGGTTCAGTGCTTGCAGAGTATGCTCCTTCTCTGCTATCTTAGCGTTGACTTCTTCAAGTTCGGCCTCCAGTTCTTCCCGTTTCCCACCGGCACGCTCCTTCGCTGCTTGTAAGTCTTCGATATTACATTCTAACTCTGTCCGAGATCGGATAAGGTCGTTGATCTCGCTAGTAAAGCCATGCTTGCTCAGCGAAAGCGTCGTAGTGCTATGCTTCGTTTGTTTGATTTCTTCTTCAAGTGCCTGTATTTCCTTTTCTCGTTCATTAAATGCCTCGCGCCTTACATTCACGCCGTGAACTTCTCCCCGCCGTTCATCTTCCAATTCTTCGAGAGCACCAGTAACCTCTTGCAATTCCCTCTCAAAGAGAGCGTATTCGAGACATCTTCGCTCTCGATCCTTCTCTTGGTATTCCTTCAGCTCTTCTTTTTCCTCTTCTAGTTCGTTTAGACGACCATCAATGTAGTCAAGGAGTTCGCTGATCTTTTGCCGTTTTGATGATGTCTCGTCCATGATTCGGAGCGATTCGGTGCGGCGCTGTTCGTACACTTTAGTTCCGGCTACTTCCTTAAGCAGAGCAAGGCGTTCGTGATCCTTGGCATTTGTAAGAGCAGTAATCTATATGGCGCAATTAATTTTACTCTGTACGTTATAATTATTCATCTACTTACTCTGCCTTGAGGTACGATGTAATATGGATTTGCTCTGCTGAACCCGGCACTTTCTAGCAAGCTCATCACATCTGCCTTGGACGCGCTCTTTTTATCCAACGTGTATTCGTCTTTCTTAAGACCAATGGTTCGTCGAATAGTTACGGTGGGATTTGGGGTCGGGAAACGAGCAGGCTGATTGGTGAACACAATTTCGACTGCAAAATGGGTTACTAATAAGTGATGTTTATATTGGTTTGTCGTACCATAAGCCGAGAGTGTTGAAGTGACGGATACGCCTTCATGCAACAATGCTTGTCTTTCCTCACGCGACATAGATGAATATGCGTCTCCCAAGACAAATCGAATCGCTTTAGATAATCAGTATAGCGGCCTTTGACAGACCCCAAGATACTAACCGGCGAAGAAGTTACTCTTCCCGCTTCCATTGCGCCCGACAACGACATTGTGTCCAGGTGAGAAGGGCTCAATTTCCGTCCTGTCGCGATCTTTTCGAGTATCAGTACGACTGTATCCTAGAGTTACAATGCTATTCTCACAGGACTTGAAACCCTGAATTGTTAGGGTTTGGATGTGCATGATGGGCAGTGGAACAGATACGCTCGACGCGAAAGCTGACTGCGACAGTGCGAGTCTCAAAATGCCCGTCACGCTGTCTCCCGACGCGTTCTGTCACCCTTCCAAACATGGTCAATTTGCTTAATAATAACATCAAATACCAAAAATAGACAAAGTCGCGCCACCCAGCATGGATTCCCTCCGTCGTTGAGTGACATCCAGTGCTTGCTGGAACCGAATCCATCCTTGTCGTCGTTCATCTATGATCTCTCGCGATGTCCTCCGACACTCAAGAGGAGGCACCTCCCCTTGCTGTCAGCGCCTTGAGGAGCAAATTCGAGAAGCTTGCCCAGGATGGCTCGCCCGTGTCAGCAACACCGAGTAAATCGGCCGGCTCGACGTCCGCATTACCTCGGACGCATGACAGTGGCCTCCTTACGCCGAGCCCGACGCGGCATCGTGCTGCCTCGGGTAGTGATGTTGCATTGGATGCTGAGACGCCGTCTACCATGCATCACATCCGCACATCGAGCTCTTCATCTGACCTCAAGATTGGGAGACGGCCGCCTCCGCCTCCGCCGCCCCGATCACCCAAACCTGGGTGTTCTCCTGTTACAAAACCTACGATTGCACCGAGTAGCCCTATTCTGTCGCCCGAGAAGCCTGCACTGATGTCCCGTAAACCGCCTCCACCGCCAGGCATAGCTCAAAATGAAGAAAACGTTGAACCTGGCGTGCTGCCGGCCGGGGGAGTTGCATCACTTCGCAACAAGTTCGCGATAAAGTGAGTAGAGCTGATATTCTATCACGCAGACTGACCGACTCGGCTTCAGTGGTGCTGGTGAGCGGGCTTCTCCAACGCGTCAAATTCCAGTCGCAGGAAGCCGTATTGTGTCCCATTCTTCAGCCATTTCATCACCTCGTCAGTTTAAAGCAGAGGACTTACCTCAACATAATCATCGCCACTCTGTATCTGCATTACCGGACAATGGCCCTCTCATTCGCTTCGACGACGATGAGGATAATCCGCCAGCTCCACCCCTCCCTTCTCGTCCCTCTCCGAATCCATTCGAGTCCGAGAGTTCGAGTTCCTCGATGACTACAGGGGATCCGGAAACTCCACTAATAGAATCACCAGAATCCATACATCGTCCTCCTCCTCCACCTTCCCCCCTGAAAAACTTGAAAACCCGACCTGCTCCTCCTCGTCACGCTTCGCTTCCCATGCCTGCAATTGAAACCGCAACTACTCCAAATTACGATGCCCATGACTCTTCAAGTAGCAAGTCAAACACTCCTACTCTACAAGTCCCGCCTCCCCTTCCTGTTCGACGAAGTCCTCCGAACTCTATGAGAGATTTACCCCAGCAAATGCGCCAATCCCTACGTACAGGCCCTGTACATGAAACAGACACACACGATGGTCTACACTCTGCTCCTCCTGCCATGGAACGCAAGACACAGTTCGCACCACCTCCAGTGCGTATAATTGCCTTAGGTGACAAGCTGCCACCCCCGAGGCGGCCTCCGTCTAATGAAGGGTCAGACTCGGAATCTGTTGATGACGAAGAAGCTCAATCAAAAGGGGTTCGTGCGGGAGAACTCCCTGATGCATCTCATTCGTCCCGCCGTCCCCCGCTTCCTGGTCGTTTAGAATTTGCACGAGCACGGATTCCCGTCACAGCGCATACAGGCATCATCGCTGTTGCTGGTGCATATGTAGTCACCGCTCATCATCACGTAAAAGTTTATGATTTGGCTCGTTCTCAATCACTCCTGTATAATATTGACCTGAAAGAGGCTGGTTTTGAGTGGCGAGGTAAAGATCCTCGAGTGACAAGCATGGAATTCAGACCAGCAGGGGTCGATGAAGAACGTGGGCGTTTCGTATGGATCGGCACGAAGGATGGCACTATCTGGGAACTGGACGTTCAGAGTGGTCAAGTCACGACGCTTCGCTATGCTGCGCATGCTGCTGCAGTCACGCATATATTCAGACACGGACTTAACATGGTTTCACTCGACGAGAACGGAAAAGTGCTTGTATTCTCGCCAGATCCAGAAACCAGTGTCTGTGCTGGAATGCTCACCAACTCTTCTCCACGTGTAGTGCGCATCACGGAAAAGCAAGGATTCGCGAAGATTTTGGGTGGTCTTCTCTGGACCTCCGGTGGACCGGGTTCATCCGGGGCTGCGCAAGTGAACGGGGCTGGAACGTCAGCACGCGGACCTGTCGTGCGTGTCTACAACATCTTGGCACATTCTGGAGGGGGGAAATCTTTACTACCACTCGAAAGTGCGGGTATAGGTGCAGTAACTTCGGGAACTGTTCTTCAATCGTCTCCCGGTAAAGTATTCCTCGGTCATGAGGGAGGATTCATCTCCCTATGGGATCTGCATTCAGAAGATGGTATGCCTGCCTGCACTGAAGTTGTCAAAGTGTCTGCGTCAGACGTTCTTTGCTTGGAGGGCGTTTGCGATCGATTGTGGGCCGGAGGTAGGAAGGGCCTGATATGCACTTATAATGTCGATTTCAAACCATGGGTTATCACAAATAGCTGGATGGCTCACTCGGACTTACCAGTACAAAAGCTCTTCATTGACCCATTTAGCATAGAGAGATGCATTCAGTTGTCGGTGATAAGTGTAGGTAGGGATGAGGAAGCACGTTTTTGGGATGGTCTCCTTGGAATAAACTGGATAGGTCCGTCATTTCCTTTCTTTGACTTTTACAATCTGATTCTCTTGTAACCTCAGATGCCGAGCTTTCAAAGCGGGAATCTTCATTTTCTGTCTTCCGTCCTCTGACAGCCTTAATCGTATCGTGGAATGTTGACGCTGCAAAACCAGATACGCTCACGGGCTGTCCTGAGAATGTTAACTTCTTTGATGAAGTGCTCCAATCTGTTGAATCGCCAGACATCATCGCGTTTGGTTTCCAGGAGTTAATAGATCTAGAGAGCCGTAAGATGGCGGCGAAGACAGTCTTACTGGGCGGGAAGAAGAAGGCGGCGGATGGTTCAATCTCTGAGAAGGTGTCGCGCTCGTATAAAATGTGGCACGACCGGCTGAGCTTGGCAGTACGACTTGCCATGCCTCCGGATTGTCCATACACAGTTGTACATGCGGAGAACCTTGTAGGGCTTTTCAGTTGTATTTTTATCAAGTCTTCAGAACGCAGGGGATTGAAAGACGTCGCAATTACTACCGTGAAGCGCGGCATTGGAGGCATGTATGGTAATAAGGTGAGTGGAGGTTATCATATTTATTGTCTCACCGATTGAGATCCGGGCTAGGGCGGTATCGTCGCTCGTCTTGTGATTGACGATTCGTCTATTTGTTTTATCAATTGCCATCTGGCGGCGGGCCAACATCATATTCGAGCTCGAAACGCTGATGTTGCAGCTGTGCTTGACGAGAAGGAAGTATTTCCAGTAGCGATCTCAGATTCCGAGTGCATCGCATATGCTGGTGGTGGGGACGGGACCATGGTCCTCGACCATGAATTTGTTTTTGTGAGTAGCACTTCGTGTTTGCGGAGCTCATGGTGACTAACCGCGATTCCTAGCTTAACGGTGACTTGAATTACCGAATTGAGCAACGGCGAGAGGCTGCGATTGCTGCCGTTCACGCGGGTCAAATCGAACAACTCCTTGCTCACGACCAGCTCCTCCGAGAAATGCGTGTTAACCGCAGCTTCCGTTTGCATACCTTCGTCGAAGCACCAATCGCCTTTGCCCCGACTTACAAATACGACCGACGATCCAATAATTATGACTCCTCTGAGAAGAATCGCATACCAGCATGGTGCGACCGCATTCTGTACAGAACACGCGATGCAAATCGCGTTCAAAACCTGCATTACCGGCGCTACGAGGCAAACGTGTCTGACCACAGGCCTATTTCTGCTGCTTTCCGCATAACAGTCAAGTCTGTAGACCACGCGAAGCGATCCCGTGCTAAAGCGGAGGTTGAGGATCTCTGGCTGGATCAACAGGTAGTAAGACTTTCGGATGCCCGTACCTTCTATGTCGAGCAAGCATTGCTTTGAAGGAATTTTTTTTTTGGTGTGTGTATTGTTAGTATCAACATCAGTTCGCATCCGTGCTGTCAATCTCCCCTCGTATTGCTGTCATCTGTTCCTGTTCTCTTCTGGACTTTCTTGCTCTATAATGACTCTTTATTATTAATTTGCATCGAACTCTTGAAGATGATGATGCTGTACTCTGCATTAATCAGTCCTACGTACTTGTAGCCGATACAGTAATGATAATGCCCTCATTGGACTATGTGCCTGTAGCAAATAGCGGAATGGAATAGGAAACCGTATGGACATCCAGGGCAACAGTTCATCTTTACGAGGGCATATCACAGGAGGCAGAATCCCATTTTGCAATCCTAGGAATTTATTACAAAATTTGAAAGCTACTACCTGATTACTGGAAATACATTCTAAAATAAATTCTCTGGGTTTCAGAATAGGTTTCTGCCTCCTGTGTATGCTGTGTACCAAGCCAGAGTCTTTGCTGCCGATGAAAGTGACGCCATTGTCACATTTCTCCTTCGGCGTCCTCTGCCGTAGGAATTGCCTGATTACGCACGAACGAGAAGATAGAAGTATAGTGTATAGACAAGGACTACTCAATCCTATGCGTAAGAGAGGAGGCCTGAGATTGTTAGTGAGTCTCTCCGCGTCTAAATTACGCTTTCCCTATTACGCGTTACAACACCTTTCTAATCATCAAAATCAGATCTGGACCCGTTTCTGAGCCCACCAAGTGGTACGAGGACGAGAAACACACGGCTACCCTTTGCCCGGCTAGTTTCAAAACATCACAAGTAAAATGGACTTCTCCCCAAAGCTTACAGCGTCCTTGCTTGCACTTCCGACAATTGTGGTTGGTGCTATCCTGTACGCGGCACACAGGTTCACGACGCGCATCTCACCCACCATCCCTTACGCTGGCGAAGAGTCATTGAGTGCACGTTTGAAGGCTCCTATTGAATATGGCAAGGACCCCGTCGAGTTCCTTCGCAAAACGCGTAAGAAGCTTGGTGATGTTTTCTGTGTCGACCTGTTCGCTTTCAAACTCGTTTTTGTTCTGGGCCCCGAGGGAAACAAAGCGATATTACGGGCACCGGAAGAGAAGATAAGCTTTTTGGAACAAATAAAATGGGCGATGGGAGCGACGTTAGACGGCAGTAAGCAAAATGCGTTGTTTCATTTTTTTTGACTAACTTTACTAATGAGTAATCCAGTGTGGGATGTCCCAAGCTGGAATGCGCTCAGCTTCAAGTTGATCAAGTTCGCTCTCCAAAAGCAAGAACGATTGCAAACATATGCTTCTCAATGCTCCAAGGTGACGGAGGAACATTTCGAAAAGTGGGCGGCGAAGGGGAAAGTTCCTCTTTTCGAGAGCATTTCACATCTTGTCATTGCGGATCTTTTGGTCATTCTCGTCGGCGAGGAGTTTTACAGAAAATATGGAGACGAGCTGATCCCGATTATGGCACAGTTTGAGCGAGATTTGCAGAATCCAATTCTGCGTATTGTGCCCAACGCCTTGTGGGGGTTTACGAAACCTGGGAAAGCGTTGTTCAAGGCTGGAGATCGGTTTGACGAGTTGATCAAACTTGAATTGGAGGATATCATGTCTAATCCTGAAAAGCACAAAGGGCGGGGCGACTATTTTTATTATATTATAACTCAATGCGGTGACAAGTACAAAATTGTCTACGGCAAGCACATAATGAGCGTAGTCTTTGGTGGACACGCTAACGCAGCTATGACGGTTCCTTGGATCTTCCTCCATGCCCGGCGCACGCCAGGCGCATTGGATCGTATTCGTGAAGAAGCTCGTTTATCGTCAGATGTGCGCAAACCATACCTCGATGCTTGTTTGCGGGAGACAGGCCGGTTATACACGAACACGACGATGATGCGTTTAACACAGGAGGCGACAGAAGTTGTTGGGCATACAATCCCTGCAAACACATTCATTGCTTGCTCTCCGTTGGCCACTCAGCGAACGGATTCCTCGGAACCAGCAGGGATCTTTGATGATGCCGCACACTGGAATCCGGATCGTTTCCTCGCGGATGGTGCATACAACAACTGGTTCCAGCGCGTCGAGTTCGTGCAATTCGGACTGGGCGCACATGCGTGTCCCGGTGAGAAACTTGCACGCGTGCTAATATTTGACCTCATGCTGAAGACGTGGATGGAAAAGTACGACATTGAAGTCGTCTCGGGGCTTGAGGAAGGCGTTAAGGGTGTTGATGGCGTCGGAGCGGAGGGTGCCTGGACTGAGGAGAACTTTGGTACACCATCTATTCGCGGAGAGGACGTAATTGTATCAGTGAAGAGACGGGATGGCTCTGGTATTTAATCCTTACCGGGTTTTTTTGCGGGATTTTCGTTTTCTAAATAGTATATATCTACTGTAGTATTTACATTTTACATAGTATTAATATTATTTTTGTAAACCAAATAATCGACAGGTTTAAAACACGTGATGCTCTCCTCATTGTTAGGTTCCTTCAATTGACCAACGCTGCGAGTTGTCGGGCCGCTTCCTTGCAAGCTTTGCAGTGCAGTGGTCATAATCATTGCCGTGGGAGGTCTGCCAGGTCACGGCGTCTGATTGGCGGCTTTACTTAGACCAGCGTTCCATCAGCTATTCCGGTCACCAGTGCGTTCCCTCGCTGCGCGGCGCTGAGCGCGTTATCGACATTATACTCCTTATACCCGGTCCGTCCCTATCTTGCCTATGACCGTGTCAGAATGTCCTCGCGTATAGCACCAAAGGTGCTTTCTGTCCCCCGCCTCACAACGCTTGCGAGCTCTATTGTGGTAGCGCTGAGCTCTGGTACGAATTATGTGAGTCCCCTGACGCGTTTCGCACACGTATTTGAATTGAACGATGGTTACAGGTGTACTCCGGTAAGGAAGATGACCCAGTGATGATAGCAGATGCTGAAGTTGCACGCAGCGTATGCCCCACAGCTTGGAACGCAACTACGGATATCACATACTAAACTAAATATTATTGGTATGGTGTCGGATGCCTAAATCTTGTAGCCGAGACTTACCTTTGTAATAGGTCTTGCGGGAAACAGTACGAGTGACTAGTCATTAAAGAGATAGACACTTAATGATTTGTTATGCTTTGCAGTTGGTGTATATAGTACAGGTCCCTTCTGGGGACGTATTGTTGACCGCCGAGGACCTAGAATGTAAGCACTACCCGACTTGCGCTTTTCGCGAACGATGCTGACACTTCTCAAGTCTGCTTGCCAGTGCATTTGCGCTGTTGCTTGTTGGGTACTCCGGAATACGCTATTTCTACAATAATCCAGACCACGCGGGAGCTAATGCGGATGCTGAGAGAATCTCGCATTTTGCATTTGCTGTCATGACTCTCTGCTCATTCTTCACCGGGGCAGGTGGAAACGGTGGATTTACCAGCGCTGTTAATGCAAGCGCAAAGTCATTTCCCGATGAAATGGTACATATTCCCAATGATTTACATGTGTCACATCCTATTCAAATCATTCTTCTAGAGGGCATCTGCGACGGGGCTGGTCATATCCGGTTTCGGTCTCTCGGCATTCTTTTTCTCTGCTCTCGCGAGGATTCTATACCCAGATGACACGTCGTCATTCCTATTGGTTCTCGCTCTTGGCACCTCTTGCCCAATGATTCTGGGCTTTTTCTTCGTGCGGCCGATACCTCTACCCTCTGATAGTGACGACTCCCCTGATCCAACCCCAACTCCGGCCCCCGGACGTTTGAGTATCACCGAGGTCCCCCACGATGGGTTTGCACAGTCTGTTGGTGTTGACAGCGTATTTGCAGGAGACGCTCTTGTTTACGAGCATCACGACGATAGCCAAACGACGTTACTTGCAACACATCGCCATGCTCACCATCATCAACACCGCTCGAATCAAGACGACGAATACGCGCACCAGAACCTCGGTTCACCTGCCCCGCGTCGCCACTCTGTTGAGTTCGCCGTATCTTCACCGCCCAGTGGACAACGTCATCGCAGTATGTCTGCCGTGTCACACAAGAGCCGAAACCGTGTTATCGAGGTACTGCAGGAAGTTCACGGGAAAGGACTATTGCTCAGTGGCGATTTTTGGCTTCTCTTCTGCATCATGTCTTTGCGTAAGTTTAATCACGCTACTTTGTCACAGATACAAAGACACTGAGGTGCATTAAATTTTAGTGGCCGGTACGGGGCTAATGTGTAAGTACAGTACTTCAATCTTAGTTCTATGTGTAATTAATTGTTTACTTTTCCTAGACATCAATAATGTTGGCTCTATTTCCCAGGCACTGTTTGCACAAGGTGATCCAGACTTTGATCCCGTTGAGTCTGCCAAGTGGCAGAGTACGCAAGTCTCGATCATCAGTCTTGCAAATTTCATCGGTAGGATTCTGAGCGGCGTTGGTGCAGACCTCGTAAAGAATGGCTTAGGTGCACCACGTACATATTGCATCTGCGTCGTCGCCATGCTCTTCGTCATCTCTCAGGTAATTGCAACACATGTCGAGAACGTGCGAAGCCTTTGGCAAGCATCTGCGCTGCTGGGAATCGCGTACGGAGGGATGTTCGGCCTGTTCCCGACCATCGTCATTGAATGGTTTGGCCTTACGCATTTTTCGGAGAACTGGGGCTTTGTGTCTTTGTCGCCGTTGGTTGGTGGCAACCTCTTCAGCCTGGCGTTTGGCCGTAACCTCGATGCGCACAATCCACCAACTGAACCTGGTGATAGCTCGCCGTCGACGTTTGCGGCTCGCGCAGGTCTTCCGGCAGGCGAACAGTGTTTCGCGGGTCGCGATTGCTACGTCGCGAGCTTGTACCTGACGATAACTGCTTGTACAGTCGCAACAGGCCTAAGCTTCTATGCAGCATGGAAGGATCGTCGCCGCATGACCGTGAAACCAGCTGATTATGAGGAAATCCTGTGGGAAGACGACGAAGAGGAGGTTTAGAGGTCCGAGGACCCTTCGCACATCTTCGTGTACATTACGCGGCTTGTTAACGATAGATTACATTATGATTACTATTAATTTATTCCAGAGAGGTGATTTGTGTCATTCGGACGTTCTTAGAGGGAGGAATTTTCAATATCCACTCATTGTGAAAGTTAACATCATAAACTCACCATCTAGACGGCCACGTAATATGTTCTCCGCATTGGGAATCATCTCTTCTCCAGCTTGATTGACGGCATTTGCTGCGAGCTCCTTCGGAGTGTACGCGCCCTCCACGACGTATTCCGTCTCGAGCGCCCGGGAAAGTAGCACGTCGATAAGCCAGAATCGTTGTGTGCGCATTCTTTCTTTTTTCTCTTCTCGGAACGTTGTGGGTGGTGCTTCTACTGATTCGTTTGGATCTGTTTCATCGCTTGCATTGGTCTGTACATCTTCCTCAGGGTCCGCTTTTCCCTCGAGGCTGCCATCTGCTTTCAATCTGCGATCTATAACCTGTTCTCCTTCGACTGCTACGTCCGCCTTTCCCTCCTCATTTCTGTCCATTACGGCATCGACAGCGATGTCTGGCGTCGATTGTGAGGATTTCGCTGCGTTTGATGAGTCACTCTTCTGGTCCTCCTCCCTTGTTTCGTATCTCGTCAAAACCTCCTTTAGCGACTTCAAAAGTTCCAGATGAGCAATAGCTAACGCACGCCTCGCAACACTAGTAACCCGACGCGTCAACTCCCAATCACTGACATTCTTGATTCTTCTCCTAGGAATTCCACGCAAGTCCAGGAAGACCTCCGCCCAAGATTTCGACGCACTTCGAGAATGCAGGTCTCGTTGACACCGTATGACAAGGTTTTTGACGACGCTATTGATAGCGCGCTCCTCTAAAGGGATGTGTGCCCTTCTATATATTTTGAGTGCGATAATGGCTGCAGCATAGTCACGGAGGGTCACGAATTGACTCAAGGCGGCGCCAAGGCTGACCTTCGTGAGCACGGGTGTCCGTTCAGTGATAAGGCCCCTGACAATGAATGCGTGCAACTCGCACATCTCGCGGAAGAGTACACGAGATGATACATAAAACTCCGTTCGCATGGTTTGAGCGTCTTCGTTCGCAAGGCGGGCGGCAGCAGCAAAGAGCTGTGAATAGGTCGTCTCGTCAGGATATACTCCATGCGAGATATGCGAGCGGAGCGTATCGTACAATGCGAGTGCGCGACTGACATGGTTATGTCGCAACTCGGCACTGATAAGTACGTTGATGAATACGGTATCGGGCCATGCAAAATCGCGAGCCATTCTGTCCAGGATGGGACCATACAGAATTCGAGGGTCCGTATCTGATTCTGCGGCGAGTGCACCTTGTGCAAACGTAGTGTAAGGATAACAGTATTCCGGGTCCTCTTCGGCATTCACAGGGGCTGCATGTTTCGAATAATATTCCAACCAATATTCAGCGTCGACTCTTCGATCCGCCGAAAAGTAGAATTTGATCAAAAACGCAACGGAGATCGAGTCCAGGCGGAATCCCTTTGGACGCTTTGAGATGTAGAGGTTCACAACTACCTTGATATCCTCTGCTGCATCATCCGAAAGCATGAGCATATACAAGAGCTCATGTACATGCTCTTTTGCGGCTGTTTCGTCAAATATTGTCCTCCCTAAGAGTTCGCCAATGTTGTTCAGGTACGTCCCACGCATCATGAGGTGGTTAATGTATTGTGCGGTAAGGACCCTAGCACGCAGAGGAGCTGAGATCCGCAGGGCGCCACTTTCCATCATATGCACAACATGGAAAGCCTCACTGAACAACTGTTTCCGGAGAAGCAAGTCAAGGACTGCTTCACTTGTCTCTTGACGCTCCGACTGAGTCACGTCATTATTTGAGACCCTCTTGGTTAGATAGCCGGGGACGACGAACGGGACGTGGTTATTGATCAAATGGTTCGCTCTTTTGAGTACAGACTGTTGAAGGGGTGATGGCTCTTTCCGAATGGTAGTGGATAGCCTGCGAGAGGTGGCAATCCCAAGGGACGTTCTGATGGAGGTCCATCGTTGAAAAGAGCATCTTCTGAGGAACATAAACGAGCCCTAACGTCGCGCACGAGTTGTGAGGCAATTAAAACGGAATAGAGCACTAGAATAGCCGGATCATTTGAAGACACAAGCAGTCACAAGGTATTCGCCGGACCGGAAAAGAAGATGTGCATGTGCAGAGAGATTCAGACTCAGAGAAGCACAAAGATGTCTTAGGTCGGAAGCAAAAAATAAGCGTCATAAAATTGGACCACGTGTTCGACACGGACTGTCACACGCCGCAGATCATCATAACGCGCCTCCGCCCGTCACGTTCCTACCTGCATCCAACCTCAATTCTTTCTATTTCACACCGATGAGCGATACTGTTGAAGAAGTTGCGGAGGGGGATCGCCCCGTCATCAATTATAATGCTGTCAAAGTCTACGATGAACGGAATAGATGCCTATACATCTATGGAGGCACTAGATGGCCTGTTAATGACAACATAAGATCTCCCACTTGCAAACCCACGTCAGACTTCTTTCGTTTCAGCTTTGGTTCCGTGCACCCCTGGACTAATTATACAGTAAGAACTCTCGCTCTTGTCAATAAGATAATCATTATTTATCCTGTCTACCTGGTAAATTAGAACGACATGCGAGACGATCGGTCCCTGATATCACCATTCGAAGAGACGCTATCAGTACCACAGACCTCCGGACTGGAGTTACCTGGACTAGGGCCACTACCGACGCTTAATAATGCTGTAGGGACTGTTGTACACGATAATACAGCCTCTATGACTCCATATTTGTTACTTCTGGGAGAGCCTGTACGAAAGTCGTCTAGAAAGGAAAGCCACCCTGAACTTCTGTGTATCAATCTCAAACAGAATGCATGGCGTATAATTGAACTTAGAAATGCAAGGAGTGTTCCTAATGGACGATCTCGTGCATCCATGATCATCTCAGGTACACTAAGGACAGAGGGAGTCGATGTGTATCTGTGTGTCTTCGGGGGCGTTAAAGAGGAGAGATTAAATGCAAGTATTCTACTTTGACTCTTTCATCCTCTCCATTAATCAATTTGGGCACAGGATGTTAATACGATTACGTCTTCAAGGAAATTTTCTGTTGCAAATCTCTCGAAAGGGATTTGGACCATTCCCGATGGAGAGTTACCAGAAGCTGTTGGGCCTTTAGGGATACACCCTGGCCTTGCAAAGTACTGGGACGCACATCAGGGTCGGGAATTGTTATTAATTATGAGAGGAGCTGTAGAGCCACATGCAGGCAGTGTAAGTCAGAAACCGAGTCTGTATTCACCTCTCAAGAATCCTTTTGTGACCATTTGTTTAAAATATTTAGTCAGAGTCGGCTGCAAAAGCAACATTCACAAAAGCGGTCCTATTTGATGTACAATCAAGCAGTCAATGCTTTATGGACGTCAGCATCGACACATTACATATCCCTGCTTCTGCAAAGACGTTCATTTGGCAGAGATGCACGTCTTCTTTGCCTAGCACCTCAGACTATGTTCTGGTTACTTGTGGGCATCGGCGTGGACCTAACACATATCCACTGAGATCAGCAAAGCGTGCAAGCATATTGTATATAAGGCCAAAAATTAGAGTCTGGACTGCAGAAATCGTGCACGTAAATAATGCAGTTGGAATAGAACCTGAACACACAGAAGACAGCGAGATTCACATAGATCTCACTTCTGACAACGAAAGTGACTCGTGTGAGTATCCTGTCCTCTACATATTCCTATACTCTTTCTCATTAACTTGTGCCCCATTTTAGCATCCACTGAATCGGACAGTCCCACCAGAGTAAAAAACTGTAGACTATCAAAATCCCTGAACATCTTTACTCAAAGAGCAAAGAGAACCGGTCCACCACTACTGAGAAAGAGTGGACTGAAAATCATCTGGCGAAATGTGAATTGCGGACGTCTCAAGCGCCATCTGGACAATCTGAACCCTTCATTTCGTGTTGAAGCTATGTATCTCAGCGGGAATCTTCCCAGCCGCTTTGAGCAGTCTGAGTACACGTACGGGCATCCGTTCAGCCCAAAGCTTATCCTGCTAGGATGCGACCACGAGTTCCTAGGGGAAGTTCTTGGAGACATTCACAATGCGTTTGCGTGCATTTCTCTACATTCGCTTCTCGATACAGGCCATGATACCAATTCCAGCGAGGAGGTGGAGGAGGTGGAGGATGTCAGTGTAACTGATGATTCTACACTATCGGATAACGACACGCTACTCCCTCATACTGACGAGAGCAGCCATTCTCTCAGTCCTCATAGTTCATCAAGCACTGTTACTGTCAACCAGTCCAATAGAGCACCATCTGACCTTGCTGAACTAATCGAGGTTCAGCAAGCATTGACTCGGAAATCTACTGAACTTGGAACTCCCCTGTTGATGGCATCTCCTGCATTAGGTGGACGTATAGATCCGCATTTATGTCATTCTTTTCAAGGAGAGGATCTGTTTCTATTACCAGTCCCCAAAACACCCACTAGTATTGATGTCGAGGACTTACAAGGTAAGTGTACTCCACTTAAAGACTTTCTCGGTCCAGAACTGATTATATTTTCTTTCCAAGTTGAGGAGATTGTCAATAAAATCGTAGGGTGTGAGTCGGATGATGAGATGGAGATAGATGTGATGCTGAATTAGGCAGAGTAATGGGCGGTTTATATCTTCGAACCTGATTCAGTATTTGTAGTTTTCATGAGAGCACCACTTCTTGTCATTATTGTTCATCCTTTGCACTCGTCATCATGCTTTCCCGTGCACTTCTGCCCTGATTTCTTTCCGTCATGTTCTCTAATACTGTTTTGAATTAGCATTCGGTTCTAATCGTGGTTTTCAAATTCCATGTTCGAGTCGGTGTGGAAATGCTATGCACGTGATTGATATATCTACATAATCAGTGGACTCGTCTCTTGTTTCATGACTTCCTACTGCCAGGAGCTCGTATACTCCCATTACCAAAATCTGCATCTCTTCGATAAAGGAAGAAATTGGACTCGCCACCGTTTAGTGGATATCAGCCCCTGCATTTGCCTAGTAACTGAAATGCCGCCGCGTCTGAGTAAGAGACAACAACGCGAACAAGATGAGCTGCTCAGCCTCTCTACAAAATCTTCAGCGCATGAAACTCCCGATGAGCCACAACCAGTAGAGTCCAGCGAAGACGAAGGTTCAGTTGTGAGGCCTAAGCCTGCAGGGTTCTCCGCCGTATGCCTCATTTATTTTTTATACCCCCAACCTATTGACGATCGATTTCTTAGCTAGCTCAGCCAGAGGTAATCGAGGAACCTGAAGAGGAAGTGGCAGATGCTCCACAAAAGACAGGTAAGAAAAAGGTGGGCATGTATAGGTCCTTTTTTGAGCCTGTCGTTAACCGTGTCATACAGAACAAGAAGAAAAAGAAGAAAGAGATATTAAATGTCGGTGCAGCTACATCGCCTCCGATTTCTCCTCAACCCCAGCAAGCGAAGGCAAAGAAGGATGCTGGAAAGGGAAAGGGAAAGGTCGACGATGGAGATGAGTTGGACAAAGCACTTGCTGAATTATCTGTGAAGTAAGTATTTACATCTCAGACCTGACGGGAGGCTTACATCCCACTCAAGATATCCGGATCTTCAACATGTCGCACAATCTGCAAGGGGAGGTTCATCAGCACAATCTTTCTCAGTGAAACAGAACGCTCTACTCGCCGTGTCCCTGGCTCATTTGGACAGTGAGGCGGAGATGAGGAGGTTTTTTGGATCTAAAGTCGTAAGTAGTCTTCTTTCATAGTATAGGAGACTTATTTGACGGGTATAATTAGATCAGTGCGTCGAGAGCACAAGATAAACAGCCTCGTGGTGCTCGGGCAGCTGTGAAAGGTCTCAAATCAAATCTCACAAAGCCACAGGCAACATGGTGGTCCGCATCGCAACGGGAGGGACTTTCGATTCGTCCTTTAACTGAAAGCGAGGTCAAGGACAAAGCGGATCGTAGCAAAATACAAATTCAAGAGAAAGGTGAACGCTGGTGGACTGTTGGCTATTCAAAGAGGTATCGTAATGTAACGAAGGCATTCATAAGTGCTGTATTGTCAGGAGGTGCGTCACTTACCCAGCATCTACTTCTCACCATTGACCACGTTCCAGATCCGGAACGATTGTACCGAATTTTGTCGAAGCTACCATGGCACGCCGACACGCTGCTACAGATCTCGGAAATATATCGACATCGGGAGGGTGATTATGGAGTCTTTTCATTTATTGGGATGCATCTGACTTTGACCTCATGAAGAACACTCGTCAAGCGTCGATTTCTTGAATCGGGCTCTTTTCACTTATGAGCGAAGTTTTATTGGAGCCTTCGCGTTCACTGCTGGCATCAATCGACTTGACTTCGATCACGTCGAGAATCGGCCATTCTATCTCGCACTTAGCCGAATGGTAGCGTACGTGATTCATCAATACTTAGGCTTGCAGACAACCCAAGTCCTTCTAGGGATTTACAGCGTCGCGGATGCTCACGTACCGCTTTTGAGTTCGCTCGACTTCTTCTTTCGCTTGACCCATACACCGATCCGCACGGTGCGCTTCTGTTTCTTGACTTTCTTGCGGTCAGGTCAGGCATGCATGAATGGCTTGTATCGTTATGGGACCTACACAACGCTCAGGCAGAAATGGACAACGATATACTGGACACGTGGAACAGGTTTAACGTGACGATTCTGCCAGGATGGTCCTATGCAAGAGCCCTAGCGCTTCGTGTCACGGAGGATGTGAAGAAACAGGTTCGTGGTCCAGTCGTCAAAAACCCAATCGACTCTAATATACTATACAGAGTCATGAGGATAGCACCAGGGCACTTGAGGAGGCTATCCTGAGCTTTCCCGCTGTTGTACCCCTCTTGGCGGACAAGATCGATGTGTACCTACCCGGAGAACTCCGGGGTCATTCAGACTTTAGAGTGCATGTCGATTCCAGGTAGACCAGTGTTTTCACACTATACATACTTGACTTGCTAATTTTCCTCTGTTCACAGCTCTTTAACCCAGTACGAACCTCTCATTCACTTACTGTCCCATCTATACGCGCATCGGTCTTTTTCACTATGGAAAGCGTCAGACAAGGCCGAATGGCTCAAGGAGACAGCACTTTCAGTATTCAATTCTTACGATCTAAAGAAACCGAATGCTTTATACGAGAGATTCTGCAAGCAATTCAAGGTGGGCAACGACTCTCGCTCAGCTCCGACCCCGCAAGACCTTTACCGTTCCGACCTTGCACGCTCAATATTCCGTCATGTTGGTGCACTCGCAGACGCAAATACGACACGCCGTCTCACGGCATTCTTCCCCCGCGACATTCTTGACGCTCCAGCTTTGAGCTGCGACCCGCTGCCTCCGCATACCGCGGTTTCACATTACAACGATGAATTCTTCGCCGATTGCGAAGACGTATTTGCATTCCGGCCGAGGACGCGGCGTGAGCGTGAGATTGACGCGCGAAATTTAGCTCGGATGATCCCTGATGCGAACGTCCGCCACCAATTACAGGTGAAGCAAATTCGCTTTTCGTATCTCGATTGTATTATAAAATTAACTCGCTTATGTTCCTATTCGTACACGCACATTCCGGTGGCTGTACAGGCCTTATACGATGCCCGCCCCGACATTCAGCGGCAGTTTCCTGAAGGTGTAACGCAATTCGCGCAGGTTGCTGCGCAGCTGGGCGAAGATTTCTGGGACAACCTTCTTCCTCAGATTATTGGTGACGTCGGTGATGTCGAGGCGAGGGGCGGGATGCCGGGTCAGTTCGTTGATCTAGAGTTCCCCGATGAGAATGCCGAAGCGGAACATCGCGTCGGTTTAGATGCTGCTGCACAAGATGAGCAAGAGGTGGAAGGCGGTGACGGTGATGTCACTACAAATCTTGATGCCGAGGAAGAAAGTAGCGACGACGACGAAGAGCCTGTGCAGGTGCGTTTGTCTTGTAACCTCGGCGATTGCCCATGGCGTCGTAGCATCCTTGTGCCTCTCTTAATACCCTCGTTCATTCTACAGACGTTCCCAGCTCGCATATGGCAGAATTTGGTAAATCGCTTTTGGGGTGGTTCCGCACCAGCTCGTGGAGGAAATGATGGGAGCGAGACGGATGATGACGAGTCAAACTAGGATTGTCCCTTGTGGTAAGTCTGTTCATGTACATGTGATTATAAGTTCCGTTGCGATGAAGCACCAGCTCATCGTCGTCAAATTTCTAGAGGTCTGGATATTCAATCTGTTGTACGGCAAGTCCTAAATTTGAAACATTTCCCGCATCTGCTATGCTTCTGCAGGCACACAGGGACAGATTGACACACAACATAATAGTATGAGACTATTGATTGCGAAGAGTGGTTTGCATCTCATCTGTAACAGATCGACTGGTAGCAAATTCAAATCGGTATTTCAAGGCTTAGCTTGTAAAATACATGGGAGATTTCTTCGACATGGCAATCGCAACTAGGGAGGACGGGTCCGCCAGGCCTCTATCCACCTAGTCATTGAAATGCACTTACGTTCTCGCACAAAGGGAGCCAGTCTACTGTTCTAATCTCAGCGATGAGACACTTTGCATCTGCGTTGTCTTTTCGCGTTAGGCTCAATCGCAAGTCCTTTTGTAGAAATTGCCTCCGGCATGATACTTTGCTCTGCTGTCTTCTTCGACCCTTATTTTCCTCTGTGGGCCGCGGCCTATGGCGACGGCATCGATTCAATACAACACATGCAGGAAGAGAATTTCGAATGTTGGTCATTTTATGCCGTACAACGACTACCAAAAATGGTGAGAGAAGATGAGTAAGCCTCTCGGTTACACTGGCCACACAGGGAGTGAACCACTTGAACCATGAGGACCACCTAACGTGGTCTGGGTTCAAATAACGACTTTAGGCGAGCACTTGGGGAGATATGAGCCTTTGTATCTGGTGCGTTTAGACAATGTCAGATTTCGTGTCAATGAAGCCCACTTACACGAGTTGCCTTTTATGGGTGCTCGATTCACCCATTTCAGACCATTATACCCCTTGATAAAAGTACAAGCGATTTATGCCACTCGCAGGGATTATTTCAGCACGCCTCTGCACCTTGTTTTCAAATGGTTAGCAGCCGTTTCCCACCAGTTTTATAAAAATCGCCCAGTCATAAAGTTTGATCGTTCCCTACCTACCAGAACCATAATTTGCTTCGCCTAGGCACAGAGCTGGTCTCAGTGTCGACTGGGACACAAGTATAAATGCGCAGGACGCAATCCCCTTCTAACCCACCCATTTGTATTTCAAGCCAAGCTTTTCGTTCTAACCTGTCAACCCTTGCTTTTCGCTCACGAGCGATTTCTCCACCAAATTATAACTGATTTATCCGCGGTCTCAAACCCTGTACACTCCTTTCGGTCGTTCCTTGAAATTTATAAGTGCTACAATGATGCTCCTCTTCCGCTCGTCCTTCATCACTGTGGTTTCCGTTTGCGCGATCGCAATCGTCAGCCAATTGGCGACTGGCAAGCATCTTCATACACTCACGATTGAACTTGCTTGACTTATCTGATGTTCCCGTAGTCTATGCCGCACCTCAGATTGGGATGAGACCCTACCTGCACGTTTACGGTGTTGATGCGTCAGGCTCAGAGTTCGAATCAGTCTTATCGCCGACCGCATCAGCCGAGATCGGTTCGGTATCTCCAGCAATAGCTAGTGCAGTCGCGCCAGCAAACGAGGCGCAGGTGACAGTACCGCCAGCGGATTCATCGGGCAATGATAATTCAGTTAGTTTGCTGTTTCTGTATGTGAGGCTTAAACCGACATTGGTGCACAGGAACAGGGAGCAGAAAAAGCTGCACAGACAAACGCCGCTATTTCATGTACGACCGGTATCGGGTTATCTCTATTCGTCGGCTCGATCGCTGCAGTGATTCAGGTCCTTTGAAGTTGTGCCCTAGCGAGGTCTTCACGGAACGAATTGTCGTTTGCGATCATCACGTGACTTTAGAGTTATTCCCTGCCTGCCTAAAAGATAGTTGAAAGGGCCATCAGCTGCGACATCTCGTCCCTTCTTACATTCCGCCACCCGCTTACCCTTCTCCCCGTACCATATTCTCTTTTCCACCTTCCGACCGTGTCCCTTCCTATTCTCTAAGCTCGTTCTGGATCCTTGGATTTTCTTTTCTTTTCTTTTGTGCCAGTTGAGTTCGTGCCGTCCTTTTTTTATTCGTATCACGTATTGCGCGTCGGTTATTTATGTATGGTAAATCTTTTCAGACGTGTGTGGACGAGGTCAATTGGCGTGCTAGATTGTTGTATGCTATCTGTTGTCCTTTTAGCCTCTGGCAGGTAGGCGTACCTCGTCCACTTGTAGCGTAGTAATTCAGCCTTGTACCAGATGCTTGTCGTAATTTCCACCAATGTTATACCATTTTGGTTCGAAAAAAGGATAACTGAATTAACATTTGCAAGTTCTTTTGGATATTACTTGGACGAGACAGTAATGCAACATGACATACTGGTCAGGTTTAGACGGAGACTTGACATTACTAAAAGTAATGTGAAATGATAGTTTTGCACAAGGTGAGTCTGTACTACCAATTTTACAAGGGTCAGGCAAATTGTTCAGTGTTCTGGAACGTTGCATATTGCTCCTAGCAGGACAGGCCCTCAATTACCAATGCTATGGCCTCTGACATTGTCCCTTGTATTAAAGAACAGAAGTGGATGCACTATCTTGGACAGAAGAAGTGAGAGTGAATGAATATGCATAGTTGCATACAGTAATATACAGTATGTCTACAGTAGAATATGTCATAATGCATAATGCTGCCAGTGGGAAGGGTCATTTCTGTACTCATGAGATTTACACATTATGACATTGTATTTTGGCAGAGAATGACCATTTGGTTTTGAGAAAAAGTTATTCATTATGACAATTATACATTACCATATTATGCATTATGACATATTTGACTGTACTAGATGCATAGTGTCAAATGAAGACTAAATACAACACTGTCAATACATTGTATCTAATGCATTATGATATACAGTTTTAGCAGGAAATCCTAATTCTGTCATAGGAAGACTTGATGCATTATGCAAAATACTTATCTATTATAGCATGAATTACTGTCCCATAATGTGTGAATATAGCAAATGTAAGGAATGAGAAAGATTGTGCTTATTCTGTACATTAAATGAAGGAATACATCCCATAACATTGTGATTAGATAATATTTACCATTGGACTTTCTATAAAGTCGGACAGCAAGTATAGAGTACGAGTGGAAACTGGCCAGTTTGCCACACTGAGGTTATCCACGTGGGTTACTCACGAGGATAACCACGAGGGGAACTGAAACAGGGAAAAATACTATGTGGTGAACTGTATTAAGTAGCATATTAATCGTTCATAAAAACAGAAAAATGAGGGAATAAAGTACATAATTATGTTTGTACAAGTCCTCTCCCCTAGAGAGATTGAAATAAATCATCAACCGTTTGTTAGTCCTATCAAATTCTTGCATTTATTGAGGAAAATTACTATTTTGGGCATATTGCATAATATAGTTAGCTAATTCCCAATATGTTGACAACGTTGGAAACTACCCTGCTAGTTTTCCACATGTGGTTATCCACTTGTGGGAAACCCTCAAAACAGTTTCCACTCGTACACTAAGCAAGTAGCTATTCTCCAGTACGGCAACTAGTTTTTTAATTGAAAAACATCATCAGTAATGGTGATTCAGTGTAAACAGATCATACAATTCAATTGATATAGTCAAATAGAGTACATATACGTTGATCACACTACTCATTTTAATACATAATCTCTGCATTGTATGGGTAAAGAAAAGGCCTACGTGTTGGTACGATACAAGATCTTTCGAAATTAAGCACAGCACTTTGTGGAGGACCTGACTAGTATACGTACGTAATTATTATTTGACTGTCTGAAACATTAAATTCGGAAACTTCTTCGCGCCCGAGCAATCTGCTTATCCACTTCTCAGAACTTGGAAGCGTGCGCTTTGGGCCAGTCAACTTGTTCCAGTTACTTACTGGTATACTCCTCCCTGTATGCACGGTATATGGTATGTGGTTAGCATGCCCACACATCGGCATTTTGTGCGATACATTCACACGGTCTCACAACTGCGGAAAGTCAGCCCCACGATGATGTTTGCTCTATTTCATTCGATAAGTTACTGACTCGATTTCTTTGTCCGAGCGACACGTTAGCATCTACGGTCCGCTTACGATTCGTAATTACGAACGCAGGTTACGTTGTTAGTATAAAGTCCTTTACTAGCTGCGAAGCCCGTTGTATCCTACAGCCACCTTCCAATTACCATGGGACCATTCCTCAACTGGGGCTACCTCGACGCCTTTTTTCTCCTCCTCGCGCTATGGACACTATTGAAGCTCAGTCAGGCTGTGCGGAAGCGGGTCAAAACAACCAAATTGAATGGTCCTCCTTCCTCAAGTTTGCTCTTCGGTGTTACTAGAGATATTGTTAAAGGAGACCAAGGCGTGTTGTACGAGCAATGGGCGACGGAGTATGGGCCTGTATTCCAAATTCCTACGATGTTGGGCGGAAGACGAACGATTCTAGTCGATCCCAAAGCTGTTGCTCACTTTTATTCAAGGGAAACGTTCACCTATGTCAATAGCAAATTCTCAAAGATGGCCATTTCAAATCTTGTATGTCATGTCATCTTCTACTTCAAATGCTCATTGGATAGTTCTAATTCGCAATAATGATTAAGATTGGTAAAGGTCTTTTGTATGCGGAAGGCGAGAGCCATCGAAGGTGATTACTTGTCAACTGAGAAGCTGTTCCGTCATTTACGGTACAATACTTGCCTAGGCAACGCAAAACCCTCTCACCGGCCTTCAGCAATGCGGCTATTCGTAACTTGATTCACGTGTTCTTCGATTCTGCATACAAGGTACTGCCTACCGTTCGCAAGGTTTTGAAAGTTGATGTTTAACAAAATTGTGCAGGTAAAAACTGCATGGGACGCGGTTATTTCTGCTTCAGATTCCGATGAAGCAATCATTAACGTTCAAAAATGGTGCCTTTATCCGTGTTCATGTAGACGTATTTGACCTCATCTCGATTTAGGATGAACTGTGTTTCACTTGATAGTATCGGTATTGCTGGATTCGGCCACGACTTCGGCGCACTGCATGGAGAGCACTCAGCTATTGAAGAGCTATTCGACTCTTTCGGAAATATTCCACAAAATCCCTTTATAATATTACTTGGTTCTGTGTTTCCATTTCTTATTAGATTACCGACCAAGCGCAAGCGCCTGATTTCGAGGTTGCACAATACGATGGAAGACGTCTCAGAAAAGTTGCTTGCGCGGAGTCGGAAGGAAAAGGAAATAGGTGGCGTTGCTAGCGACACATCGCGCTCCATCATCGGGAGTCTGCGTCAGTCCTTCGTTTTACTCCTACCAGAATACCTCTAGAACTCACATTGCCGTAGTGAAAGCAGAGAATGCCGACTCTGAACTGAGACTTAGTGGAGAAGAGGTTCTTGCTCAGGCAAGCATTTTAATACCAAGGCTTCATCCATAACCAACCCACAATCTTCTTGCACATTAGATGAAGGTGTTAATCGTAGCCGGCTACGAGACAACGTCAAGTACGTAGTGGGACTACATGCATGATTCGATTCTTTTCATTACGTGTCCTTTTTATAGTCAGTCTTACTTGGGCTCTTGTCGAGTTGTCAAAACATCAAGAAATGCAGGACAAGCTTCGCGCAGAACTATCTGAGTTCACGAATAAAGACCCGACATATGATCAAATCTCGAACGGTCTTCCTTACCTTGACGCTGTAGCGCGTGAGACCATCCGTCTGCATCCGCCACTCGGAGTAACAGGGAGAATAGTAAGCCTGATGCAGTGCCGTATACAGGTACATAAGTGACTGACCCGCGCAGGCAGCGCAGGACGACGTCGTCCCGCTGAGCAAGCCGATTATAACGTCCTCTGGTGAAAAAGTCGATCATATCACCCTTGCAAAGGGCTCTCAAGTTCTAGTGCCCATTCGTAGCATTAATCATTCAGTTGATTTTTGGGGTCCGGACGCAAAGGAATTTAAGCCAGAGCGTTGGCTGGATAACGAAGCTGGGCTGCCATCTGCAGCTAAGGAAATACAAGGTTACCACCACATCCTGTCGTTTATCGACGGTCCAAGAACCTGCCTTGGTCGTGCATTTGCCATTGCAGAATTCAAGGTTAGATCTCCAGCCACGCTTTGCATGATTCTCTGTCTCACTTTACTTTGCACATTCGCAGTCCGTTTTGTCCGTACTGATTCGCAACTATGTGTTCAACCTACGAGACGGCCCAGAAACGAAAATCGATAAGATCAATGCGCTTCTTCCTCGCCCGAAGGTTGCCGGCGAAGACGGCTATACTCTACCAATGCGCGTACGCCGCTTTGAGTATTAGTTGTCGTGGCATTTCTTCACGAAACATTATTGACCACCTTGTACTGTATATTTCATAATGGCCATAAGATTCACTTGTGTTTCGAATTTGCCTTGCACATTTTCATCTAGTCGTGCTCGTTTTTTCGGCATCAACATCTAAATCGAGATCATATTACCTCTCACAACCAAAGAGTGAAAAGGAGAAACGATGGTATTTCGAGTTAAACGTAAGAATGATACAAACACAAATAATATTGATATCATAAACAACAGATACGGAAACGAATTGAAAATCCAAGGGAGAAAAAAAAACCGGATAAAAGAAAGAATGAACGAATGTGCGCGTTATCACGATAACTGAACTGAGAAAGGCAATGAAACAGCAAAGGAACAGAATAAGAGAAGGAAAGGTTTCGCGTTTGTAATACAAGTAGTTGGACTCTGCGAGATTTTGAGTCTCTTTTTATTCAGGAGCTAAACTTCGCGCTCGAAGAAGGCGCTCGGCTAGCTCTGCAATCCGTTTCTGTGTCTCAGAGAGCTCCAGGTACGTCAAAGAAGCCTTGATCGCATCGTCAACAGCAGTCCAATCGTCAAGGACAATGTCCTCGAGACCGACGGGATTGAACCTGAAATACGCTCCTGTTTGGGAAAACCGTTCTTCAAGACGGGCATGCACGGCCTCTGCATCTGTACTGATGTGTGCAAAAGCACGAAGCATATCGATCATTCCTGCAATACCAGAGCGAGTCCGTGGAGCCCCTGGACGATACGGGTTCTCGTTGCGCCTCCCGGTTCCGATAGAGATGAGAGTGTTCGCATATGCGGTCGGCCCATAGAGCGTTGTAAGCTGCTTTAGGGCGAGTTCTGCTGGATTATTAAATCCCACCCCACCGTCGATATAAGAGTGGCCGGCATGTACCGTGGGATGGAAGTACGTCGGTGCGGCGGAGGTCGCAAGCGCCGCGGTTACGATTGTAACGTCATCCAGGACTTCGGACGTTGGAAGAGAGTCTGCACTTTTCGAGCGGTCTTGAAAGGTAGGCGTGTAGGATGAGAACACGGTAGGCCGTGAAAGGTCAGCAGCGTCGACGGCCACCGTGAAGACAGGGACTTGCAAGGCACAATTGGACTCTTGAGCGGCGGGCTTGAGTGGTGCAGCCGCATCTCCGAGGACTTCCTTAACGGCGCGCGAATATACCTTTCTTTGCTTCTTTGTCGAGTGCTGGGAACTGGTAAACAACCACCACAGGCTCTTCAGCCGCCTACCTCCAAACAGCTTCTTCGGCATGGCACGGTATGTATCAATCACTTTCTCGAGTGGAAGACCCATCCGCGCAAACATCATGGCAGCAATACCCCCCGTGCTGGTGCCGCCAACTAGGTCGAGAAGCTCGCGAACATCGACTCCAGGCGGAAGGTGTTTTTGCAGCTCACGTAGAAATAGAGGAGCAAAAATACCCCGTACGCCTCCGCCATCGAGCGTTAGAATAGCTTTTGCGTCATCTGGTGAAGGGATGGAAAGGGGGGACGGGGCATAAGGAGGAAGCAAAGGTACCGCGCAGGAGCTTGCTGAAGAAATAGATGCAAAAGACAACGAAGGAGAGGTAGATGCCGAAGAACATGTCGTAGTCCGTGTTGAGCTAGAGCTTGAAGAGATGCGTGAAAATATAGATGTTGAAGACGAAGCTTGAGAAAACGAGGAGTGCGCGGAGGAAGAGGTTGAGACTCGGGTAGGCCTGCTCCGAGACCATGGGCAGCCACATCCATCGGAGGGCGAACCTGGGAAAGAAATTTTCGTTGGTGACGGCGTTTGCAATGGTTCGAGGTCATCGACCGTCTGAAGCCTCGGCGATTCAAATACTTGAGACCTCACGTCTGTGTCTGGGCACTGGGAATTCTGGAATAAATGTTTTACTGTCAGCGGATTTTGTCTATTGCACAATCCGCATGCTGTTGACGCACCTCAGGATCGTCGTGTGCTATCGAGAACATGTTGATCGCATAACCTTGAAGTGGCTTGACAGTGGAGGGCGGGAGGGGAACAGAAGCAAAGTCGAGGGGGATTAGAATTTATAGTTCCAAAGTCACACGAAATGCGAAATAGGATATGTCGTGGCCACAGAAAAAGGGCAGAAAAGGGTACAACAACCAAATTGCGTCGTGGCAGATTCGCCGATAAAATCGATTGACCAGAGCGATGAATGCGATTACGGATGGGCGGTAAATTTTGTCCAAGGTCTGGTACGATTACTGCAGAGGCCAGGGTGTCGGAGCCCCTGGAAGACTGAACCACCATCTGAATTTATGCCCGAGCAGAAGCCAAAGCGCATCGCTTCGAGAAAGGACATCCACTACTAAGGACGGCTCGACAGGGGAAAGCGTTTTTGTGCAAATATCAAGCCCTCCGAAAGCATGTCAGGCCTATGCATTGCCATGAGGCTCCTGCGGCCACAAACCGTGGTCGCGTGGACTCTATCCAGCCGTTCCAAATCAAGATACCCGTACAAGTTGAACGTAAGATTCTAAGAGTAGAGCTCTGAAACAAGGTTAGATGATTTTCGCAATTGATATTTGTTGCATCGAGTTAGCAGAAACGGGTTTTCTTGAGGGTTGAGGCTGATTGCCAGAGGCTAACACGAACTTCTAATCGTTATTGGCTCGATTTCCAAATTTAGCAATAATGTTCCGAAGAAAATATGGGGGACGAACAAAAGAACAATAAACAGGGTAAGGTAGAACACGTGAATTAAATAGGCAAATATGATAGCAAAGAGACAGTGGTAAAGCAATGATATTCCAAGCAAGAGATCCATCCAAGAGAGTGCGTAAAAGCAGAAAGATGATACGTGATAGCTTCACAAAAATCCAGATTGGCGAATTTTCGCCAGGTTTGTTGACGAACACTCGCTTGCTGAGTGACGGTTTTGGGCAAAGTCATTGGTACGCGTCGACAACGGGAAGCGCTGAGTGGGGTGCTGTGCACCGACACTACTGGTACATACCGGCGAAAGTGCGGAGTCAAAGCGGACAGGATTAACGTTCTGAAGCAGTACTTGGCCTTGAGCGATCTTAATAGCGTCGATCGGAGTGGCAGGCAGATCGCGCCTGACGAACGGCGAGCACAGCGGACGTGCGCGATAAAATATTTGAGTCGGCTGCTGTTCATTCCGGGGACCCGAGTTTGCAGGACGTTCCACTGGGTTACGGCTTGTCTTATATTTTTGACGCTGCTTACGGGCATCGAAGCAATAGACAGCTTCCTTCTGTCCGGCAAGGCGCACCTTCGGGATGCGTTCCAGCCGACGGCCCCACATACACACAGCCTTTGATGTTGCAGGCTGAACTCGGGAACCATTCAGCAACTGACTTGTGTGGTTAATATTAATTCGCTTACCTGTTCTGGGTCTATGTCTTCATAATCAATAGACCCTGACATCAGGACCGATTGTGGATCTGCTAAGATCGGCCTTCTGGGTCCAATTTGACCGCAAGTTTTAAGTTTGACGACGGGAATCGCAAAGGAAGACAAGGATTCCGAGATGGTTTCCTTTGAAGTCGGTTGACAATCAACCAATTCATCCTCACAGGCACCACAAGAGTCACAGCCGTCAAAATGACTTGGCCATGGTAGATCATGACTACCTGGTCGGATTGAATAGTCTAGTACGGAGTTCGCTACGTCTGCGAAGAGGGATGATATCCAGTCCAAGATCTTGGAAACAGCTGCAGCATCTGGATCGTAACGCGCATACGGTATGCCTGCATTATATCCTGAAGCAAGAGACGGGGAAGACAGTAGGTCATCTTGTAGCAGCGGTCTGCGTAACGTTTGACTAGGCATGTTCGCAGCGAATTTCTCGAAGTCCTCCAAAGTAAGTGATGACGAGCTGGCTGTGGAAAATGAAATCGACATGTCAGATAGAGAACTGGAATCGGATCCAGTGATCGCAGGTAGAGCTGTAACGTTCGGCGCCGCCCGCAAACGGATCATAGGTGGTAAGACCGCAAAATAGTTTGCGTGCGAGTATCCAATGTCGGGGAAGGATATCGACATGTCCGACAAGGATTCAAAACCAGGGGATAATGGTCCATCACATTGTACAGTTTCGTGCCTTGTTGAAGATTTTGAGGGACTTCCGTGCGGGGCTATAGAAAGCGGTTTCGACCAAAGGAACCTCGTCCGTGGGCAGTAGCCAGGGCTTTCCCATTCAAAACTGTCAGGAGAGTAGGCATCGAGAAAACTAGACAGTGACTCCGGCTTCGTGGAGTCGATGTTCATGGTGGTAAGTTATAGAGCACAGGAGACAGAGCTCCCTGCGTTCTGAGGCCTTGAAACCAGAGTTCGTCGCCACAAGAAAGCAAGAAGCAATCACTTGCAGAATCTCAGTAGATTCGACGAGGCTAGCAGATTGCCTATGTCTGAGACCCAATGAACTGAATGGCTTGTAATTGCAATAAGCAGTCCAGTCCAGGTGGTCGCGAATGCGGGGCTGACAGTCTTGTACGTACTGTGGCCTGCTTCCCGCGCCTAAAGCGCGTTCAGCATAGAGGTGCAACGGCAAGCCTGCGGTTAGCGAAGGCATATTAAACGCCATTCCCGATGGACTGGGGGTGTGGTGAGCAAAGTAGTGGCGACGTGCAGACGATTCATAGGACAGAAATAGCTGTGGCGATACTTACATAAGGTATGAACATATGTGGAATCGTAAGTTCGAACCTTATAAGTTACTCACTTCTCACTTGTAACAAGCTACGTTCCCATCGAACACAGTGACTGTAGTGCTGTAGCCATATTGCTCTGGAAACAGCTGGTAACACGTACCATTGGTTTAGATAAATCTGCATGTTGTTTATAACCTATAACTAGTATAAGTCAATGTAAAGACAATCTTTACTAAGTACAATGCCGATAAAAGCACTTATTAATTTATCTCGTGCGAATAGCTGCTTTCTAGACTAGAGGCCTTGTCCAGTCCATTTCAGATACTTCTGAACGTTACACATTCACTTGAATGGGATCCATATTTATTACTGGTCAGAGCAAGTTGAGCAACTTTGGAGCTTTAGTTAGACAACAATATTACTGGTCAGGATCTAATAAGAAACTGAAATGTCAAAATGGATTGGTTTGTGGTTTGAAAATCATGTATGTATCTACTATCTATTCGTTAGTAATTACGAGCGTAAAATATGTAAAAGAATTGGTATTACTTTTCTGCTCCTAGAATTACCACCATCTTGTGATTGACACGTGCTGCGCTCATCCTGACAAGCTCGACTCTTTTGAGTAAATTTACATCTTGGAATGCAACACCAGGTATTACCGACGGGTTCGTCTGTTTGTGACCACCACAGGTATGGCGCATCGAAACACAAGATCGGAACCAGAAAGATACAGTGTATTCCCGTTTCCGAATCGAGCTCGATTATCGGCTTCTTGAAGTTCTTCCTGGTGTACACCAATGTATTTCTCAGATGTTATCAGCCGAACCCTGCACAGGTCTATGGAATAACATCCGACGGGTTCGGTGGATCGTCTTCCGTTTGTTCCGCAGTTCTATGTAGAACGATTATTGGTTGATATTTGTGCAGGGAGATAAGGGGATTGCAGCCATGTGGAACGACCCATACGCGTCGACTTGTGATACAATGATAGCCGCTTACCGCTATTTTCGGCTTTGCATTACATTATGTAGATGCATAAACAATCGAACGACAGCGCCGCAAACACCCCGGAGGGCAGGGTCTGCGGGCGACCCGTGCGATCAAAGCAGAACGCTATATAATCGCCTTTTCTCCACCAACGAGTTCCCTCTGAGCTGCTCTCAGACTGCTCCTCCCCGTCATGTATCGTCCCACTCTCTTCCCGCTCTTCTTTCATATAATCCTCCTTCTTGGCGTGACTCATGCTCGCCAAATGACAAAGCACACCTTGCGCGAGAAACAGCGCGAGGCAGCGAAACGCTGGGCTTCGTCTGCTGTGTTCCCGAACTTGGAGGAGAGGGGCGGGACAGGTGTAAAAAACATTACTTTCAGTAATCCAAAAGCCTCAGGTGAACATAGGTCTGCTTGGCATGAGATCGGGGAGATTAACATTAGATTGTTGAATTGTGTGTACATTTGTGGTTGTGGATAGAGTTCTTTGTCGATGGCGCGTCGATCCCTGAGGTTGACTTTGATGTCGGGCCAAGCTGGGCGGGTTTACTTCCGATTAGTGCGGATCCAAATGAGACGAGAAAGGTTGGACTCTCAATTCGCCAAGGCGATTTGGGTTGCTATCATTGATTCTCTATCCCTGTTTAGCTGTTCTTTTGGTTCTTCCCTCCTGGTCCACAAGGGAGTCTTGACGATCTTATTTTCTGGTGAATAAGATATTTCATTGTCGGCCCCGGTCGTTTGTTTTCTCACTTTGTCCCAAGGACCAACGGCGGACCGGGTTGTTCCTCTCTCGAAGGTCTTCTCCAAGAAAATGGGGTAAGCGGAATGGTTTCTATTTCGTGGATATTTTTTGAACACTTGACTAACGACGAGACCGAAGCCGCTTACCTGGTCTTGGGGCCAAGCGAAACCTACCGTGAACGAATTTAGCTGGACGAACCTCTCTAGCATACTCTTCGTTGAGCAGCCTGTTGGAACGGGATTTTCGCAGGGCGTGCCGAATGCCCAAGTAAGACTCGCTATGTTATCATGGAACATTGAAGTAATGATGCTGACGTATGATATTTTGACTATTTAATGTAGAACGAGGACGACGTTGCGGAACAACTCGTTGGCTTTTTCCAGCAGTTCTTGGAGGTGTTTTCCGAGCTTAAAGGAAAGAAATTCTACTTGACGGGCGAGAGCGTACGTATCCCTGCTCCATTGGCGATGTCTAAGTCCGATGATGTTCAATTTTCCTTTTTCGATAGTATGCTGGCACTTACGTCCCATGTAAGTAGCATTTCACATATAATAACGGTTTTGCTGACATCGAGCCAGACATTGCGAACTTCATCTTCGACCATTCGGATATGCTTGACCTTGACTTGCAGGGTTTCTGGATTAGTGATCGTAAGCCCAGTGCTCACGTTACTTCGAGGTTTGGTAGCTGAAGTGCAGAAACGAAGCCTCCATCTCATGGGATGTTGTACAGGAACAGATCCCCGCTGTAAGCTTTGTGCATAAATACGAGAACGTCTTCTCTTTCAAGTGTGTATTCTTTCTGTTTGGAGCGTAAATCAGTTTATTCGAACCCTCCTCTTTCAGCCAAACGTTCATGGCGCACCTCGATGCTCAAGCTGCGTCTTGCGGCTACTCTGATTACTTTGATAAGTTCGTGCACTATCCTCCGAAGAACGGGTTGTTGCCTCTTCCCGGTAACTCGATCGAAGGTCCGCGCGGGTGTGACTTATGGGACGAGATCTTCAACGCCGCTCTCATCATCAACCCGGCATTCGATATCTACCGCGTCTTCGATACCTTCCCAATACTCTGGGACGTTCTCGGTTTCCCAGGTTCGTTCCCGCAGACTCAGCTCTCGCCTCTTTACTTTGACCGGGAGGACGTGAAACGCGCGATCCATGCTCCGGTGAATGTTACCTGGACGGAATGTTCGAACGTGAATGTCTTCCCGAATGGAGATGCGAGTTTACCACCCGCTGTGAGTGGGGTGCTGCCGAACGTAATCGAGAAGAGCAAGAGGGCGGTAATTGTTCATGGGTTGGCCGATTTTATTTTAATCGCAGAGGGGACAAGGGTTGCTATTCAAAAGTAATGTGGTTTCTTCTCTCCGAGTATTCCGAACACTGACTTGGAATTGGTACGATAGCATGACCTGTAAGTTCCTCTTTCGTATTCGAGAAACCTGTCCTTGTATGGACGCATGACCTTACGAACGTATTCTAGGGAACGGAAAGCAGGGCTTCCAAACTCCGATAGCGAATGACAGTTTCATTGTCGACGGTATCGGTGCATTAGGGAATATGCATTCTGAACGCGGACTAACATATTACGAGGTCGACCTGAGCGGACACATGTACGTGGTCGCCTTGTAGTATCTCTCTCGTAGCTGACGGATTGGATGATTGTTGATACCGTGATGGTCTTTTGTTATACTGTCGTCGGGGACCTGACTTGCGCTTCTCCCGTACGCTTCGCAATTCAACGAACCCGGATTGACTCGCTGCATCCTCGATCGATGGATCGATGCGGGACTCTGGGTGTCCGCGTACGGTATACGGTATGCAGGGTACCGCAATTCTCACCAGTTGTACGTTCTTCGTCTTCCCGGATTTGTTCTTCCTGTCTTCTTGCATTGCTGTCTACTAACTAAACTTGCGACTTTGCTGCACGCGAATGTACGTCTAGGCGGCATTCCAGATAATGCAGTTCCTCATGGGCTTCAGGAATTCACCGTGAGTGAGTTTCCGGTCGGTGAATCCGGGCGGTTGTTTGTTGGACCGCAAGGGCGCGTGGAAAGACGCTGAGGAGTAGGGAAAAATTCGTCAGGGCTGTGGTCTCGACGGTCGGAAATGAAGGGAAAAAGCGCCGAAGAGGCAATTGTGTTCAGAGTAGCATGGTGCTCGTGTGTGAGCCGCGTGGTGTACCACATAGGATTAGTATGTATGAAGTATGCAGTATGTGTGTGTGCACTTCTGTGTGTGTGTGTCACTGAGTGTATGCGGGTATATGCTATGAAGAGATGATGAAACGTACGCGTCGCGACGCGTTCAGTTCAAAGTGCACTGAAACCCTGCAAGCACATTCCGTTCTTGACTTTTAACCGCCACCAGGACCGTCGCCAAACTTGCAACTGTGTGATGATCTGCACGAAATCCACCCAAACTGCGGGCAGGAGTCATAGGTGGGGAAGGAAGCAAAGGGATGAGCTCACTGCCTCCCGCTGAACACGTTGTTATGCTGCTAGTGTCTGCTGCCTCGAGGCGAGTTGCCAAGTAGGGCGAGAAAGGACGAACAAACACGCCCTTTTGTCGTGTGCCGCCCGGCCTATCCGTCTCTTTGGCCGCCCTTTCCAGATCCTTTTTTATTCCGTCTTTTCGCTCTGACGTCGCGATTGCTGTCCTCTCCCTCCCCTTCGCTTGCTGCTTGCACAAATCTGTACTCTACTCCTCATCGATCCCGAACAACGACAGACAATGGCCAGTCAGTCGCCGCAGCGTACCAGGAAAGCACTTTCTCAGCAACAACAAGCGCAACAGCAACAGCAACAGAATACTGGTAAGTTGTACTTTTGTACGTTATTACAACAGAGTTTGGTTCCGGTTCTCAGGCTCAACGTCCTCTTTTCTTTCCCTCTCTGCCTCACTTGACTTGTTGGCCGCTCACCGTGGTCCTTTCCTTTGCTTACTCACTCCACCCGCAATTCCCTCTGATTCTACTCTATTGCATTCCGTCCCGGCTTCATTTCTATTCAATTCAACGTGAACTCTAACGCCCCCCCAATTTTCGTATTTACGCTATCCTGTTGCGCATTCCCCTCTTCCTCTGCCTTCTGTCTTTTGATTGTTGGAACGTGGTTACGATATGAGCTCTACAGGTCCTGCTGCCCCTCAAAGCGTACGTCGAGAGACTTCGCCCTCCCCATCATTAAGAGAACGCCAGCGATACGTACGCACGCAATCAATGCCTGTTGTCTCTACCGTCCCCACTCATGCTCACGATCTCGCGGCTGGCGCATCCGATGGACAGCCCTCCGTCCAAGCTCAGTCTCAAGCATGCGCTCCGCAGCAACAGCAACAACAGCCAGCAATGGGTTATCCGCGTCCGATAGCTATCGCGCGCGTCGCTCCGCCGCAATTCCTCTCGCATGTATCCGCCGGGCATGGACACGGGGGACAGGCGGAGAAATGGCAAATGACGGATGACCTGCAGGCGGATATCGATCGTGCAGATCTCCTTCATCAACAACAGCGTCAGCATTCGCGGTCGCCCGCTCCTCCGACGATGCCGGCCCAACCTGCGCCTGGTACGGCCGGCGTTGCGTACGCGGGTGGCGCGGCGAGTGCGGGTGCAGCTTTCGTGAGTGGACATGTAAAGACGCATTCTGCCGGGAGTGTTAGTGTGAATGTAGGGGTAAGTGTGGGGACCGATGTTGTTGATGGTCCAAGTGCAGCAAGAAGAAGGACGTCGGCGACAGAACAGGCGCAACATCGTGCGTCGCCACTATCATATGCGCTGCGTAAGACGGCAAACACGTCACCTGGATATCCGAGTATGCCGTCTCCGCGATCGATAAAGAACAAGACGCCCGATCGGTCTTTGCCTGTACAGGAAGAACCTGACGAGCATGAGCAAGGTGCTGGTGACCGAGTCTCGCCCGCACCATCTTCAGACCTTAACCCCACGAATGATCTTGATCATGATGCGGAAGGTACTCTAGTCGATCTCGGCGATGATGATGACGATAGTGCACAGCAGCAACGACCGAGCGGAGAGTCGACGGAGGGTGAGGGTTCGCATACACCTCGCTCACCGACGAACCCACTCTTCCAGCAGGGTCAGTCTCAAAGGAGTATTCACGAAGTCCTCCAGCCCGATAAGCAGCAAAACGGTCACCACAAAGGGTTCAGCCCTGCTGACTTCCAACACACGCTCAAGAAACTCCAATCTGACGTTCCAGGAATCTCTCAGAGTAATCCACCTGCTCCAATGCCTCCACTTCCACCATTCTCCCGGAATGACTATTCTCGCAACGAATCGCGAGGATCTTACCCAAACTGGATGTTTGATTTTTACCACAATTATCCAGAGGAGATGGAATATTATGACGAGGCTGCATATATGCAACAATTTATGCCACCAGGGTCAATGTCTAACCAAGGTGGAAGTTTGCACTCGAGGCCCGATGCGCCAATTCCACCGACCCCGCATAGTCAGACGTCTGCTCCGACACCGTTCCAGCACCAAAACCAGCAGAATAATGGACATGGTGATGGTAATGGTCATGGGCAGGGCAACGAGCAGTCTCAGCGGCCGCTCATCCCGCCATTCAGCCCCGCACCACCGAGCGGGACGCCGTATCCCTACCCCTTCTCACATGTTCGCCGGGGATTCGCCTACCCACCTCCTCCGGTACCACGTGTCCCTTCGTCAGTCTATGACCCAAGCGTTGTCCAAGAACAACTACGTCTACAAATGCAGATGTACGCGTATAATAACGGTGCATTGAGCGATAGTACGCTGTCCCAGGCGTCCACTCCCTATCCTGGTATGGGCCCTGCATATACACCCTTCGGTGCATTCCTCAACCAGAGCAGGGCGTTTGCGGCTGCACAACGCGCAAGGGTTGAAGGGGGCGGTGTTGGTATTGGAGAGGATGGGCGAGTGACAAGCGCGAGTATGCGTTCGAGCCCTAGTCACTTGCCTGTTCCTCTTCCACCGATGTACACATCCGGTCGCGGAAGAGGATTGAAGAAGAGAGACGGATTTGTGAGTTCGAGAGGGAAGATAAACGGTACTGTCCGTCCACGTGTTAAACCGCCTCCGCGTGTGGATAGTACTCAGCCGCGCGAGACGAGTCCTGAACCATCGTCAGGTGAAGAAACAGCTGGTGAGAAGTACGATCACGAGCATCGTGAACATGCTGGTGGTGGTGGACGGGGAAGCACGGAGCCTAGAAATGAATGGACGAATGGTGTAGGGCATGATGACGAGGACAACGGGGAGTGGGTCGATGAAGAGGAAGAGGACGAAGAGGACTTATTGGAATTGGAATTCCATCCGACATATGTTGTCAATCTTGAGAGGAGACGAAAGAGATGGGAGCAGAAATGGGATGATCTAGTCCGAGCTGTTAGTCGTTGTCTTATTTCGTCTACTAATTTCTCCATCTTATTGATCTTTTATTTATTATGATTTATTCACAGTTCCAAGCCCTCGATAGAGAAACAGACACGACCCTCCTCCTTTTTGCTTCAGGCTCGCATACGAATAAATTGCACTCACTCTCTTCACGCTCAATCCGACGTGACGCATCACTGTTCGACGGACACGCGATGCACGCAGCGAAATCCGCTTTTGAACAAATTGCCTCTGCTCGTCGAAGTGCACGAAGTCAACATTGGTCATCTCTATCCCTTCTTGAACGTCTCTACTCTTCTTCGACGAGTGCCTCTGGATCAAATTCATCTTCGTCGCAAAATGGTGAGGGTGGAGGAGACGAGCAAGTTAATGAACGAGAAGAGGATTTACGAAGGCTTCTCCGAACTGCATTACATAGCCTTGGTGCGTTGCATCAGGTGTACGAGGAGCGGGAGATGCGTTGGCGTTTAGAAGAGCGGAGGATGAGAGAGGAGAGGGACGGTGTTGATTTGCTTGTTAGACAAGCGTTTGGTGGAGGTGGAGACCTTAATTTTGGATTGGGTGAGATGCCCAATCTTTCTTGATTCTTTGTACTTTGGAATTTGGAATGCTGGGATGTGAATGGATGGATGGATGGTTAGATGGGTTGTATCTTTACTTTCTTCTATGATTCTGTCTTCTGTTGTTGTTTTACTTTCCTGTCTGCATGTATCCTGCGCTATTGCTATCGTCGTTATCATTGTATCTCTTCTCTATCTGTCTACCTGTCTCTTTGACTGTCAACCAAGTTGGGAATCGGGTTGCATTCCCTTTTCTCGCTCAAAAAGTATAGTAATAATATCGATGTGGAAAATGATTGTACACGAAATCAAATGGAATACTACTAGACCTTGCAGTGTACGAGTAGAATTCGTTGCATCAATCATAGCAGTTTTGGGTTGCGTTCGCCATCGCATATGTAGCACTATCTGCCTTCACTTTGTTGTAACGGTTGTACTGCATAAAGGTATTGTGCAGGCACCCACCCTTTTCTCGCCTACTTAAAAAAAAGTAAATGGAATTTATCACTGCAAAGCTCATCCCCAAACTACTATGTGTACCCCATTTTTAGTACAGTATTCGATTATCAGGCCAGATACTATACATATGCGTTCTATCACTATGTACTGTCGTGACTGTAGTAATAAATTGCATGGAATCATAACTTCCATACACTGTTGCTTCTTGTTCCTGTGCGTAGACTATGCTCCCTCATATTGGACCAACAATCAAGCATCTGTGTTAGAGGTCTTCTAGATAATGTAAAGGAGCTCCAGCAAAGTGAGGTGAAAATCAATGCATTTATTGTTAGCACATCTGTACGGTAAAATGCGGTTTAGGTAATGCGGATCAGGAGGGAGTATAATATATCGTGACTCGACGTGATTTATTTTCTCTTGTCATGTCAAGACTGAAAGAGTAGTATGAACGTAAAACGGAAGAAAGCCAACTCGTCCACTCTATCATCCAAAAGAAGGCGAATGTGCCAAGAAGACAGTCACAGCAAAGGATCAAGAATTCCTACTGGTCATGATGTCTCACCTCAACAGGTTAAGCCGTCAGGATCAAACATAGCAAGAGATATAGAAAAATGGAGTGTTAAGGAAATCCTGGGCGGAGAAGTGTACTACATTCCGAATGTAAGCTTTGTCTTCTGTTTACTTGTATAAAAAGGTGAAACAACCGCTTTTATTTGGTTATTCATAGTTTATTGACAGTGGACTTGCGAATGAGTGGCTTGAAGAGCTTTCAAGGCTCGATACTTGTAAATGTTTCATATTTCGCTGGCGTGATTCCTTCAGGCAGGGTCTTACACATGTAAACAGGGTATCATCCAACTCTCAAGGTCTATGGCAAAGACGTTACCCAAAGTCGGTCTATCGCAGGTGTGTCATCCGTTCATTCGTGACCCCCTACATTCATATCATTTCCTTTCCGTAAATTAAAATGTATAGCTGATATTTGTACATTGACTGTGCCTCAGCCTATTCAACAAACGAATCCCTAGTTGTCAAATACTCAAATCACGTTGTCACGATGCACCATACCTATCCTCCCCTTCTTACGAAAATCCAAGCATTAGTTGAAGACTTGGTAGGAGAGACATTCAACCATGTGATGCTCAATCGGTATAAGAATGGTGAAGAGTATATAGGTAAACATAGGGATACGAAGGAGAATAAGGTGAGGCGAAGAAGACCGCACGATCGATCCGACATCACTCCTTTATAAGCAGGCCATTGACATAATCGCTGTGCAGATGATCGTGAGCTTGAGTTTAGGTGCAGAACGAACGTTCATCATGACACCAGTCAAATCCACGCTCGCTGTTCAAGCTGGTGTCAAACCACAAAAATGGAAACTTGCGAATGGGAGTTTAGTGATCATGGCAGGGCGAACACAAGATGCGTGGAAGGTAAGCATTACCAATAAGTTATGACGACGGCAAATGCTTGTGCGTTATACTCTACTAATTCCGCACCTAAGCACGAGATACCGAAAGAACCAAAAATCAAGGGCGAGAGGATTTCGCTTACGTTCAGACAGCTCATTGGGTCAGGCTGAAGTTGGTAGAAGTACGGTGCTAGCTAATTAAGCACTGTGATTGTTATACTTCTAGTCTTCTACACAAGAAAAACTATCTGTTTTGCAAGAAAACGAACACAGATTCCCCCAAAATAAAATCTTATCCGGATCCCACCCATCTTATCCAGCCCTTGCTCCACAAAAAAGAAAATTCGCAGTCATAATTCCATAGATATTCAGACATTCACTTCGCAACATTAAATCAAAGCTCGTCACTGAGGTGCTTCCCCTCTCCCCTCCACTTCTTCTCGCGAGGGGGACGGGGAGGCAGCGTAGAAAGCCACTTTCGTAAAATCGCATTAAACTCGACGGGTTTCTCAAGTTGTACCCAATGTGCTGCGGGTAACGTCTAACCGTACCGTTAGCATACCTTCTATTATGCCAGACACCATACCAGTTACTACGTACCTCTACTGCTAACTTTGGAATGAACTGATCAGAATGTAAGAGTTTCTCGACAGTTTTCCAGTCTGCTACGGGGTCAAGAGTGGGATAGATGGCAAGAGCTGGTTGAGGTAAGGTATAGTTCCTTTGGAAGTGTGCGAATTTCCATGCAGCGTAGCGATTCTAAAGTGCAGAGATATGTCAGGAACCTTTTCGTGTCTCATATGAAAGGAATGACATACACCATATGTGTAAAATTGCAGAGCTGTTTAGGTGCATTAGACAAAACAAAAGTACTGAGAAGACAGAGGAGCATACTGTTCTTGAATCCTTGAATCGAATACTGTTGAACGAGGTAGTCCTCTTCTTCATCCGTCATGAACGGTATTGGCTCAATCTATCGGGTACCAAATCGAATGAAAAGGAAAAATTCAATCTGATGCGTCTAACAGAAAACACAAAAAGATGTAGAACGAACCTCATCACCATAATCTTCCAAGAAATAATCGGTAGATGTCAAGAACTTCTCAGGGGGAGGGCTGTCGACGCTTCGATATACAGCTCTGAGTGTCCTCCGAACATCCTTGTCCAGCTCTTTTACAGCTGCATCTGTTTTATCTTGGAAGTAAAGTTGATATGCTAGACGAGGGAGTTGTTCGACGAGTGCAGAGGTTGGTGTAAATGGGCCAGCAGCATGGATATACTTCAAATTGGGGAAGTATTAAGAATGCAGCGTGTGCATTTTGAAGAGGAAGGAACATACGGGAACGACTGCCGCTGCGACGGCTTCGATGACCTCTGGACGCATTCTCGCAGCTTCCCAGCATACTTGTGCACCCCAGTCATGTCTTTAAATGAAACGGAGTGACATGAATGATATGAGCTCAATATCATTGCCACACAAACGGTGAAAGCACCCTAGACAGATCGCACTATCCACATTCGCGTCCTCGAGTACACATACAAGGTCACCGACAAGATCGGCCATCGTTCCAGACGACTCAACGTCTCCTGGGTGCGAAGATGTGCCGAATCCACGATGATCTGGTGCGATTATATGATAGTCATTCTTTTCGCGTACATGCAATCTCAGTATATAAATACATCAGAGGCGGATTAACTGGTTGGTACCTGGAGTTCACGAATTTGATGTGCCCAATTCGTCCAGAGTCCTGGCCAGCCGTGGACCATAATGATAGTCCTCTCAGTATGTGGGTTTATTTCTACATATCCTAAAGGCGAATTCAAAAAGAATGCATATGTAAGGATACCTTGGTTGAACAAATGTTGCGTACTTATTTCAATGTCTTTAGTTGTATTTTCCTTCCTATTTGTGGCCTTGCATCTTGCGGTATTTTTAGGGAAAGAGGCCGGGTGGAAGGCGATGACACCGGGAGTACTAGCTTGTGAAGAGCCGGATGAGGCACGAGCAAAAGTGACGAGCGTGAACAACTGAAGCAACCAAGAAAGCCGGACTAGCATTGCAAAGATTGGTCCACGGGCGGAAAAGCCGAAACTTATAAACTAGCGGTACTATTGCGAGTTATCGCCGTTAGAAAGTTTCTTCCTCAGTAACAGACCCAAGGAGTATACAGAAACGGGTAACACAGAGAGAGAGAGAGTTGACCCGAGAACACGCCAGCATGGTGGCGCGGTCTATGAGACCCCGACGAGCACGTGAGGGCCAGGTATCGCCTGCCAGATAGGGATGGGGGATTGATCTGACATGTGTCGGACCCAGCGACCATTGGACGGACCAGCAAGTCTGAGAGTACGTCCATCGCCTCGTGAGTGTCTCCTGATCGTCCGTAACGCTGGCTCACAACAGACCACCATGGACAGTTATCATGGATCCTGCCCTTGCTGCCTTGCCACCGACCGCATCGGCGGCGGCACAGAGCTCTAATTCATCGGACTCCCCCGCTGGCATTCACTGTGCCAATCCAGAATGTCGCACGCGCGCTGGCGAGCGATCCCGTGGCCATCAGAGCTGCCGCTCCTTGTTATGCGGGCATTGCTGTCAGAATGCTGCACGAGCGGCCGCAGAGGCGGGCGAGCAGCGCCCCGTCTGCAAGGTCCATGCAAGAAGAGTACATACGGGGCTCAAGCCGGTACCGAAAGAGCAACATGCTGAAGTCAGCGATCCCCCGGCTCCAGTTACGAATGCGAATGCGAATGCGCATGCGAGTACAAGCAATGCTGTGAATGCCGTGGCATGGTCGGCCCCACGATCCGGAGATTCAGAAGAGCTCAGCTCTCTGCTTGAGAAACGTGCAAGACTTGAGCAGTCTCTGAAGCGATCGCTGACTATGGTCGTCTGGTATCGCGTGTGTTATACCCGGTATTTTTTTTTCTGTCATTCAACGATAGTAACGAGTTTACTGCACATTAGAACGGCTGTGAACCGCTTCGGATCGCACATGAAGTCTCGACATTTCCACTCTTCCAACTTCAAGACTTTCCAGAGCTAGTCAACGAATTAGGTCTTCAATCGTCGTCTTACATAGATTCATATAACTCCGAGACAGGCCAATGGGAGCAGCATAAGATCTCGACGGTGCGCACTGTTGAGCAAGAACAGCGCTTGCTGTATCGACTACGTCCGAGTTTACTGGACAGCTTGACGGATTGCCCTTCCCTTGATCAGGAGCTAGGCCTGCAACCACCACCAATGGCACTTCTGACTAAAAGACAAGGCGAGCCATTCACGCCGCCTCCATCATCGGGAAAACAGGCACGTGTTCTTTCGAACCCTAACCCAGTCGTATGTTCAAACTGCGTTCATGTATCGCTGGTGTTTAGGACTTATCAATGCATTATTATAGCGCGCTCCAGCCGTGCCAACACCTGCTCAGAACACGGTAGTACAAAACTGGGATGCTCCTGTAAGAGATGCTTCTCCTAACCTAGGGACTCCAACGTGGACAGTGACAGCATCCGCTGGAACGGCGTTACCGAATGTTCGTGCAAGTCCCAGTATCAATGCTCCAATTGCATCCAGCGCCTCGACGACCCCACAAACTCCTTCCACTGCCAATAACACGAACATGACTGCTTCCGTCACGAGCACATCCAACAATAACACAAAACGCTGGCCAACAGACTACACAGTCCACGAGATTACCGAAGGGTTTGACAACATGACAGCTTTGATTAAAGTCGACCCAAGCCTCCGCCAGAAAACGGCCTTCGAACGCGTTTTCCCTCCGTGCCGGTACGTGAAGAGTACAGTTGGCAGGGCAAAGCTGTATTGGAAACGTGCGAGTTCGGAAATTAGGGATCATTTCCTGGCATTGGGAAGGGAGGATCCTAGAGCAAGGTGGACCCATTTTGTACATTTGATGGATGGGAGGCTCGTCATTGAGGTTGGGAAAGAGAAGAGCATAGTTCCTGTGGGTCCAACGGGACAAGGAGCGGGTGCGGCAGCTGCACTGGGTGTTGGAATTGCAGAAGGAGATAATGATACTGCGGATGAAGAAGAGCCCAACGCGAGTCCGGTTAGCTTCGGCCAAACACAGACCAATCGTAAGTCTCTCTTCTCGCTTCCTTTGACAGTACCTTTCGTTTCTTATCGTTATATGTGCTTATAGAACCGCAAATCAATATACAGTCCCCGCCCGGCATACCAGCGCATACTTCACTGCCTCTCAATACCAGGCCGCCGCATATGGGAGCACTCTTACCAAACCCGAGCCCACTCTCGCACCATTCGAATGCACCAGCTGCTATGTCGATGCCAACATCTTTCACTCTAGGTACGTCTGGTTCTTTGTGCGTCATGTGTACTCATCTATTTATCTCTTTCACTTTGCATATGCGGATTGGTTTGGCTTTGGTGTGAAAGCAGATAGGAACATGAACATAAATCGATCGTCGAGCTCGCTTTCGGGTGCGATCACGATATCAGATCATGTATAACATCGGATTATGCCTGCGTTTTTGAGAATCTACTCAATCGTTGTGTTGTTTGAGATATAACTTATTTAAGTTATTGCCACTTCCTGTATCCTGCGTGATATGATTGTGTACAGTACGAATTCTATGTGACAAGCTCAGACTTGACTCCAAACATATTTAAAGGTAGCAAGTCCTGTTCAGAAGCCAGAAAGGGAGACCATGGAAAATGAACGTGGACGGCACACCAGTACTAGAAACCGCTGTCTCATCCGCAGCAGAAGGGACGTCGAAGCTGAACGTGGGCGCCAGCACCAATACTAGTAGAACTGGCTCGACCATCAGTGGCCCTTTTCTTTTGTATACATACGAGACTTCACTAATTCACTTCTCCTGGTAAGCAGTTTAAAGGCGAGCAATAGTAAGATGATGTTGCTCACGCCCAGCCTCCGATCCGAACTTAAGCTTGCTAACGAATTTCTAACCCTACTTAAACTGTTATAACCCACTCCTCTAGCAGAGACGAATATAGACATCGAGGAAAGGCCTGGTTATTAATTCCACTTCACAATCACGCATTAAACTCACAAGAGGAAACTGTGATATCAAAGAAATAACGAGGTAATAAGATATTAGTAGTAACAGTACACAAATCTGCGCTGAGCAGCTCTTTCATAAATGCAGTTACAGTAAGCATCAACGAGTAGCATCGTTCTCCACCCCATGGAAAATAACTTCATTATCTCCGAAGAGACCAAAAATATATTTACCCTGTGTATCATCTATGAACTGTTTTACCTTTCGTTGTACTCTCTTGGATGTCCAGTACCTTCCTCTCTATCCCTTTCCCTCTCCCCTCATGAAAGCTTTTAAAGTCTGTAATAAAATTACACCTAGCCGCATTATGTCTATAAATCATTTATGTCTAAGAGGGCTTATCTAGGTAAACAGTAGACTCGGCGTAAAGTTACTTAAAAGTTATCACAGCAAATCACCGCCTGGAAGGGCCTTCATTTTCTCCCACGAGGCTGCAGTACCTTTTATATGGACAATATCCTTATCCTCAATCGTAATGCCGAAATACCGTCTCAATACGTTAACACGGTCCTCCTCTGAACTACATTCAATCTTCTCCAGTAACTCGTTCCCTAGACGTCTTTTGAATACACCACGGAACAATGTCCATCGCTCGAGTTGCCTTTCGGTAATACGGCGTCCGGAATCGTCATCGCCAAGCGTAAATTTTGCACAGACGACATCATAGGAGAATACGTCCTCGAATGGCTTGTGCATCTTTGCGTAATGATGAACGTTATAATCCAGTGTCGTGAATTCCTGCTCTGAGAATTGATAGACGATCGTGTAATCTGTCGCTTTGCCAGAACCACGGTACTCGACCTGCCAGAGAGCATGAATGTCATTGATTTGTGCGACTTGTTCTGGGGAGTATGGTGCACCCGGACCAGGTGGAATGAGACCTGATGCAGAGCTAAAGCCACGTGTCAGACGATTATATTCTCCTGGTACGGTGGCTTGGATGACGTTCTCCGAATCATCGCTTAAAGGGATAGGAAGCATTGGAACGGGCGGGCCAGGAGCACAGTCGATAACCCATGTATGTGCTGGATCTGTACCTTGTCCCTCCCCAAGCTGTACGAAAAGTATCATGTGCCCGTATGCTTGATAATCTGCGCCACCACCCGTGAAGAAGCCGAAATTCATGCGTGCAATTCCTGAGTAAGATCTAGATATATGGAATATGTTTCAACTGCCCAGAGTCTTGCACTGAAAGGATCGTTCTGACGAACCGATATCCAAGAGCACGGATGACTCCAAGCATGAGGTTGTGATGCCCATAACAGTATGTCCCACCTTTTTTATCTGTTACCAACCGTTTGAACGTTGCTTCGGGCGTGATGTCCAAGTAATGTTCAGCAGAACTTTGTATGTACGTAAGGTAATAAACCGTAAGTATATCCACAGCTCCTTCACAGACGGACGAACGAGGCTCACTAATGCATCAGTGTCGTGTCATTCGTGAACGACAAGTAATGTCGACGAACAATCACTTCTAGGTTCTCCAGGTTTGCAGGAAAGCAGCCATCTGCAATGTCCTTTGTGGTGTAATTGCCCTCTGCCCAACCTATACGCTGAAGGTACCAGAACGCTTGCTCAGCAGAATAATAGGATGGCTGCTTGCGAATGAGCGCTCGACCTCGGAGGTATCCAGTGATCACCATCTGTTTCCTTGAAACCCTAAAGTTGTGTATGGAATGTCGGGTGAGTGGGTATACGAAGCTGGAGAGGTAAGGGCCTCATAGTAGTAGTATTTATACTGCGCATCTTCGAAGCGTGGGAAGATCGAGTAAGGACCACGGTTGACGCGCGGATTTGATGAAACTTGATAGACTTTTGCGATGCGATGAAATGCGGCACTGGTGCTTCTTGTGTCTGTGTCTGAATCAGCACCGACTCGGATGTGGACAGAACTATTGCTTTATGGGAGAACGGTCCATTCTTGGAGATTATTCTTATACACAGGAGCACCCACGTCGGATATTCACTGGCCCTTTTTACTGAATTTAGCTTCTTTGTAATGGCAGCGTCATGAATGAAGACGAGACAATAAGATGCGTTGCGTAAGAAGGACTACGAAGCAGCAATTCCCAAGTTGACTACGTCTGGAATCTGTCGTGTTGGTTGACGAGTTGCACAACCCGAAGTTTTCTAGAAGTCCGACATCGTGGGAAATCTACGTTCGAACTTCTGGACCACGCCTTGAGCGTAAGATGGCAAATGTAAGAACAACGAACGTTACAAGACACCTAGTTCGTTGCAAGTCTGCAAGAAATTGTGACAGATAAAGGAAATTTATAATTTTATAAATCAGGTGGCCTTGCAAGAACGTCACGCGTTTCGTCACGCGTCGAACTCGGAGCAGCCGCGACACGCGACATCCAACTCTGTGTGCATAGTATAACGACAGCATTCACCACAACGAAATTCACGTCCGGGGCAGTGCACATCCTCAGTCATCTGCAAGTCAAACTGCTTTTGAAACTGCTTGGATTCTCGTGGAACCATCACTCCCAGTCACACAGGATATTTACACTTGCAAATATCTCCTTGAAGAGAGTGTGCAGAAACAGTACACAATGTCGCCAGTAGCAAGCCAAACAGGCACGTCAAAGGACTCTGGACCAGGCGGAAAAGATATCCGATCATTCTTTGGGGGTACTGGTGGAAGTTCTTCTATGAGTGCGAAACAGAGGAACGCACAACCGAATCCTGCAAAACATTCTCTTTCATCTCCGAAAGTGTGTTGCCAATTCCATGATTCTAGCTATTTTCTAACTGAGATTCATTCCATAGGCCCCCAGACCTGCTATTCAGATTCTGGAGAGCACCAGCATTGAAATAGGTATAGCACCAGGACCTGTTCAAGTTTACCAGCTTGTCTAACAGCACTGTCGTTCTAGATGGAGACAACAAGCCTCAAACCAAGGTCAGAAACGCTTCAGCCAAACGGAAGGCAGTCCTGATAAGCAGTGATGAGGACGAAGGTGAATTAAAAATAACACCTCCCAAAAAGAAGTCAGCATTGCCACGAAAGGGCCATGTGTCTGTGAAATCGGGAGTCATCAGCAGTGATGGAGAAGAGGATGAGCCGAAGAAGAAGTCTGCTACTGTCCGCTCACCGACGAAAAAAGGACTTGACCATAAGGCACCCGGGAAGCCTAGGGTGAGTGCCTCGAAGGGGCGAAAACACAAGACGGACGATGACGACTTTGAAGATGAGATGAGCGACGAGGATAATGATTTCATTGTATCAGAAAAAGCAAAGCCGGTTAAAGCGAAGTCAGGTTCGACAAAAGTGAAAACTTCTATTCGTAAAGTAGATGGAGATGATACGAAGGATACGAAGAAATCGGAGGCAGCGAATGCTCCGAAACAAAAGCCCAAGTCAAATCCCTTCTATGATACGTTCCGTTGATGATACTGACGTTGTGTTCAGCTGGATTGCAAAGAAAGCCGCACGGTCCGCTGGTCCCGCAGCTCCAGGATCCAAGCCAATTCCTGATGGTGCACCAAATTGTCTTGCAGGCCTCTCGTTCGTCTTTACTGGTGAACTTTCGAGCCTCTCTCGTGACGAGGCTGTAGATCTCGCAAAACGGTACGGTGGGCGTGTTGTTCTTCAGCCATCTAGCAAGACGAGTTACGTAGTCGTCGGAGACAATGCAGGGCCGTCCAAGCTCGCCGCAATCGACAAGCACAAGCTCCGGAAAATCAACGAAGACGAGTTCTTAGACTTGATCGCGACTCGTTCGAGTGATGACGCCGACGACAAGACAAAAACGAAGTTGGCCAAGGAAGAAGCAGAGATGCGCAGGGCTGCGGAAGAGATGGCTCGCGCTGAGCGGAAGGCAGAGAAGGAACGGGCTAAGGCAATCATGAGTGCAGCCTCGGGAGGTGGTACAGCGAGAGTAAAGCCACCTGTAGATATGAGGTCTCAACTGTGGACTGTTCGATATGCTCCTAAGATGCTGAAGGAAATCTGTGGTAATAAGGGCCAGGTCGAGAAGTTGCAGTTATGGCTGCAAGATTGGTAACTATGCAATGCTATTCAGGTCTATGCCAGGCTGAGCGAATGTATAGGTCGTCGAGCTTAAAGTCAAGCTTCAAAAAGCCAGGGAAGAATGGTATGAACATCTTCCGCGCGGTGCTGATTACGGGCCCTCCTGGAATCGGGAAGACAACGAGTGCCCATCTTTGTGCAAAGCTGGCAGGTTTCACGCCTATTGAACTGAACGCAAGTGATGCACGAAGTAAGAAGCTTGTTGAGGTAAGTAGTTGAGCCTTCGCTCAATCGTGACTAATTTACGCTCATGCACTTCTCGTATTAGAACAGCACAAACATCGCCAATACATCTCTTGATGGCTGGATGAGCGGCAAAAGGGTGAGTCAATCGACTTGTGCAGTCGCTTTTTATCTGATCGTTTTGTGTTTGAAGACCACTCCCAAGACCGTGAATGCAACTGGGATTGAAATTTCGGATAAGTCTTGCTTGATTATGGATGAAGTAGATGGGATGTCTGCTGGCGATCGTGGGGGCGTTGGTGCCTTAAATTCACTGATAAAGAAGACCAAGGTAAGCCGACCACCGATACGTGTTTTCTTCCCAATTTAATCGCACAGTAGATCCCGATTATCTGCATAGCAAACGATCGTAATGCCCAGAAACTGAAACCATTGTTGAATACGACGTTCAATCTGTCATTCAGAAAGTAAGAGCAGCAATCCTGGAATAGTGCCGCTCTGGCTCACTCAATTTAGACCGGATGCAGCTGCAGTTCGCTCGCGGATAATGACGATTGCATTCAAGTATGCTGTTAACTACTTTTCGAAACTAACGAATTAATACCCGTTTAGGGAGAAAATGAAAATTCCGGCTAATGTTGTCGATCAGTTAGTCCAAGGTGCACAGTCGGATATCCGACAAGTTCTAAATATGCTCTCGACGTGGAAGCTCTCAAGCTCTTCCATGGACTTCGACGAGGGCAAGAATCTGTGCGTATGTGACGGCTGTGAAATGCTTCGTATACTGATTCTCCTATTTATTCCAGCGCAAAGATTAACGAGAAATATACGATAATGACCCCATTCAACGTGACCAGCAAAATGCTCGGACCCTATCTTTTCTCGTCGACTGCGAGGGAGACATTAGGTGATAAGATGGAGCTATATTTCCACGACCATGCATTCGTTCCTCTCTTCATACAGGTGATCCAAAAGAATCGTCTAGTGTTTTCTCGTTTTGACCACTGTACAGGAAAATTACTTGAAAACTGAACCAGCCAGATTGCGAGCCCACGACGGTAGAGAGAAGGGACTACAACACCTACGACTCATGGACAAGGCAGCTTCGTCGATCTCAGATTCCGATCTTGTCGACTCGCTTATTCATGGGTACGTCTTTCTAGGGTAGCGTCGCAACTGCAGAAATCTGAAATGTTTCCAGTCCTGAGCAGCACTGGGCATTGATGCCATTACATGCCGTCATATCAACTGTACGTCCTGCATCATTCCTATATGGAACCGGTTCAGGCTATGGCGGGCCAAATGCTATGTCCTTCCCTCAGTGTGTACCTTCGCCCAATTCGCTCCTTGCTCATTCCATTTACTTGATATGAATAGATGGCTCGGCCAAAACTCGAAGCGAGGCAAGCTTACTCGACAACTTGGAGACGTGCAAATCCGCATGCGGTTAAAGGTCTCAGGCGATAAACCAGAAATCCGACAACACTATATACCATCGCTGTTTCCGCGGCTTGTCAAGCCTCTTATTGATGTTGGTACGGTAAGTACATGCGTCAATATAACATCTATACTCTTCTTGAGAATTGACGATCCGATCTGGCCTGATTTTCCATTCGTATGTGAATAGAGCGCGGTAGACGAAATCATAGAAACGATGGATGACTATTACCTTTCGAAAGAGGACTGGGATACGATTATCGAGCTGGGCGTTGACACTCACAAAGATGAGTTTGTACTGAAGAAAATATCGACGTCGACGAAGACAGCACTGACGCGAAAGTATGTCCTGTTCCGCATTCTAATCCCATTCTTTATTGATGTGACGATGCTTCTTGGTTTTTGAAAGGTACAATTCGACTGATCACCCTGTACCTTTCCATAAAGCGCAGGAATTTGGCAAGGCGCCGAAAAAGCTCGCCACAGAGCCAGCTCCAGACCTTGAAGAGGCCTTCGACGTACGTTCGACTCATTCAATCATAAAGACATTATCTTACAGATACTGTGCAGCTCGACGAAGGCGTCGATGAAGAACCTGAATCGAAAGACGAGGACGAGGACATTTCAAAGGACTCACTTATTAAGACCGGCAGAAAGGGCAAGGGCAAAGCGAAAGTGACGGGTAAATCAAAAAAGTAGAACTTTTCTATCAACTATCCCCTTTCATTCTGCTTTATACGTTGTGTGATTCGTGGAGGTCAGCGCATAGGTCTATTACAATTATATTACTATAATTGGATATATGTAGAAAGATTGGTGCATGCATGCTCTGGAAGCATAATTGCATGACAGCAATAATGCATGCGATTAACCGGAGGTTGGATAGCTATAAGCATGGGCTTCTAGAGGACATTGCGTCGTGGATGCGAAAGAGGGCAAGAGTCATGAGGTTCTAGATCTCTAAAACAAAAATGCGACATGGTTGAAAGTGCGAGATTTGATGATTTGAACGAAGTCAAGGAGGAACTAGATTCTAGGAGACGGAATGACAGATGGAGCCGATCGATAAAAAATTCAAGCAAGCAAAGAAAAAACAGCAAACATCCAATAAACAGAGAAGGCGTGTGACGAGCGACATGAAAGAAAGAACGCAGGACAATAACGAAATGCGAATCGCGCAGAAGACGTGATCAACATTTTCTTAGGGCAACCTCAATGCCTTCGTTTTTTATTGCAAAAGTCTTTTCCTTCGTCCAAAGTATTAACGCTATTTGTTCGCCTGCGACGTGTGCCGTGCGCAGAGCGCGGTGTGATGTTCGGTGAAGGTGACAGTATCAGCTCTTGGGAGGAGGCACCTCGCAGCTTCCTCGGGGTCTTTGGTTCGTCCGTATCCGTTGGAACCTGATTAGAACGAGTTGGGCTGGTATGGTCTTCTACAGCCGTCTGCGCAGAACTCGATGTACCGGCGTCACTCTGTGCAGCCTCTGTTGTCACCGATGCTAGGCTATCCTGCACAACAAGGCTCGGTTCTATCACAAATCGGGATTCGAGCGGTACAGACAGTCTGTCGCGTTTTGCGCTCAGTGAAGGTGAAGGCGGAGCAAACGACGCATCAACCTTCGTAAACTTGTTTGGAGCTGTGAATGACGGTGTCTTCGCCAGGTTCAAAAAACTCATATTGCGAGAACCCGGCGGTGACGCCGTTGCACGCATACGTGGCGTTGAAGGCGGCTCCGTCACTGATGGCGAAGGAGAACTGTTGAGATTTAGGTATGGCGGAGCCGCGTCGTCCGATAGAGCCAAAAGGAGTTCTCGATATCCCGCTTGGACGAGGCCATAGAATCTATAGAAAGGGTTTGAGGCCGGCTCATGCAAAGCAAATAAACATTGGACGAACATAGATTCCTTTGTATAGACCCGGAGTTGGATCTCAGCAAAGCACGCAGGCATGAGTGTAGAAAGCTCTCCGGGTTCGGCCTTGAATGATTCTGAGGGAATGCAATGAGTAAATGGCAAACGGGTTTCTCCTGAATGGTATTCCCACTCACTATTAATGTTATGTTTCCCATAGAATCGTACAGAGTCGATTGGATTCTTCTCCTTCATCCCATGATGCAGAACTGAGAAGTCAACTACTACATGCTCAGGAGATAGACCCGTGACGACATGCTTGCTCGGAGCTGTGTAGTCATTCTTGCCCGTCCGTACAGCATTGAAAAGTCCTTTTGCAGAGCGGACAATGTGGTCTGGTGTGATTGTTTCCTTCAAACTTGCAAGAGCGTTGTACGGAAAAGTGCCCCAATCGACACATCGGTACAATTCGCGTCTGCGTATGCGCTCAATTATCTTCCGACTTTCTTCCAGTGAAGGGTCTTCGGACATCTCTATACGCTCCAGAATATTGTCTGTCAAGTACACATACTTCACAGGGTCAAGTATATGTTTCGCAATCTTCATGCTGGGTTCCGCGGCTTTCAACGCATCGACAATCATATATTCGATGGCTCGAGCAGTCTTATGGCTGTAGATCCGCTTGTGATTGCTGAAACGCAGCGAAAAGAGTTCGTAAACTGAGTTTGCATCCTTGATATGATAGCAAATCTCGTCGTTTATCACACGAGCGGAGTCGATCAGACGCCTTGACGAGAAGTTGTTGTGGTCGCCAATTGCACGAACGTCCCTGGCAATGTAATCAAACCTATTGCAACGTCAATTAATATACTCTTTGCCATACCTAAACTACTCACTTGTCGACATCTATCCCATTGCGTCGGTTTGCAACAATATCAAACAAGAACTTCTTTTCTGGAGGCTTGCTAAGCTGCTGTTAGACAGCTAGACCAACCCATGGGAGGAAATACATACCTGTGAGCTGTATGACATACGCTTCCTTTAATAAGATCTTTGACAAAGTTAACATCACCCTCATCGAAAGGAATATTATTTTGCCTGACGAGGTCGTCGAACATCATTTCAGACGCATCCTCGTGGGTCCACTTCTGGTCAGGCCTAGACTTAGGTCATTACGGTTCTATGCATACCAGGGATGTATACCAGAGATGCATGGCACGTACAAGACCTCGGGGATGAAATGGCCATCCCACACGTGGCTCCACGGACCGTGTCCTAGGTCATGACAAAGGCCTGCCAATTGTACACAACGCACGTCGCGTTCCGTGATACCTAACTCTGGCTGCATCGCTCTGAGACGCTCAACGAGCATACCCGCTAGATGCGCGACACCTGAAGACGAATATGATTTAGCCCATCGTTGCAACGAATTCAGTGTCGGGGTGCGAGATATACCAATGCAATGTTCGAATCGGTTGTGCGAAGCACCAGCCCAGACATAGTACGAAACGCCGAGCTGCTTGATGGCGCGAAGTCGCTGGAATTGGCGTCTGTGAAGCTCGTGTGTTAGACGAGGTCCATTAGAGTAAAGGAGATGCCTACGTATCAATGAAGGACCAGATGAATGCTGGGAACGTAACTACGCCGAGTTGCGGAAATGAGGTGTGAGGGACAGCTTTACGGAGGAGAGACAGAGCAGCATTGCACATACTGAAGTCGTGAATTGGATCCTTGATAGTTCTTCTCAAAGCGAGGGGAGTATCCAGTTCCGCATCGCATAGGGACCCGTTCATGGTCACCACTAGTGAGTATGGCGTGGACGTGGTGGTGAAAGGGACAAAGGTATGTCTAGCGAGTAAATCTAGCATTTAAGGTCGTGATCGGCGGAAACTGTGAGACTTTATTACCTCCTCAATTGTTGGATTACATGATATGTACTAACTGTGTAAACTTCTGATGTACCGTCATGGACCGGTCCTTGTAACACCACCATTCCTTGTAACACCCTATACATAGTGCCACTACTCACAACAATTTTACCTCAAAAAATATATAAATGAATTTCTATTATATCTTCCTAGTGTATGTAAAAAAATTGTGGCAAACAGATTAGAATTTGTTGAGCTATGTTGAAAATAAGGGTAAAAACTAGATAATCAAGAAAATGCTCAGATTTTCCAGTGATAGTCATGGCTCCTCCTACAACACAACTTCAACTAAAAAATACAAGACTATCTGTTATGTTAAAATAAGTATACATACAAATTTTTAGACAATTTCATTAAGATTTGCAATTTATAAAAATTAAAAAGTACAAATCACAGTTTATTTTAGTCACATGACTGTACTGAGCAATATTCAGTCAAGAGATACACTCATTACCAAGGGCCACACAGTTAAAATATTGACTTAAATATCTGAGTATACTAATATAGAAGTCCAATACAAATATTATATTACTTTAATGACTTTAAAAATAATGCAGACAAGGTAGATTACTTGTGTGTACATCGTGGGAAAATGGGTGTTACAAGGAATAGTGACGTGCTCTTTTGGGCACAAAACATCTATCCTTTATATCTAATTTATTTCTCATTTATTTGTCACAGAAGTTTGTAGAGTAATGTTAAACAGTATTTATTTTCATCTAGTATTTTTTGTTTGAGGTTAAAAGGTGTGAAAATGAAGTAAATTCAGAATTAAAATGTAGTGTTACAAGGACCGGTCCATGACGGTAGGGCCGGCCTGACAGAGTGCCGAGTCACGCGCGTCCGTTCCCCGCCGCTTCACTTGCTTGCACTTGTACTTGCAACACGACGCTCATTCACTCCTCTCCTGGCCACCACTTGCAGCTGCCGCAGCGACCGTGGCACCTACCACAGTGAGGTACTCCGCCACTGTCATCAGGTCAAACCGAGCGTATAAAACCAGCAGTAGGATAAACTGAAGACGTTGATTATCGTGAGCACTTGTCACGCGATTATCTTCGCCTCACTCATTAAACACTGTCTGGACAGGAGACCATCGTCGTCTAGATTACGGACTTTCAGGCCTCTCCTACGTGGAGTGTTTATCGCCAAAGACTCGCTTGCAGTCTCTGCTTTTCTCCGGCGTTCTCCCGTCTCTTACTCCCGCCTATCGCGGATCCCTCCAGCTACGATCATGGCCACTGCTGTTGCGTCGCCCGAAAAAGACACAGATAGGAGAGCAAGCAAAGGTGCGTTTACATCCACGCTCCATTATGAAACTCTTTATAATGTATCTGTTCTCGTAGACCTTCCACATCTCTCCCTATCGTTGGAGTCGCCACCCTCCTCCTCACCCTTCCCGTCACCATCATCTTCCTTCATCCCACCCCCAATGCCGGGTGCACATGAATATGCGAACAAGCTACACATACCCGCGAAGAAAAAGCAACGCGAGAGCGGCGATAGCAATACTTCCTCCGTTGCTACGGCACCTACATCCGCAGTTGCGTCCGCACCTTCAGCCACGACAACTTCGACTACCAACTCTCCTGAAAATGGCATTGCGAAGCCAAACCGTTCGTCCGGCTGCGACAAATCGTTACTCTCGAAACATTTTGATGAACTGGCGGAGCCAAGTGGCGATTTAAAGGACAAGTCACTCGCGCATCGAACGAGTCTTAATTCCTCGCGACGCGCTCCTCCTTCACCTAGTGTCTCTCGGCGCACATCTGCCGCACACACAAACAACAATAGTGTCTCCCTGTCGCGTGCTCCTTCAAATGCTAATGCATTGGCTGCGTCTGCAGCAAAGGGGAAACGTCGCTCGAGAAGCGTCAAGATCCGTGACTTCGCTTATCCATCTTCCGACGTCCGACATGTCGGCCAAGGACCCGATGCCCCGCGCCCAGGACGTTCACGCCCTGCTTCAGAATACGAAGATATGATCGGAGCTGGAGGGTCGCGCCGGAATTCCGGATGGGGAGCATTCCGATGGGCTGGCAGCAAACTTTGGGGTTTCGCTCTCGGAGGAGGCAAACAACGAGGTTCGACGAATGAGGGTGCGGACGGTGGATTCATGCCAACTTCGAGTGATTTCGCGAGGAACTTTGATGTCTCGAGTCCGAATGATGAATACCCAACTACGGGCTTCCAAGGACTAGGACAAACTGATGCGGATTCTGAAGAAATGTCCTCAGAGGTTGACTCCGAGTACGCAGAAGGATACCCAGATCAAGATGCACCCCTTCTGCCTGGTTTATACCGTGCACTATATGCATTTGTGCCTGAGGGTACAGCGGAGATGGCGCTGGGAGAAGATCAAGTGGTGCGTATTGTGGGACGGGGTGGAGGAGTTGGGTGGGCTGTTGCAGAAGACGAGCAGGGGAACCACGCACTTGTTCCCGAAAGCTATTTAGAGATTGTAAAGCTTGATGAACCTACTGGAGAAGATGACAGGGAAGGGATCCATTAAAATGGATGATTTGGTCTTTGGATGGATGTTTTCTTGCCTATTCAGACATTTTATTTTAACATAGCTCTCTTTACCTTCCCCCTTTTATTGTACTTTTCCTGCTGCTTTCTTCTGTTTTGCGGATCCTCCCTTTGTTTTTCTCGGGTCCTCGTATATTGATTTGTTGAGGACCGTCATGCGCTGGTCGCATCGGTTCGGGCGTGTGCACAAGCCCAGTTTCCTGACCATTGCATTTCAACATTCCTGAACCTCAAAACTATACGTATTTTACATATGCAATTTCCAACCTAAGTATTCTCAGCCAAACCCCGCCATTCCTTCTCCATCGTTCCTCTAACAATTCATCATCTCAAGTGTCAAGTGCTCCCCAAGTATATCAATATTCTTTCCTTCGCCTTTCCTTTCCTCCACAATCCTGTTGCATGTTCTATATCTCCGGTTTCTTCTTTACCTGACTAAGTACCGTTCTACCTACTTATGTTTACCTAGCCCATGATATTATTCCTTTGCCATTGTGTCATTGTGTCATTGTGTCATCGTCTATCACCATTCCTTTCCACCTGCTCTGTGTTCGAAATAATGTGTGATAAAGGTTGCCCCTTCTGGTTATGTTCTGGTAAAGCAGTCTGTATTTTTATTCAAACGGATCAGGGCAGGGCATCTGAACCACCATAAGTATTTATATATCGTTGCATAAAGAAGGGATCGCAGTAGGAGAAGTAAATCGACATTTCAACATTCTACGCTTTGTTTACAATCTTGTACATTTTTGTTTGCAGACGAAACGACAGAGACAGAAGGGTAAAAGGGAAGTGATTACTTTAGCCCATAGCTATTCAGAACAACATCGACACATCTAAATAAACAAAGAAATGTGGCGGATCAACAAAACAGCCTATAGAGATTATGGGACAAGTTATGAGCAAACCACATACTCTATTCAACTCGGGATGATATGATCCTGCCCAAAGTAGATCTTCAGCCAGGATCACTTGTCAAGTCACTAAAGTATAATCATTCAGCTCTTGTCCATAGAATGGGCTTCTTCGGGTAGTTACCTCATCGCGCTTGATAACAGTCCCACTTGGACCCGGACCCGGTTGTTTTACTTGTCCTCCCGCGTTCACATTTAAACCCATATTCCCCGTAGATCCCTGCCCGCCTGCATGCTGCTGCGGAGTCGTTGTAGCTGCCGCTGCAGAAGATGTCCCCGTCGCGGCGCGTTTCGCCCCAGGAAACCCTTCCTCCCTCGGGACGATATCAATCAAAAAATCAAATTGATCGGATTTAGCAAGTGCTTTAGCAATATCGGATCGCGAGAGTGTACGTCGTTTGTTGGCGTCTGCGACGATGAAAGCACGGGCGGTTATTTCGGAAATGAATACTGTAAGTGAGAGTGGGTTGCCGGAGATTGCGAACGTATGACCAGGTGTCAGGGACAAGGAAAGGAGCACGAAGATGAGAAGTGCGTACTTTCGCATGCTTTGCAGAACAATATCGGGGCTTTACAAGGTGCACATCTTATGAACTCTCAAGAGCAATGATATTCATCCTGACAATTTAAGTGCGTACCGTCCGCAGCAATCATCTACAATTAACGCATAGAATCGGCGTCAGCTACCTTCGTTCAATTAAGTAGCTCAAATCCATGCACACCTTCACTTCCGGGTCACTTTTCATGACTTTCTTAATCCTCGCAAGCGGGAGAGGCGGATGCCGAAAATCAGGTGTCTCTTGCTCAGCAGTGTCGACTTGCCGTTGCCAGAACGCACGTAGGAAGTCCGGAAGGAGATCGCCTGGTTGGACAAATGGCGGTTGTGTGGATTGCTCTGGCATTTTTCAACCCAGGCTTAGAGGATGGCAAATGGAGGAATTGAGTAACAGGCGTTTGCTCGGATGTTGGGAGGAAAGAACAGGAACGGTCACATGATGCGTATTTATATTTAGAGAGTCCAATATAATCGAGAATTAAATTACTCTTACCTTTCAGGCAGAGACACAGTAGGCCTGAGACAAAATCAACTTGTAGAACTTACTCAATAGTATAGTTTTGAATTTACTACTTACTCTTATAGTATAGTGCTTGTTTACAGTAAAGCTTAAAGAAGTTAAAGAAAAATAAGTTTAGTTAAAAATATGTAAAAATACATATAATAGTTTTATACTAAAGATTCTCTCTTTTATAATATACTTAATTACTAACTAGGATAACTTAGTAATCAAGTATTATTACTATTGTTTTTTATAAATATTATTATATATAGAAAGTATAATAATAATAATAATAATAATAATAATAATAATAATAATAATAATAATAATAATAATAATAATAATAATAATAATAATAATAATAATGCCTTCTCCCTTCAAGCCAGAATGTCCCAGAGATACACCTTACAATCTACAATCAGTTTACAGTACCTTCTATTAGACACTGTTTATAGACAATAGAGTGTATGTATACAGACACAATTTTGTCTACAGTCTGAATCAGCTTGTTCAACACTCCAGATCTCAATCTGTATGTACTACTCACACTTACTACATACTGTCACAGTGTGTCTATCTTTTCTTACTTGTTATTATTTGCTAATCACTCTAAACCTGTCTTACAGGTGTAGCTCTCCCTTTAGGCTAGAACACCCTAGGAATACACTCCTTAGTCAATAGTTTAGTTTACTACACCTCTGATTATAAGATGTAGTCAGAGTATACAGTGTACACATACAGATACAGCTTTACCTGTAGCTCAAATTAGCTCATTCAACACTTCCTAGTGTACTACTCACTTGCTACACACTATTGTAGTGTATCCATCTTCTTAATCCAGTTACCTACTCATACTGACAAAGCTCACACTTACACTCTTAGCTAATTAATCTTACAACCTGTCTCACCTCTAATTGTTGTAGATTATAATGTATTTATATAATGTTTCAATATAATTATAAACTGTTATTTTAATAACAAACAGATATAAGGGAAAATAACTATTATTAAAATATTAAAATGATTTAAGAGCTTTATAAACAATTATAATATTTGCTATAATTAACAAGAGTAATTTAACTTTATAATTTTAGAGATCCATTATAATAATTTAATATATTGTTAGGGAGAATAACTCTTATTTATGTTTACAAATAATACAAACCTTTCAGACTTTATAATGAATTATAGTACTTTCTCAGAAACTAAGATCTGTTTCAAGTGTTTTTACTTTTTTTTACTTTTTTCACTTATTTTATACTATTATAAGATAGTATAAGAATTTAGACTTTTTCCCAATATAGTACTAGTATAAAGGGAAAGGAACTAAGAGCTTTAAGAAGAGACTATAGAAAAGTAATAAAGTTATAATATAAGAATTATATAAGGACAATATAAGGAATATATAAGATAATTGTTAGTAACAGTATAGAGGGGACCTGAAGGCTTAGTAAGGGGGCCCAGGCTATAACTATCCTACACAACAGAAATATAGAACACAAGTACTAGAACATAGTCAGAACTTGTAAAACAGACAGAGAGAGAAAGTAAGACAAGAGTAGAGTATATAGAGTAAGTCTAAAAGTACAAGACTACTTAGAGTAGACAAGATTAAGACTACAGAACTAGTCCAATCTTGTACACTTATATATACTAAACTATACAAGAGTACTCAGAGAGTATGAGCTACTAAGAATAATAAGTTATAAAGAATAAAAGAAAGGAAGGTTAAAGATAAAGGTATAAAGAATAAAGGAATAAACAAAGGGTAAGAGACTATAGAATGAACAAAGAATGAAAGGGTGGTTAAAGGAAAGGAATGATAAAGTAAGGAGGAGTAGTAGTAAGAGTTAGTACACATATAGTTTATAGACAGTACTTCTGAGAGACAGAAGTCCTGAGTTCTAGTATAAAAGAGTGTAGAACCTTTAGAACTAAAGGTGTAAGAGTAGAGAACTATAACATTACTCTCCCTCTAAAACCAATCATCCTGATTAGTAAACATTAGACTTAGTTAGTAGTTCAGACATAGGTCAGAATAGTAGGGTTTAGAAATCTGTAAGGTAGAGTTAATACAGAGTACTCAGATAAAGTTAATAAAAGTCTTAAATTGTCTTAACAGTATAAGTAAGATTCTTAACAGGTTCCTAAGTGTGTTCTTCAACTAAGTATCCTTTCTAGTAAATAAGAAACTTGAGCTTTCTATATACTAACTTAGTATTTACTATATACTCTACTTTGTATTTTGGTTTAGAACTAATAAGTTCTAGTAAAGGTGGTAAGAGTCTTTGTTACAAAGGAAAACTTAGATTATAGTACTAAGACAATAGAACCTTGTTAAACACTAAGTGTATGTACTTCTATGTTGTTAGAAGTTAGAGTTTGTAAGTAGAGATACTAACCTTCTTTTTAATAATAAAGGGTCTGAAGTATTTGTTGTCTAACTTCTTTATTAAGCAATCTGTAGTCAGATTAGTAGCTTTTAATATAACTTTGTTACTAGACTAGTAATCCTTAGCTACAGACCTCTTCTAATTATAGTTCTACTTTATAACCTATACTACCTTCTCTAAAAGAGCTTGTATGTTCTCCCTAGTCTTGTGTATCTGTTCTGTAAAGTCTGTTATAGATTCAGAACTGTTGTTCTAGTTTTAGGACTGTTCTTTAGTACAAATGTCTCTCATAGTTAAGAAAGAACAGAGACTGTCCTGTTATAAAGTGTTACTAGTTATTGTGTACAAATTCTGTTAGAGCTAACTATTTAAACTAGTCTGACTACTAATAATTAATAAATATTTAGAGATAGAGTTTGATCTCCTGATTGACTTACTCAGTTTGACTATTAGTTTGTAAGTAATATATAGTAGAAGGGTTCCCTTAAATTCTAAGAAGTATGTACAAGTTTTATATGAATTTTGACTTAAATTACAGTCTATAATTATGAATGAGTTTCTGAGAGAGTCTGTACAACTAAAAGACATGATTCTGATAAATACATACTATACTTTCAGAAGTGAGTTCTGTTTGAGTCAGAACTATATAAACTTACTTAGAGAATCAGTCAACAATTATATAAATAGTATTGTAACTCTAAGACTTAGGTAGCTTACTAATTAGGTCTACTAAGACTTCTTTCTAAGAGTAATCTAGAATCTAATACAGATATAGGAGAGCTCAAACTCTTGTCTAGTAAGTCTTAGTCTGTTAGTATGTATTATAACCAGTTATGTACTTTAAGATTTTCCTCTACATTCTTAACTATTAGTAGTTTTAAGTAATAAGTTCCTACATTTTGTATTAGTCTAAATGTTTTACAGTCAGATTGTTGTAATAAGCTTAAACAATGTCCTCCTACAGTTTCTAATCCTTTAGAACATACAGTCAGCCTTTCTAGTAAACTTATCTATCCTTATTCTCTTCCTAGTCTCTAGCTTACTTCTCTAACTATTTTATTACAACCTAGTCCTGTGTGTGTCTTAGAGCTTACTGTATATAAGTAACAAAGTCAACATTCTTAGATTCAAGTTGGATCTCTTAGATTGTCTTAGACACAAAACAGGAATTGTTTAGAAGAACAAGATTTTCATTATTATTCTCTCTCCTTTTATAATCTACTTGTCTTAAGAGTAAATCAGCTTTTATTATTTGTGTTCTGAGTTTGTAGGTTAGTACAAAGTTATAGTCCTACAGTTCTAACATCTAGTAGGTCTGACAGTAGTTAAGCTTCTAAGGTACTTAGAAGTACTAGAGATTAAAGTGATTACTCTAAATCTTAAACTTTTGTATAATACTAAGAAGATATTAACACTACTTCTCTAGAGAGCAAACAATTGTAAAGAGTTCTTTATTATAAATAAGGTAGTACTGTTCTAGTTTATTAATAGAAAGTAGTGTCTAATAGTATTCTGATTAGAATCCCTCTTTACAACAGAACAGTACTACTCTATTTGTAAAGTTGGAAAAGTTGGCTTTAACTTAGAACTTATCTATAACTGTCAGAACTACTAATACAGACTTACTAGTAATAGTCTACTTAAGAGACTCAAACACAGACTACTACTAATTACTCTATTACTAAGGAACATCTTTACTAGTAAGATTGTAAAGAGGTTAGATAATAGTACTAAAGTCTTAAATAAAGTATTAGTAGTAGTTTATAAACTTAAGGAATACTTAAACCTGTTTTAGGTTCTAAGGTTGTAACTAGTTCTAAACTGTAGTTACCTTTACTGAATCTATACAGACCTCTCCTCTACTAATTATAAAGTTTAGATAATCTACTAACTCTTGTACAAAAGAATACTTTACTTTTTAGAGGAACAGTTTATTATTTTAGAGCTATTATAGAACTACTTAGATTAGTTAGTAATAGTACTTAACTGTCTAAGTAAAGATCAGAATGTTGTCCAGATACACACTAACATACTCTAAGTCAATCAGATCTATAAGAATGTAATTTATGAATGACTAGAATGTTGTAAGTAAGTTAGTTAGTCTAAAAAACATTATAGTTAGTTTGTACAATTTATAATTAGTTTAGAACACAGTCTTCTACTCATCTCTGTCTTAGATCTGAATGTTATTGTATCCTTATTAAATGTCTAACTTAGTAAAAACTCTAAATATATGTATCTTATTAATAAGCTCCTAAATTAGAGAGAGTAAGTACTTATTTTTAACAGTACCTTTATTAAAACAATAATAATTCTAGACTAAGTAGAGCTTCTTATCTTTCTTTTTAACAAAGAAGAAAGAGGAGACTATAAAGGACTTTAAGGGTTGGATCTGACTATTCTAAAGATTTTCCTAAAGGAACTTGTTAAGTACCTCCTACTCAGCTCTGT